CTGCTTCATGTTGCCGGTCCATGGGAGGGGTAGCACGTTGCTGAAGTGGTGGATGACGTTGTGCTTGGCTCGCTTGCGTTGGCAACTGTGGGTCGGTTTTTGCCCTTGTGTTGAAGCCCCTGGAACCTCCAACCCTTGCATCCCGTTTCCCCTTAAGAATCTCCTTCCGGCGTTGGCGCATCTTGGCCGCTTGTTGCGCAGCTTCGTTGGATAGCGTTGGATTTGTCCCTGTAGCGTTGGAATGTGAGCACTGGCCATTATCCGTACACGCCTCATCCCCGGAACCCTCCCCACAGCTGATTTGACTCCCATCTTCTACCTCGAACTGGTCATTGAACACTTCTGGTGTGACATCTGTTTCCGGTTGATTATCGTCCAAAGTTGCCGGCTGATCTCCCTTGTTATTGGCTGCGAAAGAAGGGAGCACAGATGGTGGTGCGGTATCTTGAGCAGATGACTCCAGCATGTCGGCAGCCGGCGATGAAGGCATGGAGGGAAGGGTGCGGTTAGTGGTATAATTTGCCGCCGTATTGGGGCTGTCATCACGGTCTGTTTGGGGCAGATCACGCGTTTCTGCTGCTTTCCCCTGCTTTGTCGTCGTCTTTGCCGCCGCACCTCCATCCTTGCCCTTCTTGCCATTTTAGCGGCACTATGTATGCCCCTTAACTCATCTCCGGACTCTGGCACGCTAGCTCGCTGGTTGGTTCCGCGTCGGCCACCTGACTGCTGCGCACGGCTTTCTTCAACCCCAAAAAGATAATTAGCCATTGCAGCGCACTGCTCCCGGCATCTCCTCACGAGTTTCCCAAACTTCGCCTTGGTGCGGCAGTTGGCGAGTTTCTTGAAGAGGTCCGAGGCGTTGGGGCCGAACTTTAGAACATTTTGCTCCAAATGCCAGCTGCAAAAGTAGTGGGGAAGCTCGGAAGGGAACACTTCTTTAACAGCAGGAATCAACCCCTTGTCACGGTCACTAATGAGAGAGGCATTCTGGGTGGTTGGCCAAGATGGAAAATGTTTCAACAGGTTCTCATAGAACCACTTCCAACTGTCTTTGTTCTCACTCTCGCATAGGCCGTACGCGAGTGGAACAAGCTGGTTGTTGCCATCCTTAGCAGCTGCAACCAATAGCGTAGCTCGCTGTGCCCGAATGAGAAACGTGCCATCCATACCAATGACCGGTCGGCAGAACCTAAGGGCGGTTTTTTATGCTGAAGGGGCGGCAAAAGCACGGAAGAAAGCGTGATCCTTCGTCACAAGGTCAAGCGTTGCGTCACGATCAATCGCCCTGAAGCGTTCCAACACGCGAGGGATGTAACGAAAAGAAGTTTTCCAGTCTCCAAACCGCTCCTTCAACATCTTTTCCTTGAGCCTGCAACAATTGGTGACAACTTGCAAGACAGTATAAGCATGTAGCACGAACATGAGGGACATTGTTTGAATAGTCATGTACATTTCCATACCATACTTGGATAAGACGGAATCTTTGGGAACCACGAAAGAATGTTATAATACTCACCTCCAAGATTGATGATAATTGATGTCAGGACCACCGGTCGACGCAATCTGATCCTTGTAGGTCCCGGGAGGGTGGTGTGGAGCGGCATGAACAATGTTCCCATGATGACGCTGCAGATAAGCTACTTTATTCGTAGTATGCTTCACGTAGCGGTCCCGATCAACCGATGAGCAACAATGAGATGTTGGGGGAGACAGTTTATCAACACGCCAAAACCCACCCGCACCGTCAGTTGAATACTCACACCGCCACTTGCAAGCTGGTTTACGACGCTCATGGTGACTCATGCATATGGCTCGGGCTCTGTTTGGCCTACTCTTTGAAACCCGAAAACCGAAGTTATGGGCCACCGAATAATCTTCCAGCGCTTCGTACAGAAATTTCTTCGAGGAGTAGAGCTGACCTTCACACAACGGGGCTCGATCGTTTATCACTAATGGTGGCGAGAGGTTATCGTCTTCTGTCATATTTCGGAGCAACGCACGGTACATATCACTTTGTTTGGGCTCCCCAGTGCCAACAAAACAAAACTCCGCATCTTCGTCGCCTGAGTCGTATTCTGTGTTAGAAGTATTAAATAACGAGTCCATGGCGGCTAGTAGGAACGTCCTAACTCCGTAGCCTCCTAGAAGATATAGAGGACATACGTGGTCTAAGTGAGGGCAAAGTTGGATGTCAACCCTAAAATGACGAGAAGATATGGTGTCTGAGATGTGGTACTTCAATTAAAAAAAGCGCGGTAACTTGATACTGACGTAGCAACCGTGACTAAGCGTATCAATTTGAGCCTAATTGGCCCAATTATATGTTTGGGCGTGTGTATTTAGTTCAGGATTCGTCAGTTTAGAGTACTACTCAATCTTCCTTAGCGCGGTTTTATATGAGCGCGATCTTACATGACCGCGTCTGATTGGACGCGCAAGGTCAAAAAGTGCTTCGCGCATAAAGTTGACGGATCAGGCGCACTTTGTATATTGTTCCTGTATGGACAGCCGTGCAACTGAGTATATGATCGGGGAATCATATCACTATGCGCGGATTGGTCACGATTAGGACCGAAAATGAGCGCGACTGTTCGCCAAAATGATCGTGACGTGGCCGCCCTCGCGCACGTCACCCAGCCGAAATTTTCGGGCGGAAAATTGTACGCCTTTTTTTATCGCGGGAAAAGACACTTTCGATGTAAGAATTTCAAGGCTAGAAACCCTTGCTGGGTTATGTGCCGTATAAAAAAAAGGCCATAGGAAACCTCTGGCAAGACCACTCGAGCAATTATCATCAAATTGTCTGACCACGGTAGCAATTCGAGGCCACGAGTGCAACGGCAAATCACCAAACACGGGTCTGGAGAAATTCTCTCGCTAAATGTGTGGCCCCGTACGTGGATGGTGTGCCACGTGTACCGAAAAGGTAAAGATCCTGTGAACTGGGAAAAGAAGGCCGTTGGCGAGGAGTTACCCTTCGGGTCACGCGAAGAAAGCTGGCGAAGAGTGCGAGAGAAACATGATATGGGCCTGGAAACTTCTGGCGCGCGGATTTCGTCCCTCCCTTCCCGCCCTTCACCCTCGATATTCACACGCCATGCCATCACGTATTCCCTCTAGCCCACTTTTCCGCCAAGATTAATCCTCAGTTCTTTTGAATCTTCCAAAGACCCAGTGCTGGGTCTTCACCTGACACACTTCCGCTGCGGCTTGTCCCTGATGCAAGCCAACGTTGCAAACGGTGTCTCATACCTAATCGCCACCTTTCCCTGCTGATCGTAGTCCCGTCTCGCGGCACGGCATTCGCATCGGCACGTTTGTTCCTGCATTCAGGACTCCATGGCGCAGCTCATGCGTCCAGCGTCAGTGTCACGCGCGTGCGCGTCAGATATATCATGCCGAAACCTGGAAGCGAGATTAGAGCCGAGCACTGCTGCCATTATACGACACGAGCCTTACGGCTCGTTTGCTCGACCTCGTACTATCCGGTTCCCCGCTCCGGTCGGCAGAAGAGCGTTATCCGTCAGAAGTGCCGCTGATTCAAGGTCGTGCTGAATCTAGGGTTTTGCCTTTTGGTCAACCAGCGTTTCCAGATCTAGATCTGCTTGGATCAGACCGCTTTGACAACGACTACGAAACCGCATTTCTCATCACTCACTCATTTTCATTCGCTTTTCTAAATGCTTTCCCTTTCCCTTTCTCCCGGCTTCTCTCCCACGCAGCCAGTCGGCCAATGAACTGGATGGAGTCAAAGTAAGGATCTGATGTTCAATGCAGTCTAGTAGCGTCGCATTGTAGATCCCGTGCAACACCACTTACGTCCACCCAATGCGTGTTCGGGTAATAGTCGCCTAACAATCCGCAACCACTTCGCAGGTATCGCCGAACTCGTCAGGGAAGGCATCAGGCGGCGACATGATGAAGCTCTTCAACGACGCGCAACAGAGTAGGGCCCACACCAACAGATTGCCCTGCTACCAAAGGAGATCTTGACCGCTGATTTTATTAGCGCGCTCCGCGCGTCTCTGACGTCAGTGATCAAGTCCATATCGCTTGCCGCTCCTGGTAGCCCGTGCAGCGTGTGCTGTTCCAGCATCAATCCAACTTGCAGTGTGTGCTTTTTCGAATCTATGCTTTCGTGCATTCGCCTCTCTCTCATCCCTACCCCCCCCGCTCAATTATTTCTTAAGTCCGTTGCGTCTACCAAATCCAATGCATGCTGATGCTGTTCCTCATCCCCACCCCCCCTGCAACGCATGCTGCTCCTCATCTCCACCCCCTTCCAGACATGCTGTACCTGAACAAGCAGCACAACATAGCCTTTGAAACGTCTTCCCCTTCCCAACCCTCGTCTCCATTCCCCCCTTTCCGCCCGTCCCCCTTCTCCACCCCCACCAGACATGTTGTACCTGAACAAGCAGCGCCTTATCGCGCTGGACGAGCTGCACAAGGCGGAGGCGGAGCGCGAGTACCTGGCGGCGCGCGTCGCGCAGCTGCAGGCGGAGGCGGAGGCGGGGGAGGCGCAGCGCAAGCTGCTGGAGGAGCGCCTGAGAGCCGCGGAGCTGGGCGTCGCCGCAGGTGAGGGCCGGGTGGTTCTGAGAATCCTCACAAGGCGCCGCAGGTGACGGCTGGGAGTGCTGGGGTGTGCTCTGAGAGAGCAATCCTTGGAGTGAGATGAGATCCCGAGGGAGATGCTGGCGCACACGGGCACGCAGAGCAGCGGATTGCGTTCCCCCGGGGCAGGCAGGGGAGCTGGGGTCTCGGTTGATTGAAGTATCCAGTAGGATGCAGAGGGTTCTGCTGGTGGAGAGGCTTAAAGCAACGCACGTGGGTTCGGCGCACAGGTGAAGCGGCGTGAAGGGGTTGGGTTGATGATTGTCAGAAGGTAACGCGGTGGTGTGCCTCCAGCCCGTATCTGCTGCTTCACCTTGTCCTTGAATCCCCTTCCTCCTGCTCACCTCCCTCCCACACCCCCACCTCCACCCTCTCGCTGTCTGCAGCTCCCAGCACCACCGTCAGCCCCGCGCGTTCAGCAGCGACCAGCAAAGCTACCAGCAAGGGAAGCAGCAAGGCGGGCGACCCGCCGTCCGTTTGGAGCCGGCTGCTGCTGCGCGTGGACGGGCTGCTGCTCGCCAAGGCGCTCAACGCGGGGCAGGCGCAGGCGCTTAGAGGGCTCGCTGCCGCCAGGGACGCCCGCGCTGCTGACTTGTACGCTGACGTGGAGCCGCTGGAGGACGCGCAGGTGGTGCGCGCGCTGCTGCGACTCATTGACGGCAGCAACAGGTGCGGGGGAAGGGGGGGAAGGGAAGGGGGGGAGGGAAGGGAGGGAGGAAAGCGGGGGAGGAAAGGGGGAAAGGAATGGGGTTGAGGAAAAGGGGGGAAGAAGGGCGGTTGGTAAGCAATGAAACTAATATACCACCCTGCCCATCCGTATTCCCTCTCATGCTAAAAATTGGCCCTTCCCGTCCCTTCCCTCGCCTCCCGTCCCCTCTCCACCCTTCCCTTCCCCACAGGACACTGCACGTGGTGCATGTGTGCACGGAGCTCGCGCTGGTGGCGCAGGCGGGGTCGCTAGCCACGTGGATGGCGGGGCTGTGCCGCGCACTCAGGAAGAAGGGCCACCTGGTGGAGGTCGTTCTGCCACTGTGAGCTATTATCCGTTTGGTCTTGAAGTGTCTATCCCGAGGTTGGACGGTGGACGTCATATGCCGTTCCCCTCCTGTTCTGCTACCAGACACAGCTCAATGCTCTCAGTCTCTACCAGTCATCCAGTGCTCTCAACTGTGCCCACAAGGCATCCACAGGTCCATCACCCTGCCATTTCTGCGTGTGCCCGCTGCTACCCGCCCTGCCGCCCGGCAGGTATTCAAGTGTGGACACGAGTGCCATTGAGGACTTCAGAGAGGCGCCGGGCGAGATCATGTCGTTCTTTGACAACAAGTGGCACAAGAATAAGATCTACACTGGGTGAGTGGCACAAGAATAAGATTTACACTGGGTGAGTGGCACAAGAATAAGATCTACACTGGGTGAGTGGCACAAGAATAAGATTTACACTGGGTGAGTGGCACAAGAATAAGATCTACACTGGGTGAGTGGCACAAGAATAAGACCTACACTGGGTGAGTGGCACAAGAATAAGATTCACACCGGGTGGGTGGCCGAGCCAGTGTTCGTCCTTATGTGCCTGACACTTAGCCTTGTCGTACCACCATTGCCTACTTTGCTGCCGTTGCTGCCCCTCTCTTGTGTTTTGCTGACTTTCCTCCCTGTGTTTCCCGTATGCGTCTGCCGCCTGCTTGCCTGCCTCTCTGCATGCCTGCGCTCCCCCTCCTCCACACAGCACGGTGCACGGGGTGCCAGTGACGTTCGTCCACCCGCTGCACCCAGCAGCCTTCTTCCAGAGGGACCACCTTTACGACTACGAGGATGACTTTGAGCGGTGAGCCATGCCTGCATGCACCACACAAGCTTCAAGCACTGAGGGTTAGCTTTGAGCAGTAAAGACTGCCCTAGACAAACCCCACAACCATCAGAACCATAGTGCTTTTTACATAACCTCCAGTCTCCCCTCCCCTGCACTCCCCTCCAGCTTCACATACTTCACGCGGGCAGCGCTGGAGGACGTGCAGAAACAGGGCAAGCATGAACGGCTTGCTCACAAACACTGACTGAGATCCGTGTCCCATGATACCCCTCCCCTCTCTCCTTCATACCCCCCCCAGGTTCACCTACTTCACGCGGGCAGCGCTGGAGTACGTGCAGCAGCAGGGCAAGCAGCCGGACGTGCTGCACCTGCACAACTGGCACACGGCGGTGGGCGCACCGCTGTTCTGGGACATCTACCACCACCAGGGCATGCCCGACACCCGCATCCTCTTCACCTGCCATGACGCCCGCTTCCAGGTAATACCTGCTTCCAGGTAATACCCGCTTCCAGGTAATACCTGCTTCCAGGTAATACCTGCTTCCAGGTAATACCTGCTTCCAGGTAATACCTGCTTCCAGGTAATACCCGCTTCCAGGTAATACCTGCTTCCAGGTAATACCTGCTTCCAGGTAATACCTGCTTCCAGGTAATACCTGCTTCCAGGTAATACCCGCTTCCAGGTAATACCCGCTTCCAGGTAATACCTGCTTCCAGGTAATACCTGCTTCCAGGTAATACCTGCTTCCAGGTAATACCCGCTTCCAGGTGCCACCCGGTTGCGTGCATTGGCTGCTGCAATGCACTGCAGTGTGCCAGTGCTCCGCGCTGCATGCACAAGGTTGCTGCCTCGCCCACACGAGGACCCCTCTCCCTGCCCCGCCTTCCTGCAACCAAACGCACAGCTCGCACCCAGCTGCCCCTCCTGGCGCTTGACGCCTGTCATTTGACCGCCTTGCTTCTTGCTCTCCCTGCCCACCTCCCCCAACCCAACCCCCACTACCCACCTCCTCACATCCCCCACCCCCCACTCCCCTCCTCCTCACACCCCCTATCCCCCACCCCCTGCCAACCCCCCTGTGCTCGCTCTCCCTCCCGCCCCGCCCACAGAACGCCCAGCCAGCGGGCAAGCTGGCGCTGGTGGGGCTGGACCCGTCGCAGCTGAACCGCCCTGACCGACTGCAGGACAACCGCGACCCCGCCCTCGTGAACCTGCTCAAGGTGCGCTCTGCTCTGCTTCCCTCACATCACATGCCTCTCACCCGTGACTCACCATCCCGCCCTCGTGTCTTCCAACAAGCTCACCACAGTCTCACCTATTAGGACGACTCAGAAGCCACCTGTGCTCCTCTCTCCCCTTCCGTCTACCCCCGCACCACAGGGCGGCATAGTGTATTCCAACAAGGTAACAACGGTGTCACCCACATATGCCTAATCATTCGACTCAGAAGCTCCCCCTGCCCCTCCACTACCCCTGCCCCTCCATTCCCCCTCCGCGGTGGACCTCCACCCCCTCTCTCTCCCTCCCACCCTCCACCCACACCACAGGGCGGCATAGTGTATTCCAACAAGGTAACAACGGTGTCGCCCACATATGCCAGTGACATGAAGACTCGTGAGCTCGGCTGCGGCCTCGATGGCACCGTCGCCATCCACAGGTGGGAGTGCCATCCACAGGTGGGAGTGCCATCCACAGGTGGGAGTGCCATCCAAGGGTGTGTGGCCGCTCTGCAAATGCCCTTGGGCCTGCTCCCTGCTCTCGCTGCCAATCTCCCATTTCCTATACTCTGCCTCTCAAATCCCTCCTGCGAGCGTTTAGCTGTCCTTGTGTCCCTGTCCATTTCTACCCACCCTCACCCATTTGTCCATTTCTGACCTACCTGTTGGTCTCAACCAATTTGCCTGGACTTGAAGGCAAAACTGGCAAACCAATTTTGCCGTCCCCGTTTCTCGTCCTATCCCTCACCCCATTTAAAACCTCCAAATCCCAACCTGCAGCCAGAAGTTCGCTGGCCTACCCTCCGGACTCGACCAATCCACATGGGACCCAACCCGGGACCTCTCACTCCCCGTGCCGATCACAGCCTCGGATCCCATGCCTGGCAAGGCCGTGGCTCGGGCGGAGGTTCGGAAGAGGCTCGGGCTGCCAGTGATAGACTCGGCATCGGGGTTGGAGAGGGCAGTGGTGGCATATGTGTCACCGCAGATAGGCGAGGCGGATGTGGAGCTCATCAAGGGGGCGCTCTCGTGCTCCCTCGCCTACCAGGCCCAGGTGGGTCGTGCTGTGCTCACATGCCCAGGTGGGTCAAGGAGGTTTCCCCTTCCATTTCCCTCGCCCGTCCCATCCTGCCCTCCGTCTTGTTTCTCTCTTGCTTGTCGCTTGCCTTATTTCTTCTCAACAAGTCGCTCACTCCCCTCTCTTCCCGCCCTTCCTCTCCCTGCTTTCCCTGCCCTCCCTGCTTTCCCTGCCCTCCCTGCTTTCCCTGCCCTCCCTGCTTTCCCTGCCCTCCCTGCTTTCCCTGCCCTCCCTGCTTTCCCTGCCCTCCCTGCTTTCCCTGCCCTCCCTGCTTTCCCTGCCCTCCCTGCTTTCCCTGCCCTCCCTGCTTTCCCTGCCCTCCCTGCTTTCCCTGCCCTCCCTGCTTTCCCTGCCCTCCCTGCTTTCCCTGCCCTCCCTGCTTTCCCTGCCCTCCCTGCTCTCCCTGCCCGTCCCCCTGCAGTTTGTGCTGGTGGGGGCAGCACGGTCGCCCAAGGTGCAGATGGCCCTCGAGGAGCTGCAGAGGGTGCAGCAGGTGAGGCCATGGGTGCAGAGGGTGCAGCAGGTGTGGTGATGGGTGCAAAGGAGAGCCATGTAGGAAAAATGTGCATGCTTTGAGAGGGGGCACAGGGAGAGCTGTAAAGCAGTGAGCCACGCGTCAAGCAGGTGTATTGGGAGGTGTGTCGGTCCATACCGTCTCTCTCTCCCCCTCAGTGCCTGCAAACCACTGGGACCGTGAATCACGCCTGTAGATTATGTGCAAGGAGAGGACTCCCTCGCACTTCTGGGTGGCCTGAGTCGACTCAAATCTCTCTCTCTCTCTCCCCACCACCCACCCATCAGGACCGCAACGCACACCTGGAGATCGTGTATGAGGAAGATTTGGTGCATCTGGTGGTGGCGGCGGCACACGTGCTGCTCTGCCCGCCCCTCCGCGACCCCTCCTCACACTTGCCGGTCAGTGCCCTCACGCATGCCTTTCAGTGCCCGCACACGTACCTTTCATTGCGAGCTTTGATTGCCGCAAGGATGCTCTCTCTATCAGCCTAACAGCCTGACAGCCTAACAGACTATCAGCGTAACAGCCTAACAGCGTAACAGCCTAACAGCATAACAGCCTAACAGCGTAACATCCTATTAGCGTAACAGCCTAACAGCGTAACAGCCTATCAGCGTAACAGCCTAACAGCGTAACAGCTAACAACGTAACAGCCCAACAGCGTAACAGCCTAACAGCGTAACAGCCCAACAGCGTAACAGCCTAACAGCGTAACAACCTAACAGCGTAACAGCCTAACAGCGTAACAGCCTAACAGCGTAACAGCCTAACAGCGTAACAGCCTAACAGCGTAACAGCCTAACAGCGTAACAGCCTAACAGCGTAACAGTGTAACGTCCTAACAGCCTAACAGCGTAACAGCCTAACAGCGTAACAGCCTAACAGCCTAACAGCGTAACAGCCTAACAGCGTAACAGCCCAACAGCGTAACAGCCTAACAGCGTAACAACCTAACAGCGTAACAGCCTATCACAGAACAGCCTAACAGCGTAACAGCCTAACAGCGTAACAGCCTAACAGCGTAACAGCCTAACAGCGTAACAGCCTAACAGCCTAACAGCGTAACAGCCTAACAGCGTAACAGCCTAACAGCCTAACAGCGTAACAGCCTAACAGCCTAACAGCGTAACAGCCTATCAACGTAACAACGTAACAGCGTAACAGCCTAACAGCGTAACAGCCTAACAGCATAACAGCCTAACAGCGTAACAGCCTAACAGCGTAACAGCCTAACAGCCTAACAGCGTAACAGCCTAACAGCGTAACAGCCTAACAGCGTAACAGCGTAACAGCCTAACAGCGTAACAGCCTAACAGCGTAACAGCCTAACAGCCTAACAGCGTAACAGCCTAACAGCGTAACAGCGTAACAGCCTAACAGCGTAACAGCCTAACAGCGTAACAGCCTAACAGCCTAACAGCGTAACAGCGTAACAGCCTAACAGCGTAACAGCCTAACAGCGTAACAGCCTAACAGCGTAACATCCTATTAGCGTAACATTCTAACAGCGTAACAGCCTAACAGCGTAACAGCCTATCAGCGTAACAGCCTATTAGCGTAACAGCCTAACAGCGTAACAGCCTATCAGCGTAACAGCCTAACAACGTAACAGCCTAACAGCGTAACAGCCTAACAGCGTAACAGCCTAACAGCGTAACAGCCTAACAGCGTAACAGCCTAACAGCGTAACAGCCTAACAGCGTAACAGCCTAACAGCGTAACAGCGTAACAGCCTAACAGCGTAACAGCCCAACAGCGTAACAGCCTAACAGCGTAACAACCTAACAGCGTAACAGCCTATCACAGAACAGCCTAACAGCGTAACAGCCTAACAGCGTAACAGCCTAACAGCGTAACAGCCTAACAGCGTAACAGCCTAACAGCCTAACAGCGTAACAGCCTAACAGCGTAACAGCCTAACAGCCTAACAGCGTAACAGCCTAACAGCCTAACAGCGTAACAGCCTATCAACGTAACAACGTAACAGCGTAACAGCCTAACAGCGTAACAGCCTAACAGCGTAACAGCCTAACAGCGTAACAGCCTAACAGCCTAACAGCGTAACAGCCTAACAGCGTAACAGCCTAACAGCGTAACAGCGTAACAGCCTAACAGCGTAACAGCCTAACAGCGTAACAGCCTAACAGCCTAACAGCGTAACAGCCTAACAGCGTAACAGCGTAACAGCCTAACAGCGTAACAGCCTAACAGCGTAACAGCCTAACAGCCTAACAGCGTAACAGCGTAACAGCCTAACAGCGTAACAGCCTAACAGCGTAACAGCCTAACAGCGTAACATCCTATTAGCGTAACATTCTAACAGCGTAACAGCCTAACAGCGTAACAGCCTATCAGCGTAACAGCCTATTAGCGTAACAGCCTAACAGCGTAACAGCCTATCAGCGTAACAGCCTAACAACGTAACAGCCTAACAGCGTAACAGCCTAACAGCGTAACAGCCTAACAGCGTAACAGCCTAACAGCGTAACAGCCTAACAGCGTAACAGCCTAACAGCGTAACAGCCTATCAGCGTAACAGCCTAACAGCGTAACAGCGTAACAGCCTAACAGCGTAACAGCGTAACAGCGTAACAGCCTAACAGCATAACAGCCTAACAGCGTAACAGCCTAACAGCGTAACATCCTATTAGCGTAACATCCTATTAGCGTAACATTCTAACAGCGTAACAGCCTAACAACGTAACAGCCTAACAGCGTAACAGCCTAACAGCGTAACAGCCTAACAGCGTAACAGCCTATCAGCGTAACAGCCTATTAGCGTAACAGCCTAACAGCGTAACAGCCTAACAGCGTGACAGCCGAACAACGTAACAGCCTAACAGCGTAACAGCCTAACAGCGTAACAGCCTAACAGCGTAACAGCCTAACAGCGTAACAGCCTAACAGCCTAACAGCCTAACAGCGTAACAGCCTAACAGCGTAACAGCCTAACAGCGTAACAGCCTAACAGCGTAACAGCCTAATAGCGTAACAGCCTAACAGCGTAACAGCCTAACAGCGTAACAGCCTAACAGCGTAACAGCCCAACAGCGTAACAGCCTAACAGCGTAACATCCTAACAGCGTAACAACCTAATAGCGTAACAGCCTATCAGCGTAACAGCCTAACAGCGAAACATCCTATCGGCGTAACAGCCTAACAGCGTAACAGCCTAACAGCGTAACAGCCTAACAGCGTAACAGCCTAACAGCGTAACAGCCTAACAGCCTAACAGCGTAACAGCCTAACAGCGTAACAGCCTATCAGCGTAACAGCCTAACAGCGTAACAGCCTAACAGCGTAATAGCCTAACAGCGTAACAGCCTAACAGCGTAACAGCCTAACAGCGTAACAGCCTAACAGCGTAACAGCCTAACAGCGTAACAGCCTAACAGCGTAACAGCCCAACAGCGTAACAGCCTAACAGCGTAACAGCCTAACAGCGTAACAGCCTAACAGTGTAACAGCCTAACAGCGTAACAGCCTAACAGCGTAACAGCCTAACAGCGTAACAGCCTAACAGCCTAACAGCGTAACAGCCTAACAGCCTAACAGCGTAACAGCCTAACAGCGTAACAGCCTAACAGCGTAACAGCCTAACAGCGTAACAGCCTAACAGCGTAACAGCCTAACAGCGTAACAGCCTATCAGCGTAACAGCCTAACAGCGTAACAGCCCAACAGCGTAACAGCCTAACAGCGTAACAGCCTAACAGCGTAACAGCCTAACAGCGTAACAGCCTATCAGCGTAACAGCCTAACAGCGTAACAGCCCAACAGCGTAACAGCCTAACAGCGTAACAGCCTAACAGCGTAACAGCCTAACAGCGTAACAGCCTAACAGCGTAACAGCCCAACAGCGTAACAGCCCAACAGCGTAACAGCCTAACAGCGTAACAGCCCAACAGCGTAACAGCCTAACAGCGTAACAGCCTAACAGCGTAACAGCCTAACAGTGTAACAGCCTAACAGCGTAACAGCCTAACAGCGTAACAGCCTAACAGCGTAACAGCCTAACAGCCTAACAGCGTAACAGCCTAACAGCCTAACAGCCTAACAGCGTAACAGCCTAACAGCGTAACAGCCTAACAGCGTAACAGCCTATCAGCGTAACAGCCTAACAGCGTAACAGCCTAACAGCGTAACAGCCTATCAGCGTAACAGCCTAACAGCGTAACAGCCCAACAGCGTAACAGCCTAACAGTGTAACAGCCTAACAGCGTAACAGCCTAACAGCGTAACAGCCTAACAGCGTAACAGCCCAACAGCGTAACAGCCTAACAGCGTAACAGCCTAACAGCGTAACAGCCTAACAGTGTAACAGCCTAACAGCGTAACAGCCTAACAGCGTAACAGCCTAACAGCGTAACAGCCTAACAGCCTAACAGCGTAACAGCCTAACAGCCTAACAGCGTAACAGCCTAACAGCGTAACAGCCTAACAGCGTAACAGCCTAACAGCGTAACAGCCTAACAGCGTAACAGCCTAACAGCGTAACAGCCTATCAGCGTAACAGCCTAACAGCGTAACAGCCCAACAGCGTAACAGCCTAACAGCGTAACAGCCTATCAGCGTAACAGCCTAACTGCGTAACAGCCTATCAGCATAACAGCTTAACAGTGTAACAGCCTAACAGCGTAACAGCCTAACAGCGTAACAGCCTAACAGCCTGAAAGCGTAATAGCCTATCAGCCTAACAGCGTAACAGCCTAACAGCCTAACAGCGTAACAGCCTAACAGCGTAACAGCCTAACAGCGTAACAGCCTAACAGCCTAACAGTCTATCAGCGTAACAGCCTAACAGCGTAACAGCCTATTAGCGTAACAGCCTAACAGCGTAACAGCCAAACAGCGTAACAGCCTAACAGTGTAACAGCCTAACAGCGTAACAGCCTAACAGCGTAACAGCCTATCAGCGTAACAGCCTAACAGCGTAACAGCCTAACAGCGTAACAGCCTAACAGCGTAACAGCCTAACAGCGTAACATCCTGTCAGCGTAATAGCCTAACAGCGTAACAGCCTAACAGCCTAACAGCCTAACAGCGTAACAGCCTAACAGCGTAACAGCCTAACAGCGTAACAGCCTAACAGCGTAACAGCGTAACAGCCTAACAGCGTAACAGCCTAACAGTGTAACAGCCTAACAGCGTAACAGCCTATCAGCGTAACAGCCTAACAGCGTAACAGCCTATCAGTGTAACAGCCTAACAGCCTAACAGGCTATCAGCGTAACAGCCTAACAGCATAACAGCCTAACAGCGTAACAGCCTAACAGCGTAACAGCCTATTAGCGTAACAGCCTAACAGCGTAACAGCCTAACAGCGTAACAGCCTAACAGCGTAACAGCCTAACAGCGTAACAGCCTAACAGCGTAACAGCCTAACAGCTTAACAGACCAACAGCGTAACAGCCTAACAGCGTAACAGCCTAACAGCGTAACAGCCTAACAGCGTAACAGCCTAACAGCGTAACAGCCTAACAGCGTAACAGCCCAACAGCGTAACAGCCTAACAGCGTAACAGCCTATCAGCGTAACAGCCTAACAGCGTAACAGCCTAACAGCGTAACAGCCTAACAGCGTAACAGCCCAACAGCGTAACAGCCCAACAGCGTAACAGCCTAACAGCGTAACAGCCTATCAGCGTAACAGCCTAACAGCGTAACAGCCTAACAGCGTAACAGCCTAACAGCGTAACAGCCCAACAGCGTAACAGCCTAACAGCGTAACAGCCTATCAGCGTAACAGCCTAACAGCGTAACAGCCTATCAGTGGAACAGCCTAACAGCGTAACAGCCTATCAGCGTAACAGCCTAACAGCGTAACAGCCTAACAGCGTAACAGCCCAACAGCGTAACAGCCCAACAGCGTAACAGCCCAACAGCGTAACAGCCTAACAGCGTAACAGCCTAACAGCGTAACAGCCTAACAGCGTAACAGCCCAACAGCGTAACAGCCTAACAGCGTAACAGCCTAACAGCGTAACAGCCTAACAGCGTAACAGCCTAACAGCGTAACAGCCTAACAGCGTAACAGCCTAACAGCGTAACAGCCTAACAGCGTAACAGCCTAACAGCGTAACAGCCTAACAGCGTAACAGCCCAACAGCGTAACAGCCCAACAGCGTAACAGCCTAACAGCGTAACAGCCCAACAGCGTAACAGCCCAACAGCGTAACAGCCTAACAGCGTAACAGCCTAACAGCGTAACAGCCTAACAGCGTAACAGCCTATCGGCGTAACAGCCTAACAGCGTGTTCCTACGGCCTCATATCAAGCCAACCTCATGTCAGACTCACACAAAACACTTGTGATTGTTGATTGTCGATTTCCTGGTTTGATGCGCGAAGAAAAACGAAGGGTAATCCTCGCATGCTTGAACCCGACAAAACTAGAATCTTCTGTTTGAGTCTAGCGAGATTTCCTGATGTGGCTGATAAATCCCGCGACAAAGATTGCGCATGTAAATTCTGCGCTTCGCGTGTACAGTGTGTCAGCCATTCGTGTCATCGTAATGCCCGACAACACAGAGCTGTGTTTCGCGTGGTACAGTACACAAATCCCACGATGTGGTTTGCTGATGTGGATCGCCTGAACGATTTCGCAAGCGCATTTTTTTATCGCAATGTTGGGTCTTATAACGGATTTCTCGAGTTTTCCAATCCTTATACGAGGTGGGCTTGATTTGAGGCCGTAGGAACACGCTCTAACAGCGTAACAGCCTAACAGCGTAAGGGTGGTAGAGCGTGCTGATGTGGGTTTGGGAGGAGAAGTGGCACGGAAGAGATGGAAGAACACTGATGAGATTTCACAACAGTATCACCGTGTTGTGAGCACCTGCTTGTACTGAAAGCACCTTACCTGGTGGGGAGTGATTGCTTGTGAATGTCAGTGAGTGAATGAGCTGCTCGCACAGCCCCACAGCGCCATACAACCCCTCGCAAAAAGAGCTGCTTCCCCACCACCCTCAGCACGCGCCCCTGTGACCCCCAGTGCTGGATCATCTCGGATAAGCTGGTTAGAAGGAGCAGGGCAGGAGAGGAGGAAAGGTGACTTGCTTCAATAGAGCCGCCTCTCCACCCTCTCTGCTGGATCATCTCGGATAACCTGCTTGGGTGGAGCGGGGGGAGTGGGGGAATTGAAGGAGGGAAATTGAAGCCAGCTGCTTTCCCCACCACCCTCAGCATGCGCCCCTGCGACTACCAATGCTATATCATCTCAGATAACCTGCTTTGGTGGTGTCGTGGTGGTGGGATTCGCCTGCCGTGTGCCATTCTTGTTGCATTCTCCATTCCTCCCATCCCACTCACCCTCTGCTCCTCCCCATACCCATGTTCTGCACCGCAGCTGGTGGGGGCGCGATACGGGGCCGTGCCTGTGGCCCGGCAACTGATGGGATCACCAGACAGGTCAGTCTCACGGGCATACACCGTACAGCTGGCATATCAGATTCGCGCAGAGTATACAGCTGGCAGGGCGCATACACTGGATTATGCGATTAACATTGGCGGCCGACTTGTTGGAATATCTTCCAAGCTTGACGACACGACGGAGGTTCCAGTCTCTATGCACCGTTGCATGCTGCCTTGCCCCGTCCCTCGCCTCCCTCTCCCCTCTCACTGCCTCGATTTGTTAGTAGCTTAGACTCTTCTCTCTGACCAGTGCACATCAAATCAGCATGTTGCATATCTCGCTCCCACTCCCTCCCACTCCCTTCCACTCGCCCCCACCAGCCTAGTGGACTGTGGACGTGGATGACCCTTGCGGTGGCGCTTCGGAGGGAGCAGGTTTCTTTGACTGCCTTCTTCCCCTTCACTGCCGCGACTTGCCAGCTCATGCCCAGTGCACATCAAGTCATCATGTGTCTTCCCCCTTCCCTCCTCCCCACCCTCACCAGCCTAGTGGACGTGGATGACCCGCGCCGCGGTGCCACGGAGGGAACGGGTTTCTTCTATGCCTCGGACAAACCGGCTGACGCTGTCATTGCCCTCACCCGTGCCCTCAAGCTCCTCGTGAGTGCTGCTGCCAGGCGGCACGTGGCGTTACTCTTTTGGCTTGCAGCTGTGCCGTGATTCATGCATCATTATTGCATGCTTGTTGGCAGATCAGCTTGCTGTTGCGCTCATATGTGCACTCGTGCCTTTTTATTGCTACTTTCTTTGTGCTGTGCAGAAGGCCGATCAGCAACGGTGGGAAACAATCACCAAGACAGCAATGTCGGTGGATACCAGCTGGGATGCCCGTAGCTCTGATGCATATGTAGATGCGTATCTGTCTATCAGGCGTTGCTAGCGCGGAATGATGTCCTAAATGTAAGATATATCTGGCTTCGGTTTTAGGCTCAAGCTTGAAGGGCCAGTTAGGGTCATAGCAAATCATATGCCAGTGTGTGCGAAGTGTACATGTTTTTTATGTGAATGTGTTACAACAAGCCCTCAAGTTTGCTTGTACGGTATTGCGATGCAGCCCAACTCGGACGAATCTTGAAATATCGTCATTCCGTAGTTTGAAGTGAGCTGATCAGTCTATTAGGGAGTCGCGTCTCCGCTAGTTGACTCGCGAACAGCAGATTGCTGACAGAAAGTGTCTCGATGTGCGAGGTGTCGCCTCTGCTGTCTCGTAATCCTCTTGAGCACTTATTGATTCGATAGTAGTCGTCGTGGCACCTCTGCTGCTATGGTATGGACTGGTCGCCGCATGGCCCTTCGCCGCTTCGCCCTGAATCGTAATCATCACCACACGCCATTCATATTATTATTGCTGGTTCCGTGCAGATCCGATTCATTCTCCTCCAAAATCGGCAGGGAAAGACACGCCTGGCGAAGTATTATGTTCCGCTAGAGGACTCCGAGAAGCACAAGCTCGAATTTGAGGTACGCCTATTTAGGTAACACCAAGCAGCTCAGTAGATACGACACGGCTAGTGCCGGCGTGTTGAGATTCCAGAGTCCCAACCTGAACAGTAGGGCGAGAGCACAATTGCAGTGTGACCCTTCGCCCTTGTTTTTCCATGTGTCACCTTTAGCTCCCTCCTCCTTCCCTGCTCCTGTTATTCCCACCGTACCCGCGCGTCTTCCCTGTTTCAGGTTCACCGGCTGGTGGTTCATCGCGAGCCCAAGTTCACAAACTTTGTCGAGGTACGCTTGCTGCTGCTCTGCTGGGACGTCTGCTCTGTTGTTGCCGTTGTGAACCTGTACCGCGTGAATCAGCAGAGGCGTCTGTTGTGTGAATCAGCAGAGGCATCTGTTTCGTCCCTCCCACTGATGCTATTCCACTCCATCCCCCAATTTTTTGAATCCATTCGCTGCGAGTCTCCTCAGTTCCGCACGTACAAGGTGATCTACCGGCGCTATGCGGGCCTCTTCTTCTCCCTGTGCGTTGACCTCACGGACAACGAGCTGGCGTACCTCGAGAGCATCCATCTCTTTGTGGAGATCCTAGATCACTTCTTCAGCAACGTCTGCGAGCTTGACCTGGTCTTTAATTTTCACAAGGTAGGATTTTTTGCAGGTTGAGACCTGGACGCTCTGTCTGTACTCCATATCATGTTATTTCTATGCTTGCATTTCTAAACAACCAATCTCTTCTTATTGGTGCATGTGGCTTGTGATTAGGTTTACCTTATCCTTGATGAGTTTGTTCTTGCGGGCGAGCTTCAAGAAACAAGCAAAAAGGTGTGCCATGTTGTGTCATGTGTTTGTCATGTTTGAAACTGCAAACGCCTTTCCATTCGTACCATAATGTTTCTGTCTGCTTTCACTTCCAGCAGCCCTTCCCTATTCCAATGCGTGGAACTTTGCTTCTCGCAATGTTGCCGCAGGTCATTATTGAAAGAATGGCAGAACTGGAGAAGGCAGAGTGAAGGTATGAGATCTATCAAATTGTACGGCCACAAACACACACTTGTATCCATCCAACTGCACAACATGGCATTGAACTGCAGTGTATGTAACCCAGCATCCTGCTTGCTTGCTGAATATTGTAAGCCGCCGTACATAGTATAGCACCCTTCCCTATGATTCTTTGACAACGTAACTCCGTTGGCCTTGCGGAATTGTTTGAAGCCATCACAAACAAGTTTGTGATTACAACAGCTTTACCGTATGTTCCCTGGCTGGAGGTGCCCATTTATTCGGTTCGTTATTTTATGCGTTTTTTAGACAATGTCCGCTGTAGCTTCCTTTCTGAAATTTATTTTTGTGGTGTAGCACCACGAAGTTGTCCTCGTACCCTTCTAACGAAGGTGGTCCACCTCAAGATCTCCCAAACCCACACCTCAACATTCAACAACCTTTGACGAATCGCTTCGAATGCGATTGGTCGAAAGAGGGGCGTCCGCACCATCTCATCTCATTGCGCGTGATTGACGCTTTCCGCAGCCTTTCTTTGCGCCAGGCCTCACTTCGCTCGGCAAACTGACTCCCCGTTCTGTTCCGCCCAAGACAGGTCTGGCGCCATGGATCCAAGAGAAAAGCCCTTCATCCCACGTCACTGGCCAGGCTTCGTCGGTGCTGCCGCGACGGTCAGCGCCCCCTCGCTTCGGTCGTGACTCCCGACAGCCTCGAAATTTGCTGGACTGGCTGGATTGGCTGGGAGAGCTGGTTGGGTTGAAACCGAGGTCCAGAACTTGCGTGGTTTGCGGTCTGGTCTGGACTCTAGGCCCAGTTTGGAGGCTTCACATCCATTGGATGTCGAGAGGGTAGGAACAGTGGTGGTGTGCGGTGGATTCTGGCCTGGCGGTCTGGTTGGTGTCACCAACTTGGCGAGGATTGCGCCTCGAGAGTTGCGCTGATTTGAGTTGGTGGAGGTGGTGAGTGATGACAGGCAGACAGACGCGCGGGTCCGCTCTGCTGCTCGGCTGGGCTCTACGCCGTTCTGCTGTGCTCCCTGTGGTGTCTTGGCTGTCCATTCCGAGATAAGCAGACAGATATGACTTCGGTACGTTCCATTCGATACCCTCGCTTCGCGTCGCCTTGCCAGTGCTCACGGACCACGAAGCATTCCCAATGGAATGGTTGAGCGCCAATCACGCTACTTCTAGTATGCCTTCTGATTGTCGAGGCAAGAGGGCTAGCAGATAGCCTTGTCGCTCGGGGTACACAAACAACCTGGCCTGCTCTATTTAGATCCGTTCATTCCTATCCACTACCACGACATTGAATCCAGACTAGGCTCTGCGTAAATGCAGCTTATTAGGGAAACTTAGGACACGCCTAATTCGTTTAGTTGCTGGTTTTAGACGGAAGTTATGAAGCGGCTCTTGTACCGTGCTACAGAGTCAACAGCGTACTCACCTAGGAAGAAGCACAAGGCAACCAGGATTTCCAGAGGTAACCAGCAGCGACAAAGTACTAGAGTTCCTGTGGGGACATCGCAGGCTTCTGATTCGCTAATAGGCTTTCGCCCGTCTTCGCCTAGAACGGTTCTCTCGGCTGACTCGGTAACCCTTTCGCGCGGTTCGACGTCGGTAACTATAGAGTCCAACCCCGAATCCAGCGTTCTCCAGCCGGAGCTGGAGGTAACCAGCCCCGCGTTCGGCGCTGACAAGGGATGTAGCGTCGAGGAGTTCACCGATCTGAGTTTACGTGAGGAAGAAGGTGACTGTAGCGATCCTGCTCGTGACTATACCGAGAGGCACATGGCGTTTTCAGAAGGCACGGCGGGTGTCACGTTATCGAGCACGAAGCGCGCGCGCAACGAGCGGGACAGCGAAGGGATGTGGAAGGCAGCCAAGCGACGATGCGTGGCCTTCGATTGTGTCACGCTTCCCCATCTTCCTTCATTAGGGGAGCCTCGGATTCAGCCAGACGTGCGGAAACCAGATGCCCACACGTCTTCACCAGCATTAGAACCGACGAGGCGAAGCACCACGAGCGAATCTCCCAGCCCAGTATCTCGCCCTCAAGCAATGCCTCCCACAAGCCCGCTCCCATGTCCCACAGCTAGCGATCTCCCAGTTCTCTCATGTCCTTTAACGCGCTTCAAGCGGCAGCGGCCGCCGACAATAGATATCCCGCGTAAGGGCTGCTTCACGTCGTCGCCGGCCGGCACGCCGGATTCGGCGGCGGAGGATGCGCTGGACGGCGTGGTGGAGGTGGCGGAGAGCGGCTCGTGCTTCGCCGTGGCGTGCAAGCGCGGGCGCAAGGCAGTGATGGAGGACACGTACCAGGCGCTTATTGGGTTCGCCGGGCGCGAGAGCGATGTAAGTGCGAGGATTTACTGGTTCTGCATTTGCGTGTCATTGGCACGCGTCATCGACATGCGCACCAGGGTGCTGAATTTTGCGGAGCGTGAGAGCTATGAACGCGCGCGGGGGGTAGGGGTTATCGGTTCCACACGTCATGGGTAAGCGGGTCATGGGTACGCGGTTCATGGGTACGCGGGCGGGTCATGGATACGCGGGTCATGGACATACATGTCGCGTTTTTTCCACGAGCTTATTGCTCTGGACCACACCGTACTGCGTCCCCCTGCAGGCGTTCTTCGGGGTGTTTGACGGGCACGGCGGCACATCAGCCGCCAAGTTCGCGGCGTCCGAGCTGGCGAGCCACGTGGCGCAGGCAGCCGCGCACAAAGGCGCGCACGCGAGTGAGGCGGCGCTGGTGGAGGGGTACCTGGAGGCGGACAGGCACTTTCTGGAGCAGGTGCGTGTGAGGATGGCCGGGCGCTTGCTGTCTTTCTGCGCGTTTTTTGCCTTGTTGAATGCATTCCTCCTCGCGTGCAGGGGTGGGTGGATGGGTTTTTCTCCCCCGTCCTAGCGTTCCCGTTCCTCTGCAAGCGCTTGTCATTCTTGTTCCCCCCCATCTCACCTCTTTCCGTCGTCCCTGCACTGCATCTTTCCATTGCCCCACTTATGCATATGCTACAGAACGTCGCCAGTGGCACCAGTTGCCTCACCTGCTGGGCGACGTCTGGGCGGCTTTTGCTGGCGCATGCGGGGGATTGCAAGGCGGTACTGGTGAAGGGGGGGAGAGCGGTGGCGTTGACAGAAGACCACCGGGCGGGCAGGGAAGACGAGCAGGCCCGCATCACTGCCCTGGTAGGTCCCACCTCCCTGCCACTGGATTCGGCAGCGCCATGCTTGGCTTTCCTGTGGAAGGATCGAGTCTAAGGAGACCTTGGTTCTGTTTTTTACTTGTTCCTCTGCTGCTCCTCTCACCCCTCCGGGCTCTCCTGTCCCATCCATGTCTCCTCTCCAACAGGGTGGCTTTGTGGACACAGCCACGGGCATGCCGCGTGTGCAGGGCATCCTGGCAGTGACGAGGGGCATAGGCGACGCGCACTTGAAGGCGTTCATCACGCCGCAGCCGGACGTGGCGCAGGTGCGCGTGGGGGCGGACTGCAGCGCTCTCATCCTGGCCTCTGACGGGCTCTGGGACGTGGTGGCGCCGCAAGACGCTGCTGACGTGGTCGCAGCTTGTGTCGGTGCAGCGGTGGAGGCACGGGCAGCAGCGGGGGAAGCGCAGGCGGCAGCGGGGGAAGTAGGAGCAGCAGCATCTGCATTGCTGGGACCTGCCCCCTTCCCGCCGAGCAAACGGGCGCGCACGCAGCGCACACAGGGCTGGTCAGCTGAGCCACGGAAGGAGAGGGAGAGGGAGAGGGAGAGAGAGTGCAGGAACCCGTTCAGCAGTCCACTAGGCACACCTCCCTGCACACCACGCTCGCACACGGCAGCCACCACCCCTCCTTGCACCCCCCATTCCCGTGCCTCCACCACCCCACCTTGTCTGCCTCGCCCACGCATCCCCACCACCGCCACCGCTACGACCACTGCCACCACCACCATCATCGCCACTCCCACCACCGTCACCCCACCCACACCCCGCGGCCTTTTCTCTCCCGGCTCCATAACCCGCCCTCCCTTCACACCTCCGTGGCTTGATGCCCCTTCTGAACCCGCTGTGCGTGTGGGACCAAACGGTGCAGCACCTGGGACTTCAGAGGAGGCTGTGGCAACTGAGAGCGCAGCTACTGTCGCAGCATTACAGCAAGGGGGTGTCACATTTCTGGTAGGCGGAAAGGAATCTGATAATGATGGGAGCAAGAAGGTTCAAAGGACTTTCCCCAGTGAGATGGGGAGAGGAGATTGCAGTGGAGGTGGTGGGAGGAGAGGGAGTGAGGGGGTGACACGAGGGGTGGATGGGGAGGTGCTGCTGAGTGCATGCCAGGCATTGGTTGGCATGGCAGCAGCACGGGGGAGTAGGGATGATATCACTGTCATGCTTGTGTCTCTTGCCCCCTTTGCTGAGTCAGCAGGATCATAGGTTCCTGATGACTCAATCAAAATTGGCTGATGGCAATGGTTAGCATCAGTTGGAAATAGCACCAAATGTATCTTGTACGTGCACTTGTACTACTAAAGCAGCTGGTCAGTGTAACATCCCTTGCAGCCAAGACAATAGAAATGACACTCAGCTGCCCATTGGTCAGTCTGCCAGCCAGTTGACAGAAGACTGCCAACGCTAGTACCAGTAAGGGCGCGTAACCATTTTGCACCCGACGGTTCGAACCGTGGACCGTCCGGGTGGCGAAAAGGTAACATTATTCGCGCTATGTCGTAAGTGTGTTCGTTAAGGTGTTGGCGACATTGCCAACTTAACGGACAGTCGTGACACTTTTTCCCATTTTCTACGGTCCGAAATCTGAACCGTGGACAGTCCAAATCTCAAACGGACTGTCCGAATTTCCTTGCATCCGATTGGTGCACGACGTAAAAATTCTAGAGCATCTCGTCCACCAACAAAAACATGTGGTGAGACTTCGCAAATTTACATTGACCAACCAGAGACAAATTGTTTAGAACAATGATTCGACAACGAAAAACATGAAAATCGTAAATCGCGTAACGCTTGTACAGTTGTCGCGAAACTGTACAATAGAAGAAAAGTGTCACAACTGCCTTCGGACAGTCCGAAGTTGCAAATTTTCACTTCGGACGGTCCCGTTTTCAGTAAGTGGACCGTCCGCTTCGTTTTAAGCGGACTGTCCGTCAAAATCACAAAATGCAAAATGGTTACGCGCCCTAACATCCATGAGCCAATTCAAGAGGCAAGTGGCAACCGTGAGCTAGCCCAAGGTACACACGAACTCATAATAGTACACTCCAACACTACAATACAGGGGCACTACCGGTATGATCTCAGCAAAACAAGCAAAACTACCTCCTACAAATTTAGCAGCCCTACTCAGCTACGGTATCAGACGCTACAGTATCTAGATCACTCCAGTCTACACTACAATTTTAGCGCATCCTACAGGGTTATGCCATCAGAAAAAAGAGCAACCAGAACCCTCCAGTGCCTCCGGTCTTCAGCTGCTAGGTGCATAGGAAGATTAGCGCAGCTGGCATGGCACAGCATGATGCAGCGTAACACGATACTGTAGGAATAGAAGGGCTCGCTTTGTACCTCTCACCGCCCTGAGTGAGAATATCAGTGACCTGGGAAGGCTGTTGGAGTCAACCAGTTGCGGTGAGCGAGGGGTGGAGAGGAATGGAGAGGGGTTGCAGGAATTGGAAGTAGTTGAGTCTCGTTGTGTAACGCTGCAGAGGTTTCCCAATTTATTCAAAATTGCCTCATGCAGGAAGTGAGGCATGGAAGGGAGGAGTAGAGGCTGAAGGAAGGCATGATTTGGAGGGGGATGGCGGGTGGGTGAGGCTGGTTGGAAGGAGGGATGCGCAACGTGCAGCATGCGCTAAGAGCACCCCGTCAGCATGCGTTAGAAGTGCGTCAGCATGCGTTAAGAACACGTCAGGAGGGCGCCAGGAAGTGCAACAGGAGCTGCAAAGTTAGGAGTCACAGCAGCACCGGGAGCAGAAGCTAGCGCAGCAGCAGGAGCCGGAAGAGCAGGAGGAGCAGGAGGAACAGGAGGAGACGCGGCAGCAGAGGCGGAGGCGAGCGGTGAAGGTTGCCCGTGAGCCCTGGCAGCCATGGCTTCTCGTTCCACCGCCTTCTTGTGACACCTGCCGGGGGCAGAGGTGGAGGTGGGACAACACCCAAGAGGGTCAAAGAGAAGGGCGGCGTTAGATGCGAGGTACGAAGAACCGGCACGCGTAATAAAGGGGCTTGCAAAAAATATTTGTAAAAAAAAAAGTCTAGCCCCACGTTTGCTGTCAGGGCGTGCCACGTGGCCTCACCTGGACTTGCCGTGTGTCCGCAGCGTGCTCCTCTGCAGGTCGACAGCGCCGTCGCGCGTGAACGGCGTGGGCTCGTCCGCGCACCACTTGAGGCACAGTGAGCACCGCATCGCCTGCCGCCCGTCCGCGCGCACGTGCAGCTCCGCCCAGGGGAACGCCGCTGTGGGGGAAAGCGCGGAGGGGAGACCGCGGACGCGGACGCGGAGGAGAGGGACAGAGGGGAAGGGCGGAAAGAGGAGGGGAGGCAGAAAGGGCAGGGAGCAAGGGGAGAGGGAAAGGCAGGCGGAGGAATGTTAAGGCCTAGTGCCAACGCGGAGTTAGCACGGTGAATGCGGGATGGTAAGAGGCATGAAGCCTCATGCCACACCATGGTTTGCGTCCCTCCGCAAACCATGGCACGGAGAATGTGAGGTACGCACCACGCCCGCATCGCCAAGTGCCCCTACTTGGCTGTTTCTCTGCCGCATTGCACTTCACTAGCACCGGTTCGCACGTGCTTCTCGCTAGCACTCATAATACATTTGACTTACGCCGCCATTTCTCGGGCCGCCAGCAGTGCTTCGGCTTCTTGTTCGGCGACGCGCCGCTCCCCTTCTCCCCGCCGCATGCGCGAAACGACTCGCCCTCCAATGCTGTCAGATCCCTCTTGCCGCATTTTACGGGCTCACTGTCGAGCAGCTGAAGGGCATCGGACGGCTGAGATCCATTTGCAGCGGCAGGTGTTTCCAACGACACCACAGCCGTCGGAACGGCGACGGTGCGCGCGTCTGCAAAGTTTAAGGACAAGCCTCGTACCACGGGCCTTTTTTCGCCCACATTTCGCCACGGCGCCATCCTGACCTGCGACGCGGTAGGCAGTGCGAGGCACGGCCGTGAGAGGAGGGGCGAGGTCGTGCGTTGGGGAGGCGCGGGGAAGAGTGATAGGCGGAGCGCGCAGTCCGCCTCGCGCGTGGCTTGACACTCGAACCCCGGCGAGACGGGAGACGAGCGCTGAGACGTCGGCGGGGTGGGGGACGCGTCGACAAGGGGCGGAGCGAGCGATAGTCGGAGAGAGCAGGGGCCATCCTCTTTATAATGCTCTTCGTTGTCCCCTTTGTGGTCGAGGCTTGAGTTGGCGGAAGAGGACGACGACGGGCAGGCCTTGCGGACGTGCGACACGGACGACGGTCGATCACCCGTGAACGTCGACGGATGATCGGCAGTGAGGGGCGATGGGAGGTCGCATCCTGCTGTCGACGGCGCTGGGCCGATGTGCCTTGGAGGGGTTATTTGCAGGGACGGTGCTACCAGGTGGAACGCGGAGCGCGCACTGCAGCCAATCCGCACGTGGTGAGGTGAGTTGGTGCTATTTTCTGCTCCGCTATTCACCGCCCTTCTGTTGACCGCCCCGGTAAAGCCTGGTACGATATTGCCCACCCTAATGTCTACCCCGCTACCGTTCTCTGTCTCGCTTGCGTCTACGGCGGAGGTTGCGGAGCTAGAAGGCGAGTGACGCGGAAAGGGAAGGCCCTTTCCCGCCGAACTAGATATCAGGTCCAACCCAAAGGCGGGAAGATTATCATCCGTATCTTCCATAGCACCTACCAGCACTAACTCTGGCTATCTTTCGATCAGGCGGTGAGTTCGGGAAATGAAATGGTGAAGATCAAGGGAGCTTGGTATGACCAGGCTGGCTTTGCCGCCAGTGTTGTGGCCAGGCGGCTGATTGAAAAGGCGACTGAATATCTAGCTGCAGTGCTTTTGGCGTGGAAATTGTGGGTTCCCAACAGAATTGCCATAACCCAAGGGTTTGTCTTGCTCTAGCCCTTGCTTTTGGTCCAGAAGGCTGATTCGCGACGCTTGTGAGGCGCCCCACTCCACTGCGGGGAAAGGAACTAATTCGCGGCAGACAAGGAGCCAGCAGAGGCGCGTAACGCTCGCGTAGTCGCCGCAGCAGGCACTGGATGGGAGCGAGAGACGGGGGAGTGCTGACGAAAATAGCCAAGGGAGAGGAGAAGAGAAGAGGCGCAAAATGTCAAAATGTGGGTCCGAGGCGCGCGCTGGTAATCACTGTGCAACGCACCCTGCTGCTTGCCCCGCACTCGCTGCCCCAACCTAGGGCGATAGTTGAAAATGCGTGGCGCATGTGATTTTTGCGACAAACGGAATGGCGGAAGTAAGCGGGTAATGGCCGTCGCCTGGTGCTGTTCTGGTTGGCGAAACATCGCAGAGGCGTTACACGAGCCTCGACCCAAACCCGATTGCTGCTGATGCGCAGGGGCCATATCGTTCATGGAGCATCGACTGCACAGCTTCGTGACTTCGCCGAGTCGCTACGAAGCTGGTGGTCCTCGAGTGCGGTTCGATTGAATATGCCACGTGGGGGGCGCAAGCAGCAGCCAACGAAACCCCGCCAGCACGTCAAGGCTCTGACATCTTACTGACACTTCAGGAAAATGAGGATGTACGCGATCATTGAACGCTCGCTAGCAAGATCCTGCATCTACAGCATTATTCTACCCTGTTATGTCGAAGTGAATAATGTAATTCGATCTCCTTCATACACGCATGCCAAAAAAAAAAACCTAGAAAGTTGGCGGGAAGCCTTCCCTTGAACTCGTGCCCTTGTCTAGGCAGTGTCAATTTCGTGAGCAATATCATGTATAGGAGGTCGTCATTCGGCTTGCACAATTAGCACGATAAACGCGTTGCGAGGCCGTCTTTTACCGGCAAGTGACAGCGGGAACACCAAAATCCGCTCTTGTTTCTCTGTCTCATGCAGATGATCAACTCGTGGTTTCAGGGTGGTCCTAGTTTTAGAGATGAGCCCGTGTCGCTCATGGATAGCTGGCGGGCGTATGAGGCCCAGGGTGGTGGATTAGACATGGAGAGTGGCGAAGGTGCGTCGTCGTCGGGAGCAGGTGGCGGGGGATCTTCAGGGGGTGCAGCAGCTAGCGGGATTCCCGGACTTAGCTTCGACGCTTTCACCCCGTATTTTCAAAACGCATCGGACTCCGTCAACGCAACATGGTCTAGGTGAGCAAGCCATATGTCCGCGAGTGGCGAAGCAGTCCAGGTTCTAATGCGTTATAGTAATGATGCCAACCACTTACAGTTGTCAGCACAAGCCGGACCTTATGGATTTGATCCCTTGCGTCATCCCTTCTCTTTCCCTCTCTCCCTTGCCTACCCTCACCCGAAACCCCTAGTGTGTCGAAGAACGTGCAGGAGTTGCCGGGAAGCATCCAGAAGCAGGCGAACGTGCTGCCGTCGCGGAAAGCTCTGATGTACTTCGTGGTGGTGCTGGCCACGGGCGTGTTCTTCCTCTTCCTCGCCTTCTCCATGTTCCTCCCAGTCATTGTGCTCGCTCCCCAAAAGTTCGCTGTCTGCTTCACAATAGGCTGCCTGCTCGTGGTGGGCTCCTTCTTTGTGCTCAAAGGACCCATGGTGCAGCTCCAGAGTATGACCTCCGCTGAGGTACGCCGTGCGCTTGTACCAACAGTAAAAAGCATTGAGTTGATGCAGCATCTGGAGATGCTGGTCTGGGGAGTTGGAGGGTTTTGTTATGATCTCTTTTCCTTTGTCTTCATTGCTCCCCTTGCAGAGGCTCCCATTTTCGTTGTTCCTTGTTGGGAGCATGGTCAGCACAATCTATTGCTCAATGGTTCTTCACTCTTATCTGCTTTCAGTTATATCGTCTGGAGCACAGGTACGTAGACTTACATCCCCGTTTTTCAGAATCGTTGATGCAGTTTGCAGTCTTCCCTGCCCGTGTCATCAAGCTTTTCTGATATGCCATACAAGTTGATTTGATATGTCACTCATAAGTGCAGGTCTGCGAAATTCAGTTTCTGTGTATGTTTGGTTGCATTGTGCTACAGGTTCTTGCACTTGTTTATTACGTCGTGTCTTTCTTCCCTGGTGGCACCACTGGCTTGCGCTTTCTCACATCCATGTTCACGTCAGCTGCTACCAGCCTAATGAGATAATATACTAGCTTTCAAACCTTAGAAAGAAAGTGCTGTAATGTTTACTGTACTTGGAGTTGCAGATCAGGCTTGAATGCATGAACTGGATAACGAAGAAGGGATGAGGATGTTGCCACGTGGTGGCGCTTTGTGGTGAAAAGTTCTGTTGGTGTCTGACAGCATCGCCGTGCAAGATCTGCGACGTGCGTTCGCGAGATACAACGATGCATGGTTTCCCATCGCTCGTGCATTTGTTCCTTCGCAGTGTCCCATGAGTGCTGGCTGGCATCAAATATATCCATTTGCAACGGTTCAGCACTATCATGCATTTCTCGCTACTACATTTTAGGACGGCATTAGGAGGTGATCGTAGGCTCTAGACGCCTAAAAGACCATTGATAACTCGCGCAGGTACTTACGTTGTCATCCAGCCGCGATTCGCGACAAATAAAATATCATTTGAGGAGATATTCCTGCAGGTGCCGTGCACAAAGTCATCATGGCAGCTATGGGGTGTCAAGCAATGATGAAGGTGCATACCCCTGAATGCCACAGAACTGCGAGCAATGCGAGTCCCGCTGGTGTAATTCTCACACGTTACCCCAATGCCGTGCCTTTTCTGACTTCGATTCATCCGTCGTAGACGCAATGCTCGTGTCGTCTCATCTCCTGTGTTCTCCTCGTTTTCCCACAATGCCTTCCCCAGTCATTCCTCGTCAGCACCTCTCTCAAGAATGGCGGCGATTCGTTTCACTCACAAACCACCAGCCGACCAGCATCACATAAGCGTCGCAGCTCACCGCGTCTGGCGGTGAGAGCGGCGGCGAAGACGGCGGATGATCCGGCGGCGAAGGCGCTTCAGGCGAAGTCGTTAGGCGAGCTGCGGGCGATGGCGAGGGAGAAAGGGTTGCGCGGGGATACCAAGGCAGAGCTGGTCAAGCTGCTGCTGGAGTAAGTCCATCTATGGATCCCCTCGTCCCTTCAGAAACGAACTAGCAATAAACGTTCGAGCACGTGGCAAGCACGAGCTGCAATATTGCGTAACGCATCCAGCAGCTCATTGCGCACGCCGGACATGGTCGCTGGTTTCCTGCTGAGTGTGCACGTGCTCTCGCCCGTCCTGTGATCATTTGTTATGCAACCAACACACACGAAACCACCCGTCATGTAACCATCCCTCTTGTAACCACAGCTAGGGTAACCACCCTCGTTTAACCACCCATTGTGTGACCCTCCTTCAGGACCCAGCCGTCCTCGGCATCCCCCGTGCAGCCGTCCGCAGTGATCCCTCCCCCTGAATCAACGCTCAGACCCATCGCTCCAGCTCCCACCGCCGCCACCACCACTGCCAGCGGGGCTTCCGGCGGCAAGGGCGGCAAGGCGGAGGCGGCGAAGGCGCTAGAGGCGATGAGCACGGCGCAGCTGCGCGCCATGGCCCGGGAGAAGGGACTCCGGGGCGACACGCGCGCTGAGCTGATTAATCTCCTCGTGTAAGGCGTACTAATGCACTGTGAGCCCAACCCCCTCCTACCATCCTATCTCTCCCCTCATCTGTGCCGTCCCCTCATCCGTTTTCCCCCCCCCCCCCCCCCCCCCCCCTTCCCCGCCTATCCCCCATCCGCAGAGCCGCCCTCCCCGAGTCCGCCAAGCCCACCTCAAACGCCTCGGTCATGCCGCGGCCCCTTCCCCCGTCCGCCTCGCCTGCTGCTGCGGCGGCCGCCGCCGCTGCAGCCTCTGGCGACGGCAATGGCGCGAGCAGCAGCAGCAGGGAGTCGGAAGTGGCGGAGGCGGAGGTGGTTCTGCCACCATTCGCCTCGGATATTCCCCCTGGCGGCATTGCCATCAGCCAAGTGCAGGTGCAGAGCGGAAGGGAATAATGGGGAAGGGAGCTGCGGGAAGTAAGTTTGGGAGTTGTTAGATTCAGTGCTCTCGCCCCCCTCAGTGCTCTCGTCCCCCTCAGCGTTCTCACCCCTCTCAGCGCTCTCAGCACTCTCATCCTTGCACCCTTTTCACTCGCTGTCGTCCCTTCACCCAGAAACAGCCAGGAGGCAAGGCGGGCAGTGGGGCGACGTCAAAAGAGGTGAAGGAGGCAGCAGCGGAGCTGAAGCAGGGGCAGTTCGTGCGCTCCGTGCTCATAGGCGGCTTTGGCCTCGCCCTCGTGCCTCTCGTGCTGCCCCTCGCCCCCACCAACAGACTCGTCCCAGGCTCGCCCGCTGAACAGGTAGGCCTAGGGTGATAAGTTTCCAGAGGGGTGTTTGCTGATGCGTAGATTTGATTTCAGAAATCTTACGACAATAGAAAGCAGGTGAGTTTGTTCCACCTCCTGCACACTATAATGCTGCAGCAGCAGACCCAATAAAGAAAAGGGCATCTGTTTTCACTCTCCCCATCCCCCCTCCCCCTCTTCCCGCTCTCGTCACATTGCCACCAACACCAATTTTTGCTGCCTTCTTCTCTCCGGCCGTCTCTCCTGCGCCACAGAGTATCGAGCACATTTGCATTCACTCTTTCGCCTCTTCCCATCTTTCCCCTTCTCCCTTCCCGCCGTCCTCACATTGCTACCAATGCTGAATTTTGCCTCCTGTGTCTCTCCATCCATCTCTCCTGCCCCCATCAGCTGGCAGCGCAGCTAGGGGAGGAGGCGACAGTGCTGCTCAACTCACTGCTGGACACGCAGGCTGTCACGGTGAACCAGCTGCAGGCGCTCATGCCTCTCATCTCACCAGACCTGGACCCCACCACACGGGCTGCCAGAGCTGCTTGGTTCTGCCAGCAGGTGCCTCCGGCGGCTCGCTCAGAGCAGGCGGAGAAATTCTGCAAAACTGTCACTCAGATTGGCATTCGAGCATCTGCTCAGTGACTTAATGCCATACCTCCCTGTGTAAAGGGGGTGGTGGAAGATGGTCCATGGGCCTGTCGGTCGATTGTGTGGACACCGGGACTTGTTTCTGGCAACATTCGCCAGGGCCCACTTTTTGTTATACATTCTAGTCTGCTTTGCAGGGCGGTGCTCTGGAAAAATAGTCCCACATACTCTCCACTCCACATTCTCAATAAGCTGAGTTTGACAAGGTGGTGCTGGATTGGGGTTCATCTGCACTTGGGCGCCATTGAACAGCTGTAAGAGCGACGTCATGGCAAACTTGTAGGGCTTGAAGTTTTTGGGTTGCGGAGCAACCTATTACAATCGTTATGTACAATTTTTTTTTCAGTCCTCTATAAAAACGACGGAAAATATCTAGCGAATGGTAGCTAAGTGACTAAATGCTACGTATTTGCCACCATAATTTACCACGTGCCGTAGTGTGTTCCTTCTAGTTTGCCTTGATTGAATCTATATTGTCAAAATAATGTCACCGTGAACGTTTGATTGTGTATCTCGTAATGCATATGCCGGATTATACTATGCATATATGGATGGATATAATGAACCATATATTTAATGAAAAATGCATAAATGTAATGTATGTGCTACCATGGTGAAATATTACGATATATTCGGTACTTTAGTGAAATAGATGCATAGCATGATAAAAATGCGTAACAGTTAATTGACCCAGACCCTATGCTACCGCATCCCCTGCCTAGCATGGGGGGGAGGTCGATAGCATAGTTGCTGAATCATCCAACTGCTACATAAAACAACACAATCTGTGTAAACTAAAAAAATGATCAAAATCCATCAAATCCAGTTCAAGTGAACACACTCACTGAGTGGGCAAAGAACCTTCTCGGAATTGATAGTTTGATCATTTTTTTAAAAGACACAGACATGCATTGTTAATGCAATGCAATATACATATGGATGAATGCACACACACATACATACGCACACGTAAAGACACATACACACAGACGCACACATATGCACGCGCAAAAACTGAGACAAATCATTAAAAAAGGCAAAAGAAACCTACCAAAGCAATACAGTACCATCAATCATACAAGTTAACACTGATATACTTCTAGTTTCTATATTGGTCTTGACTTCCCAATGGTACAGCAAAGCCTCTGGAGGGTAGGATATAATAAAAAGGGGGAGCGAGAGGGAGGCGGGGAAAGGAAGGGGCAGAAGAAGGGAGAAAGCAGAGAAATTGAATGACATCATAACCAAACAGAAACAACATACACGGATTGACCAAGTGAAAGAAATGGCAAACCAAACAGGAAAAAAACGGAGAATAAAAAGTATTCTATGATAACGAGAAAAAAAACGAGCACGAAGAAGAACATAAGAAAAAACAAGGGAGAGAAGAAAGCATGCGATAAACATGAGGTGAAGAATGACAAGGACTGAATCAAGGAGAGAATATAATAGAAAGAAAGAAGGAATGCAAGAGAAAACGGCGGAGGGAGGAGCGAGAGAGAACGAAAAAGGTGATGTTGAAGAATAAAAAAGAAATGAAAGTGCATGTACAGAAAAGGGCTTACAAAAGGGGAAAGAATGAAGAACATAAAATCAAGTCTATAAATAATGGAAGGAATTGAGGATTGAGTTAAGAGATCTGTATTCGAAAGGATACGAAGAAAAAGACCTTAATTACTAAGTTCTAATTTGACCTAGATTTAAACAAAACAGCAACTTCGTTTTTCGTTCTCTTGCACGCTCTCTCCCTATACCCGTGCCATATCCTCTGCCGCTGCTCTTACGTACTCTCCCTCTCTTTCGCTCTCTTTCTTCCAACATGTTCTCACCGTTAAAAAGACAAGGAATTGAGACAACAACGTGCTTGAGCATTTCCTGCAGTTAGGTGGAGGATCACAGAAACAAAAAAACAGGATATTAACGGATGCAGTAGATCAAATTCAATCATCTTCGGCTTCAAAATGACCTAGGTAGTAGATCAATGGATTGTATCATTTATAGTTGCTAGCATCTACATCGCATTGGGCTGCAACCCTTCAAAACGACATAGCAGAAAGGGTTGCAGCCTTGAAATCCGACTCACTATTTGAACGAAAACGACACACTGCAAGGTCGAAATAAGCTTGAAAACGGAAAAGTAAATAAACAAGAATGGAATCAGGCTTATCAACGACCTAGAGACTATTACGACGTTAACTGAAAGCCTAGAACCTATCTTTAACAACATGCATAGCTTAAAAACGGCGAACACGTTAGTAAAAAAGTAGAATACGACATTACGACCATAGAAACAAGCAAAAGGGTACAAATGACTAGTATATAATATTGACCTCAAATTCACACATGGAGTAGATCAGTTTCAAGATCGATGGATTGTATATTTGGTCGTTACTAGGATCTACGTCAAATAGGGCTGCAACCCTTCAAAACGACGTAGCAAAAAGGGCTGCAGCCATTGAAAACTGACTTAATATTCGAATGAAAACGAGAAAATGCAAGGTCGAGAGCTTAAAAGCGGCGTGAATGAAACAACGGGAATGAATGCAGGCCTATCGACTACCTAGTGTGAGATCGGAAGGTGTCCGTTTCGATTCTTGCACGGGACGTTTTACAAATATGCATTTGAATGAGCAGCAATAAGTGTTACATGATTCTAAGTTTTATATAACGATACCACCCAAATGTACTTAAGTAAAGATGCTCCGCAACCCTAAGACGATTTCGTCGCCTCTTGTTTTTTTTTCCACTTGAACCATGAATTCAGTCGTATCTTCTTGAGGGTGCAGGATGGCAACGTAGGCATAACTGGCAGCACTAGAGACTGCTGGTGGGTGGATATCTAGGCTTGTGTTATGACATGTATTCTCTAAATAGCTTCATGGCAGTCAACCAAATAGAAAGGTTGTCTCTAAATAGCTTCATGATTTGGTGGGCGAACATAATTTTTATGGTACCCTTTCCATGTACTTGAATCGATTTTCGAACTTGTTTGAAGCTGGTCAAGGGAACAGTTGGCGTGTGGAGGCGCCACCATCGCACATGCTTGGAGTTGGAAAGCTGGCCTTCGCTCTTCGCGTGGATGCCATTCGTGGCGCTGGAGAGCACGAAGGTACGCACTGAGAATCTGAAGCTCGCCAGAAGCCACATCGCATGGTAGGCACGTGGAGGAAGCTGACTGTGAACCTGTTTCACCAATCCCGTCATCAAGGGAGAGTCACATCATCTTATGTCCCGCCCACAACAGAGGCAAAGCATGCGGCGTCCTTGCGCCCTGCGCGTACACCAAATCCATGCCATCTCCTCCCCAATTCCATCCAACGCCTCTCACCGTTTCACTGTTGCGGGATTGCCGATCACCACCGACTTCGGGAAATGGGGGACAAACGAAACGCACCAACCGTCGGCGCAGGTCCAACCTGCTTGGGCTGTGTCAGATCAGCAAGTGCGTGTGCGCTTGCAATAGCACGAGTGCGCTGGCATACAGCAGAGCCTCGCTGAAATTCCCCTTGAAAACGCAGAACCGTCCCTCACCCCGCAGAATGCTAGTCCAACCCAACACAATGCCGCGCGACTACTTTGCTTCAGCGCAACTTTCTGGTTCTGCTGGGAGACCACACCACCTCAGATCCCCGTTTTGCCAAGAAATCAGTCAAGATACATCAGACCCTCCACCCCCCTCCACCCTTCCACCCCTCCACCATCCTCCACCTCCACCCCCCAGCCTACCTGCCGCACCCTCCTCATCCCTCCTCGAGTTCAGAAAAAGTGGATGGAGCTCCGTAACAGTTCAGATTGCTCACACACAATTTCGTCGACCGCCTTCACTCCATCAATTCACTCTTATCTCTGCCTGACGAATATCGGTCCTCAGTGCACTTCAGTTTGCCGCAACGAAAGGTTTTCACACGCGTTGGATTACTCGAGGATATGGAGTGCTCAGATGCTTTGCGGTTATCAGTAGGGAGAAATCTAACTCTTGGGCCTTCATGGCAAACCCAACCAGATGGCTCTGACTCAAGGTAGCACCATATCCCCTCTGCCGAAAATCGCATATGTTAAACATCTTGTAGTCTGCTTTCGCTGGTGGCGATAACCTAATCTTCCTCCTGGTGACATTTTGTTCAAATCGTTCCAGAAGTGGAGGATAGTGAAATAGAGAAGGATAGTGTGGTCGGGAGAAAGAGGTGAGTTTCAGACTCATCGCACCTTATTCATGCAAAGCTTCGTCGTTGAGATTTACGGTTATTGATCTAGGTTACGTTTATTGGGCGTGCAGGCCTCGAGAAGAATCTGCGAGAGACCTTCTCTGCACGAAAGCAAGTCGCGAGAAGATGCGACGTGATCGCTTGAACGACAGGTTGGTGCGCGAGGCGAGATTTTTGCCGAACTGTTTTTTTTTGTCTTGGCTAGGATGCCTGCAGACTTGCCACAAAGACCAAGCCAACTGACTCAATATACTTCTGTGGTGCAGGTTTCTTGAGTTGGGGAGGGAACTCGACCCGGATCTGCCTCCCAAGACGGACAAAGCCGTGATTCTGAACGACACAGTGAAGCTTCTGACGCGATTGAAAGAAGAGGCGATTGCCCTGACAGAAGGCAACCGACAACTACGTGACCAGATAAAGGAACTAAAGGTAGTTCCCGTGCTTCTTATTTCACCGCTTGTGTACCGTCTCCCGTGCATGTATTCTACAGGGTGCAGGTATTGGCCTTTAAAGGCAGTTATTCTTCTTCCTATAATTGCCCTTGTGTAACCCCTCCACACCTTTATCCCCCGACTGCCGTGCAGGTGGAGAAGTCGGAGCTCCGCGAAGAGAAGTTACGGCTGAAGGCTGAAAAGGACGTTCTGCAAGGGAAGTTGCACTCGTTGCCCGTCCCTGCCACTGGTTGCTTCACATCTCAGGCAGCAGCAGCAGCGGCATCAGCCGCACTGCAAGCTGCAGCAGTGGCAGCGTTTTCTGGTCAAATTACAGCCAAACCAGCAGACTACAGCCACGTGTTTGCTGTGGCTCCGCCACCCGTGGACGCAGCGGATCAGAACACGGGCATGTGGCAATGGCTGCCGCCCAATGCTGCTGACATTTCCAGGGATCATATCCTTCGCCCTCCTGTTGCTTGAAAGCATGTGTGCATCAGGCGATTTTACATGGTTCTCCACGCTTACATTTGTGAGCCACGTTTTACACGGTGGTCTCACAGTGACATCTTTGCACGAGCTGGGTGCAATGCAAGTTGCACTTCCAAGCTGACCAAGGTCAAAGCAACCCGGGGGCATGAGTCTGTTCTCAGCAAGGAGGGTGGTGCTGTGTGCCAAGTTAAGCTCTTCTTGCAGTTTTTGCAGTTCTCAACGATACATGCCACCTGCGACATACTGCAGGGCAAACGATGTTATCATAAGGCTACGAAGAGTGGTCAGGTACATAGACAAGTGCAGATAGCGTACGTCTGTATGTGCGTAAGCATTATGGCTGCATTGTTTATGCACATCTTAGAAATCGTTCATATAGAAATATTGTTGCCAGCAAATGTGGTTTTCAAATCAAAGAAAGCATCCTCTCCTCTTCCACACATGATACGGTACTTCATCCAAGACAAGCTGTCAAGAAATCATATTCGACTATCACTTGATACAATCGTCTATATTACATAGCCCCAATGTCTCATCACACTTCACAAGCATTATCCTCACACTCTAATGACCCCCACCGTGCAGAAACCCTCTTGCATGGAAACTCTGGCTTCTTGAGACTGGAAGGGGAGCATGGGAAACAAATTAAGGAATATGTTAGTAGTTACAGAGAATGGAGGAACCACGGGGCACACCACTGGGATTAGTGAAATGGTAAGGCCATAGCAGGTACCTGCGGTTGACGATGTTGTGCAGGCGACACATGTACTGCTCCAGCTCCCCCCTTGACCCTGCCTGGGGAGGGTTGGCCCTGGAGTGGAGGAAACAATAGGGACAACAGGAAGCACAGAAGGGGCTTAGTGGAGACAGTCTATACAGAAAAGGAGGTGATTTTACAGTGTAGCAATGTGATACATTTGAGTGAGCCGGCATGGAAATACATCAGGGCCTCACTTGACTATCTTCTGAAAGTGGTAGGAGCAGATTTTGCATGGGTAGACGCGGGCAAGGAGAGTCACCTGCAGAAGGAGTGAAGAACAGGAGAATAAATGGGGATGAGTGAGGGATGAGAGGACAGGATGGGGTGATCACAGGTGCAGAGGCAACCACATACATATGAAGGGCGCAGGAGCATGTAAAACCAGATGTGACTACTCAGAAGCATGCACACAGGGAGGGACGCAGTCAAAGCAGCACAGAGTGGCCAAACCATGAAAGGCAGCGAGGGCAGGCATGGCAGCATGCGGGAAGCTTAAATTGCTGCAAAACTCACAAAGTCCTTGGCGTCCTTCTGTTGCTGCTTGCTTGGCTTCTCCGGAAACTGCCGGAGAGAAGACAGCGAGGGAGGTGGAGGAATGGTGGTGGAATTTAAGGAGGCATGATTCTGCAAATGGAAGTGTAAAGCCACCATGCGCGATGAGGCTGACTGCAGAGCAGAGTGCCTTCCTGCAGCTCCCCTCTGTTACCTCCCTGAGCTTCGCCTCCCTCACAGGCGCACTGCCCCCACCACCCTCGCTTTTCCACACCCCCCTTCAACCCCCTCGCACCTGAGCCGCCAGCGTGTGTAGAAACGTCCACGTGGCGCGCCCCAGCTCCTCCTTGGTCGCTGGCCCCGCCTCCTGCGCTGCCTGGAGTACGCGCGCATGGGGGGGAGGGGAATTCGCGCAAGTGACAGTGGAGGGGGGGAGAGGTTCAGCAGCCATGGTCATGCCAATTCAGATGTTCATGGCCCTTGATTCGTGCACGATGCACCCCGCATCATGTTTCACCAGAAGATATTAGTGAGGGTGTGTGTGCCTGCATGAGGGCAAGACGGCAGCAGCACGCATCAAACAGCAATGACACCGCTCCCTTAACCCAACAACTCCGCACCTTCTTGAGGAAGTCCGGGGCAGGACCCGCCCACTCCTCCGCGCCATCCGCGCCAATCCTCGCCCCGCCCGCCTGCTGCTGCCTCTGCTGCCCCGCCTGCCGTCGCCCACCCGGGCTGCTAACCACAACTGCACCAGTACGGGCACCACCAGCAGCTGCTGCTGCAGCAGCAGCAGAGGAAGGGGAAGAGTCATCGGCGGCGAGGGGAGAGGGCGGAGGGGGGCGCAGGAGGGCTGCGAGGGCGCCGTCGTCATCATCGTCGTAATTGCCATCGTTGCTGTAGTCCAACTCCTGGTCAGAAACACACAGAGGGCGTTACAGAGAATTGCCTTGTATCGCGAATGAAACCGGCAGGCGAGAGAATTTGAGGGATGATGGATGGTGGCGAAAAGGGAGAGGAGACCCGCGCACCTCGAATTTCCGGTCCTCGCGTGCCCTGAGCGCACTCCCAGCTAACACCGCGCCTCCCTCGCGCCTTCCCCTGCCTCTCTCGCTGTCCACATCAGCCTCCGCCCCGCTCACGCGCTGCCTGCCTGCGTACGTCGCTTCCATCGCCCGCGACAGAGACGTGCGGATCGTCGGCAGCTGATTCCGTCGCGCGTCCGTCGCCGACCCGTCACCGTCGTACGCTTTATTAGACACCAGAACTAACCCTTCAGAGTTCTCATCAGCGGCAGGAAATCTACGCCGTCTGGCTGCCTTAGGCTCTAAAACATCCTCTTTTGGTCTCCCGCCGCTGATAACGGTGTGCAGAGCTCTAAGCGGATCGGGCAGCCGAAATCCACCAACCTGCCCATCAGCGGCCTGACCTCTCCGGTCGACTCCCGCGATAGAGGCGAGGGGTAGGGGGAACGGCACAGGGTTGCGACGCGCAGCGTCAAAGCGAGCCACGGCCCCGTGCCAGCCGCGCTCCACTCCCTGGCTGAGCTCCGCTGCGCTCTTTGCGACGAAGCCCTGCAGCTGCGAGAATACCTCGTCAACTGGAGCCATGGCGTACGGTTCGCAGGATGTCACGACTCCTAAGCTGCACTAACGAGTGATAGCAAGCGCTTCGTATTTATTATACATTCAGGAAACCCTAATGAGCGGTGATTGTAGGCTCGAGGCTACTTCGCTATACGATGCACTGATACTTTGTAGCCTATTATTGTGAACATCGAAAAAAAAACTGAGCTACGGAAATATACAGCTTGATGCAAGTTATGCGGAACGTCTGACAAATGTATTACTGTATGCAATCAAAACTGATTGTCAGTGTCTTGCGAACTTTGCAGAAGATGTCGGCGCGAGCGAGTGTCAGTCTCACAATTCAAGCGGTTGATCCTGCCAGCGCAGCATGACAGCAACGCACCCTCCCTGACTCCCCCTGACTCCAAAAGTCGGAAAGGCTGCGTGTCGCTGTGCTGGCAGGGACAAGCTGCATCCCCCACCAATGCGCTTTGCAATCCCCAAAGTTGGATAATCCACAACATCATGAATCATCAAGAGCCTTTATTCTTCATTCTGATCAGCACAGCTACCAACATCCTGTCGTGTTGTATTCCATACCTCCCATTTTGCAACACTCCCTGAAGCTTGTGCTGGATTTTGGCCTCGGGAAGCGAGACTTAGCTATGACTTCCGTCACAGTCCTAGCGTCACTGAGTTCGGCGTCGCTTGCGGTGATCGCCAAGACTTGATCTTTATCACACTCTCGGCTGGAAAAACAAGGCGTGACTCCACGCCTGGTCAAGCTGAGAAAACGTGCCGATGGGTTGATTCCCTTACAGAAACGACGTCTAATTGTTAGGAGAAATGCTCTTCCAAACAATTTCGATCACCCGGGACAGCAGCCGGCGGTTAAAGAACGAGAATCCACGATATGTGCAGCGGCAGCTGCAGGAGTTGGTCTCATCCCGCATTCTGAAGGGTGAGCATGGCAATTGGCGGGTCTTCCGCTGTAAATTCTGTAATTGTGATTAACAATGGCTCCTTGCACCACTTGAACAGATTGTTGGACGCAATCCAGAGCATTCCAGAACGACACCCAAGCCTCACAACAGCTACACTTTTCTTCTTCTGGTAAGCCGAATTTCGAATCCTAAATGCACTGTTTGTGGACTGTCATCATGAGAAACCTGTCATGTGTATGCGCAGGTACTTTCTCAACGTAATCTTCAACATATTGAACAAGAAGATCTACAACTACTTTCCGTATCCATAGTGAGTGTCATTTCGTATTGCCTCACATGGTACCCAACGAGAATGTACATCCTGGCTTGCACTGTGTGCAACGGAGCTTCAAAACTTCCACTTTGAGCATCTGCTTTTGTTCATGTGTATGCTTGTTCTCTCTTTTTCCCGTCAGCTTTGTGTCTGCAGTTCATCTAACAGTTGGGGTCGTTTATTGTTTGATTTCTTGGGCTTTGAGACTTCCCAAGCGTGCTGTGAGTAACCGTCAATTCTGCTCTTAAGAAGTCCACTCGTTGTAATACTGACGGTTTTTTTCCGCCTGCAGCCAATTGACAAGGGCATGCTTGTGCTCCTCGCGCCAGTCGCTTTCTGCCACGCGCTTGGCCATGTTATGACCAACGTGTCGTTTGCATCAGTGGCTGTTTCCTTCACGCACACGATTAAGTGTAAGCTTGTTTGTCTTGGGAGCACCGGCCAGCCGACCCGGTTGTTTTGCTAACAGCTCTAGACGGGCTTGTTTGTCGTGCAGCCCTGGAGCCATTTTTCAACGCGGCTGCATCCCAGTTTGTCCTCGGCCAGAATGTGTCACTTCCTCTGTGGCTGTCACTCCTCCCTGTTGTCCTTGGTGAGTGCCTGCCTTAGTTTCGTTCCTTTGGTTCCACTTCATCACACTGAGAGCTTTGTATTTTTTACTTCAGGTGTTTCGCTCGCATCCGTGACTGAGTTATCCTTTAACTGGACTGGCTTCCTCACTGCAATGACCTCTAACATTGCCTTCACTTACAGAAATGTGTTCTCCAAGAAAGCAATGGTGAGCTTCCTGTTTGAAAAAGGAACTTATGTGTGCGCCATTTGAAGGGGTATCTTATTCATTTCTTACAAATGTTCCAGGTTGGAATGGACAGCACAAATCTCTACGCTTACATTTCCATCCTCTCCCTTCTCTATTGCATCCCTCCTGCCATTCTGGTACGTAAAAATTCTCTGTTGCTGTATTTTACTCGTGGTGCAATTTTGCCGATTGACATATGGTCTTTCTCGCAGATGGAAGGCCCCAAGCTCCTTGCTGGGGGGTTCACGGATGCGATTGCCAAAGTTGGCATGACCAAATTTCTGAGTGACCTGTTCTGGGTCGGATTGTTCTATCACTTGTACAATCAGGTGATTGAGGATTACCTTGCTTGCTCCTTTTCAACATCGTTTCGGAACTGACCTCCCAACCTTCGTTCACTGCAGCTTGCAACAAACACCCTTGAGCGTGTCTCGCCACTTACCCATGCTGTGGGAAATGTCCTCAAGCGTGTCTTTGTGATAGGGTTTTCAATCATCATCTTCGGTAAGTTGCAGATTGATAATAGCCTGGCTGTTGGGGCGCATTCTTTTCCTGAAATAATCACTCATTTCTTTGCTACCTCTACTCTTTTCAGGGAACACAATTTCACAGCAAACTGGCATTGGAACAGCTATAGCCATTGCTGGAGTGGCTGCATATTCATTCCTGAAGGCTCGAGAACAAGAGGTACCGTAAGATGTTTCTCCTGTGATTTTATGGCCTTATGCTGTATTCCAGGTATTCCTGACCCTGCTACCCATTCTCTTGCAGAAACGTGCACACTCTTGAGATCTGCCGACACTGAACTGCACATGGTCTACTTAGTTCTGTATATTGTTGCTCACGTTGTGTATGGGGGGGGGGGGGGAGGGGGGGGGGTGTTCATGTAGTGGTTCATGTAGGATGCACTCAGGAACAGGCTGCTGCCAACTCATGTTCCTGTATTTTTGGAGTTGGCTCACTGTGCTTGATTCCCTGTGTAAAGCCCTCAAAGATGTAAGACCCCCGTGTCAGCATGCAGATCTGGTCTGTCTGTGCACTTATCAAGAGCACAAAGCAAACAAAATTGCTCAATCCCTTTCTTGTGCTCACACCGTTTTCAGCAACAACATCGAGTGTTTAATAAGAGGACTTAGGGTACATTCCGCTCTGGACACTGTCTCAAAGAAAGTGTCCCAATCGAGTGTACCGCTCCGAACCGAACTAAACCAGAGGCGCGAAAATTTTGAAACTAGGGTGTAATTCGGTGTAATACGATGCAGTGCGGTAGAATCGATTCAGACAATTTCGATTGGGACATGTCCAGCGCGGAATGTACCCTTATGGTACTGGTAGGAAATGTTACATGGATGCTCTAAACAGCAATGAGAACTTGGAGTCTGGGTTGAGCAAGAGGTTCTTAGGATCGCCATCTTCAACCTGTTACAGTCAAGCACAAGCGGAACAGTTATTACTCAATCCACTCCGCAACAACTGAAACATTCAAAAGATGACAAACAGTACAGTACAAGGAAACCAGTGCTTATACGTACAAGGGCCCCAGCCTCAAAGATTAGAACACGCGGGAGGGAGACTCGGTGCGCAATGGTGATGGTGGTGACGCCATGGAACTCCCGAGCTATAGTGGCATGCATGAGTGCACTCGTGGCAGCATCAATATTGGCCGTGCACTCGTCCAAACAGAGCACCTGCAGGAAAACGGTAGACGACTATGAAGGCCGAGGGGGTTTCAAACAGAAACAAGAAAGAGAATTCTTGTTTATCTGCAATGCCCGTTCCTGCCCTACCTTGGATTTTCTGAGCATAACTCGAGACAGGCACAGCAACTGTCTTTCTCCAAGTGACAGCCCTCCTGCTGCTCCACCCACCATAGCATCCAACCCTCCTAGCCGCCCCACTGCTGCATCCAGGTGGCACTTTCTCACAGCATCCCACAATGCCACGTCAGAATACTTTCCTTCGGGATCCAGATTGTCTCTGGCAAAGCAAGTCGTGAAATAACGGAAGGTGTGAAGAGAAGAACATAAGAGGAGGAAGAGAATGGCAAGCTCGAATGGACAGTGCACCAGGGAAAGAGAGCGGGGAAAATCGTGCGAAAAGAGGTTAGCCTATCATTGGCATGACAGGACACCGGCAGCACCTGCGAAGGGTAGGGTTCGCCTGACTCCGCCTGGTCGTACCGGATAGGGGCGTGGAAGATGAGTGGCGTCTGGGGAATGATGGCGAGGGCAGTGCGCAGGCAGGAGAGGCTGACACAGGCGGTTTTGATGCCATCAATGAATATGCCACTCGCTCTACTGCTCTCATCCACGTGTGCAGGTGCTGCTGCTGGTGGTGCTGGTGGTGCTGCTGGTGGTTATGGTGGTGGTGGCAGAGGGCAGAGTGAGGGGTCGAAGGCGGAAGAGGGCGGCCAGCAAGGAGGACTTGCCCGCCCCTGTACGGCCCGCTATGCCCACCTGCATACAGAGAGGTGCAGAGCGGCACAGGGAAGAAAGCTAAAGGTAGGAGAAGACAGGGCCACAGAAGAGGTGCAGACGATGGGCTGGAAACTGATCATGTACTTCCAGGCTCTTCCAGGAGCCCAACAGGCAAGCATGCTGAGAGTGATCACAAGTCATCCGAGAATGCTTCACGTGAGCAGTTCTAATCTGAGAAGCGTTATCCTAACCATCTATTTAACGTAGCATTTGTTTAGCTGAGCATGGTTCGTGGAGCATGACTGACTGGCACAAGAGATGCTTCACCTCTAGACCTTAACCCCAAGCCATGTCACCTGAGAGCCGCCAGGAATGAGAAAGGAAACATCTGAGAGCACAAGAGGCAGCCCCACCCGGTACGCCATGCTCACATGCCTGAACTCCACCTCCCCCTCCCTCGGCCATCCCCCCTCTTCCCCTCCTCCTGCGGCCGCCCCCCCTTCTCCTCCTGCATGTGCGTCCGTCCATGCACCATCCCCCCCTTGCCCTTGTGCGCCAGGGAGAGGGCTCAGGGGAAGGGCGTCTGGTTCGTGCTGCAGATCCAGGTACTGATGGCGGGCGCGTGGGGGAGGGAGCAAGAGTGTGAAGGAGGAAAGGGGATGGAAGGACGACGGGGGATGGGGGAGATCAGCCAGTGTAGGCAAGCAAGGACGCAAGCAGCTAGTGATGGGGAGGTTTGTGGGAAGTGACGAGTGAGCAGCAGCAGGCGGGGATAAAGATCTCTGCTGCACCTGGGGTGTGACGCAACGCCTGCCCCTCCCACACACTTCACCCCTCACAAGAACCTCCCTTGCACCTACTCCCCACCTCCCTTCCCACCCCCCCTTCCCCCCGTCATCACCCCCTTCCCAACCGTCACTTCCAGCACTCGCTTCACTGCCACCATGTCCTTGTCCGTGTCGGGGAGCGAGGAGAGAGTGCCGCTCAGGGCAACACAGGCCAACACGCCCCCTTCCCCTCCCCACCCCCTCGCCTCCTCAACCACATCCCCCTTAATGCGTCCTCATCACCTCCAGCACTCGCTTCACTGCCACCATGTCCTTGTCGGTGTCAGCGAAGGAAGTGAGCGTGCCGTTGAGAGCAGCACAGGGCAACACACGCCCTTTCTGCCCACCGCCATCCCCCTCACTTCATCCCTTCCCCCCGCCCCTCCTCACCTCCAGCACTCGCTCCACTGCCACCATGTACTTCTCTGTGTCTGCAAGGGAAGTGAGCGTGCCGTTGAGGGCAGCACACAGCAACAACACGCCCCCTCGCATCGGGCTCCCACCTCACTTCCCTCCTCACCTCCAGCACTCGTTCCACTGCCACCATGTCCTTCTCCGTGTCGGCGAGGGAGGTGAGCGTGCCGTTGAGCAGCGACACTACGGGAAGCGCGTATGCCAGCGCTAGACCCAGCTGGGGGAATGGCGGATGGAGATGAGTACCACACATTGTGCCGCGAGGGATAAGAAAGGGAGATGCGCAGGAGCACAACATACACGCATAGCATGGTTCACACAGTTCGTTCCTTTCTTGATGGTGTGTGAGTACAGTTTCGTGGCCTTGAGCAGTGCCAGAAGGATTGTGAGAGATGTGGAGAGGCGTGATGCACCAGGTCAGACGACAGCGCTGCAGACACACATACCAGGCCAGGGGACACTGCTGCTGTCGTGGCCGAGGCAGCTTGCAAGAGGAGGCGTGAGGAGGAGAGCGCGAGTGAGAGCAGAGACTGCAGTGCAGTGATAATGCTGCGTATCACTGGCACACTGCTGAGACCCTTCAGCAACTGATGAGCCGCTGCACTGGATGCAACACCTGATGCAACACCTGATGCAACACCTGACTGTACTCCTGACCATGCGCTAGGGCATGCAGACAGCCAACCAGCTGGCACGAGCCAGAGGGCCGATGCCCCATCAGCTTGGGAGGAGGAGAGGTGGTGAGAGATGGAGGGGAGGGCGGGGAGGGAGAAGGATTGGAGGGATGGGAGGAGGGGGGATGAGTTAACGGGGAGAGGGAGGGCGTGGGCCGAGGCTGGGTCGGACAGGAGAGGGAACGAGGAGGAGGAGGTGTTGTTGCTGTAAGGGTACAGCAGGTGTGGTGTGGGCGAGGGCAAGTGAGGGGCGGCAGGAGCGAGTGAAAAGGCTTGGTGCGCGGTGCTGCTTGGTAGTGAGTGGTTGAGAGGCGAGTGGTCTGGAAACAAGTGGGTTGGATGTGAGACGTTGGGCAAAGAGTGGGTGGTCATGATGCCTGTGACACTAACGAATGTCACCACCACTGCTGCCATCAGCTGCACCGGCAAGGAGAGAGGCAGAACAACGAGGAAATACGAGTAGTGTGAATTGAAGAGATGAGGGAGCATGCGGTTGGGTGGAATACAAGCGATACGTAGAGATGAGGGAGCATGACGCGTGCCAGGAAGGAACAATTGCAGCACGGTGAGTAGAACAAGGGAAAAGCTGATACGACAGGAAGGTGTGATGGCTTGCGTATGAGTGAGTGAGCACGTGAGGGAGTGAGGGGGAGAGGGGGAGAGGGGGAGAGGATGACCTGCAGGCGAACGGAGAGCCACTGAGAGGCAGCCATCTCAGAGAAGGACGCGTGCTGACTGGCCGACATGAGCGCCATGGCTCCGCGCATCACGTGCTCCTGAGGGACTCGGAAGGGGTGAATAAGAGGGGTGTGTGGAGGTGAGGGTGGCAGATCAAGGCGTGCAATGAGAGTGACAGCAGAAGAGCAGCACGCGCGCTGCCTGGCCGACATGAGCGCCACGACCTAGTGCTACTGCCCAGGGGCACCTGGGCATGGTGTGGAGTAGACCCACCTGGGCATGGTGTAGAGTAGACCCACCTGGGCATGGTGTAGAGTAGACCCACCTGGGCATGGTGTGGAGTAGACCCACCTGGGCATGGTGTAGAGTAGACCCACCTGGGCATGGTGCAGAGTAGACCCACCAGGGCATGGTGCAGAGTAGACCCACCTGGGCATGGTGCAGAGTCGACCCACCTGGGCATGGTGCAGAGTCGACCCACCTGGGCATGGTGCAGAGTCGACCCACCTGGGCATGGTGCAGAGTCGACCCACCTGGGCATGGTGCAGAGTCGACCCACCTGGGCATGGTGCAGAGTCGACCCACCTGGGCATGGTGCAGAGTCGACCCACCTGGGCATGGTGCAGAGTCGACCCACCTGGGCATGGTGCAGAGTCGACCCACCTGGGCATGGTGCAGAGTCGACCCACCTGGGCATGGTGCAGAGTCGACCCACCTGGGCATGGTGCAGAGTAGACCCACCTGGGCATGGTGCAGAGTAGACCCACCTGGGCATGGTGCAGAGTAGACCCACCTGGGCATGGTGCAGAGTAGACCCACCTGGGCATGGTGCAGAGTAGACCCACCTGGGCATGGTGCAGAGTAGACCCACCTGGGCATGGTGCAGAGTAGACCCACCTGGGCATGGAAGGCGCGGATGGTGGGGGCGCCGTGCAGCAGGTGGGAGAATGCAGCATACACTGGCGAGCGCGCTGCACTGTCCAGCCGACGCAGCTCCCGTGATGACTGGCGGTAGAGATGCTGCAGAGGAAAGGGCAAAGGGGAGAGAGGGGAGAGAGGGGAGAGAGGGGAGAGATGGGAGAGAGGGGAGAGAGGGGAGGAGAACATGGAAGGGGCGAGCCATTGAGGAGAGGAGAGGAGTCAAGTCGAGAAATGGGGGGTTGGGAGGAGACGAGGGATTAAGCGAGGTGGTGGTGGAGATGGTAAGAAAGCAGGGGGGGGGTAGAGGATTGAGGTTGGCACAAGAGGGGTGTTGCAATGTGCGAGGTAGAAGTGAGGGTGGATGAAAGGGATGGTGTGTTGTGTTGAAGCTCATGAATCCGGATGGAATGGGCCCACCTGGATGATGGAGTAGATGTAGGCGAGAGGCAGCAGGAGCATCAGAAACGTCCACTGGAGGGAGGAGGGAGGTGAAAAGAGGTAGGGAGGGAGGTAGAAGGAATGAGGTGCATGAGAGAATAGGGAGGGGTGGGATGCGACAAGGGAGCAGCAGAGGGGTTGGAGAGCCAGAAATGCCAAACCTGCAACAGTGGAGCGAGCTGAGGGGTTGGAGAGCGAGCGAGCATGGGCTTCTCAAAGTTGATGCAAGGGCATTCAAGTGCAGTCACACAGAAACATGTGCATCAGTGCATTGCTGCGCCGTCATCAGCATGCTTGTCTGCGCCCTCTCACCTGCGTGTAGAGCAGCAGAGCAGCGATGCCAGCGAGGCTGAAGGAGTTGGCGAGGAGGATGTTGGCGATGAACGGCAGCGAGTCGTCCACCGTGTACAGGTCCGAGGAGAACCTGGTGCAGTGCGGTTGAGAGCGGTGCGAGAGGTGAGGTGGGGTGGGGTGGGGTGGAGTGGGCTGGGACAGGGGTGGGTGATGCCTCAAGAGCCGTCCACCGTTGAGCCACCCACTGGTTGAGGATGCGGCCAGAAGGGTTGAAATAGAAGTATGCAAGGGGCATGCACATCATAGCAGCCAGCAGCTTGTAATGCACGCGGTGGGCTGTTGCCATGCCGGCCCTCGCGATGACGTCTCACTGGCACCATGCGCACACACACCTGTTGAGAATACGCCCAGAGGGGTTGGTATCGAAGAAAGCCAGGGGCGCGTGCACAACAGCGGCAAGCAACTCGTGGTGCACACGGTGGGCTGCTGTCATGCCGGCCCGTGCAAAGGAGAAGGCGCGGAGGAGCGTGAGCATCGAGTTGAGGAGAGCGACGAAGGTGAAGAGCCGCAGGTAGAAGGCGTTTGTTGCTGCCTCTGAGTCAGGGGCTGGGAGGGGAGGGGAGAGAGGGCGCAGGAGTGCGGGCAGGGGAGAGAAGGCAGGGGAAAGTGGGCAGGGAGGGAAGGCAGAGATGAGAAGGAAGATGCAATCCTCGTGGCCCGAAGCGGTGGCTCAAAGCAGCACATGTACACAACACGATGAGCTACCACCCTAACACCCATGACAGCTGCACCGCTGCTTACCGTGCTGCACCGCATCGGTCCAGAGGGAGAGCGTGACATCAGCAGCGTTGCGGGAGGCTTGCATGAGAGCTAGGCTCGCCAGCACCAGCGCCAGCAGTGGCCACCCCACCGCCGCACAGTACCTCCTGAGATAAGGTTGATGGAAACAGGGAAACGAGAGAAAGGAGGGGAGCAAGGGGAGGCCGGGATAGGGGAAAGAAGGTTGTTCCAGTTGGCTACTGGTTGAATCGAGGCAGTGGGAGGAGTGGGAGAGGGTAGCAAGGGGGGTTGAGAGCATCAGCACGCACCGGTACACGGAGAGGCGCACAGATCCCGCCTCCCTCCTCTCCTCCTCCTCCAACGCCCCACCCGCCTCCCGCTCCTTCCCCTCGCCGCTGCATTCCCGGCCTTCCTTGTCTGGTTCCTCTTCACACGGCCCCCCCTCCTGCTGCCGGCTTTCCACACTGGCAGCACCAGCAGTGAGAGCAGTGGCACCACCCACACCACTCACACCATGGCCTTCCATGGCGGGAAGATCGTGTGATTCCCCATCAGCTTGCTCTGCCACCTCCCTTGCTGCAGCCCCTTCCCCTTCCCCACACCCATGCCTCCCACATTGCCTGCCTTCGCCCTCGCCCTCCTGCCCTCCTTTCTCCTCATCCTGCTCCCCTTGCTGCTCCCCCAGCAGCCTCACCAGCAGACCCCGCATATCTGCATCCATGCACTCGCCACCATGCATGCGTGGATCATCATTATCCTCGCCAGTATTCCCACGCATGAGATTGGGCACGGGGGTGGTAGGAGGTGCCACGTGCACAATCCTGCCGTGCTGCATGGCCACCACCAGTGATGATCGCTGCACCGCCTGCCAGCACGTGAGTGGCAAGAGGGGTGGAGTGGAGTGCGTGTGAGCAGCAAGAGGGAGTGCCGCGTGGGCAGCAGGAGGTGCCACGTGCACGATCCTGCCGTGCTGCATCGCCACCACCAGTGATGATCGCTGCACCGCCTGCCAGCACACACACACACACACACACACTTACAGGGAGGTGAGTGGGGCAGGGGGAAGCAAGGACGGGTGGAGGGGCATGGAAGCAGCTGGGAGAGCTGAGGAGTAGCGAGTGGGAGGAGTACCCGGGGCGAGTGGGAGGAGTACCCGGGGCGAGTGGGAGGAGTACCCGGGGCGAGTGGGAGGAGTACCCGGGGCGAGTGGGAGGAGTACCCGGGGCGAGTGGGAGGAGTACCCGGGGCGAGTGGGAGGAGTACCCGGGGCGAGTGGGAGGAGTACCCGGGGCGAGTGGGAGGAGTACCCGGGGCGAGTGGGAGGAGTACCCGGGGCGAGTGGGAGGAGTACCCGGGGCGAGTGGGAGGAGTACCCGGGGCGAGTGGGAGGAGTACCCGGGGCGAGTGGGAGGAGTACCCGGGGCGAGTGGGAGGAGTACCCGGGGCGAGTGGGAGGAGTACCCGGGGCGAGTGGGAGGAGTACCCGGGGCGAGTGGGAGGAGTACCCGGGGCGAGTGGGAGGAGTACCCGGGGCGAGTGGGAGGAGTACCCGGGGCGAGTGGGAGGAGTACCCGGGGCGAGTGGGAGGAGTACCCGGGGCGAGTGGGAGGAGTACCCGGGGCGAGTGGGAGGAGTACCCGGGGCGAGTGGGAGGAGTACCCGGGGCGAGTGGGAGGAGTACCCGGGGCGAGTGGGAGGAGTACCCGGGGCGAGTGGGAGGAGTACCCGGGGCGAGTGGGAGGAGTACCCGGGGCGAGTGGGAGGAGTACCCGGGGCGAGTGGGAGGAGTACCCGGGGCGAGTGGGAGGAGTACCCGGGGCGAGTGGGAGGAGTACCCGGGGCGAGTGGGAGGAGTACCCGGGGCGAGTGGGAGGAGTACCCGGGGCGAGTGGGAGGAGTACCCGGGGCGAGTGGGAGGAGTACCCGGGGCGAGTGGGAGGAGTACCCGGGGCGAGTGGGAGGAGTACCCGGGGCGAGTGGGAGGAGTACCCGGGGCGAGTGGGAGGAGTACCCGGGGCGAGTGGGAGGAGTACCCGGGGCGAGTGGGAGGAGTACCCAGGGCGAGTGGGAGGAGTACCCGGGGCGAGTGGGAGGAGTACCCGGGGCGAGTGGGAGGAGTACCCGGGGCGAGTGGGAGGAGTACCCGGGGCGAGTGGGAGGAGTACCCGGGGCGAGTGGGAGGAGTACCCGGGGCGAGTGGGAGGAGTACCCGGGGCGAGTGGGAGGAGTACCCGGGGCGAGTGGGAGGAGTACCCGGGGCGAGTGGGAGGAGTACCCGGGGCGAGTGGGAGGAGTACCCGGGGCGAGTGGGAGGAGTACCCGGGGCGAGTGGGAGGAGTACCCGGGGCGAGTGGGAGGAGTACCCGGGGCGAGTGGGAGGAGTACCCGGGGCGAGTGGGAGGAGTACCCGGGGCGAGTGGGAGGAGTACCCGGGGCGAGTGGGAGGAGTACCCGGGGCGAGTGGGAGGAGTACCCGGGGCGAGTGGGAGGAGTACCCGGGGCGAGTGGGAGGAGTACTCGGGGCGAGTGGGAGGAGTACCCGGGGCGAGTGGGAGGAGTACCCGGGGCGAGTGGGAGGAGTACCCGGGGCGAGTGGGTGCAGAGCAGGATGGTGCGGCCTCTGGCGATTGGCCCGAACAGGGCGGCATCGCTGACGTGGCGTGCCACGCGGGCATCCAGCGCTGAGAGCGGGTCGTCGAGCAGCAGCAACGTGGCATCGGAGAAGAGCGCTCTGACGAGGGGTGTTGAAGCGTGGTGGGGACACGGGGGAGAAGGTGTTGAAGGATGGAGGGATTTACAGACATATGGTGATACACCCTTGAGTGCATGTGAGGGGTTTTGAGTCGTGTCAAACAATACAACTGATGCGAATGCTTTCAGCGCACACCTGGCGAGGGCAAGGCGGGCGCGCTGGCCCTCTGTCCGCCATTGCCGTCGGATGAGCCCCATTGCCCTGAGAGCGCACCTGGCGAGGGCAAGGCGGATGAGCCCCATTGCCCTGAGAGCGCACCTGGCGAGGGCAAGGCGGATGAGCCCCATTGCCCTGAGAGCGCACCTGGCGAGGGCAAGGCGGATGAGCCCCATTGCCCTGAGAGCGCACCTGGCGAGGGCAAGGCGGATGAGCCCCATTGCCCTGAGAGCGCACCTGGCGAGGGCAAGGCGGATGAGCCCCATTGCCCTGAGAGCGCACCTGGCGAGGGCAAGGCGGATGAGCCCCATTGCCCTGAGAGCGCACCTGGCGAGGGCAAGGCGGATGAGCCCCATTGCCCTGAGAGTGCACCTGGCGAGGGCAAGGCGGGCGCGCTGGCCGCCAGAGAGGGTGAGCCCTCTGTCCGCCACCCGTGCCTCGTCACCCCCTGCCATGGCTGCCGTGTCCTCATGCAGTGCACAGGCGTGCATCACCTGCTGGTACCTGGGAGGTGTGACGCATGGTGACATGACATGACATGACATGACATGACATGACATGACATGACATGGTGGTCTGCTAGCGTAATCCATGGTGGCCCCATAGCATGATACAGCAATGACTAATCTTCACTCCTGCACATGCCATGTGCTCTCCATACTACACTTAGCCATCATGCACTACCCCCTCCTCGCCCTCTCTGTCCCCAACCCTACCTGACGGGGTCCCATGGCGCCCCAAACAGCACATTGTATCGAATGCTGCCTGCAAACACCCATGGCTCCTGGTGCACGGGGCAGAGAGGGGCAGAGAAGCAAAGGGGCAGGTGAGCGGGGCGGTGGTGTTGCTGGGAGTGGAGCGAGGGCATGGCGTAGATCGGTGTGGAGCGAGGGCATGGCGTAGATCGGTGTGGAGCGAGGGCATGGCGTAGATCGGTGTGGAGCGAGGGCATGGCGTAGAGCGGTGTGGAGCGAGGGCATGGCGTAGATCGGTGTGGAGCGAGGGCATGGCGTAGATCGGTGTGGAGCGAGGGCATGGCGTGGATCGGTGTGGAGCGAGGGCATGGCGTAGATCGGTGTGGAGCGAGGGCATGGCGTAGATCGGTGTGGAGCGAGGGCATGGCGTAGATCGGTGTGGAGCGAGGGCATGGCATAGATCGGTGTGGAGCGAGGGCATGGCGTAGATCGGTGTGGAGCGAGGGCATGGCGTAGATCGGTGTGGAGCGAGGGCATGGCGTAGATCGGTGTGGAGCGAGGGCATGGCGTAGATCGGTGTGGAACGAGGGCATGGCGTAGATCGGTGTGGAGCGAGGGCATGGCGTAGATCGGTGTGGAGCGAGGGCATGGCGTAGATCGGTGTGGAGCGAGGGCATGGCGTAGATCGGTGTGGAGCGAGGGCATGGCGTAGATCGGTGTGGAGCGAGGGCATGGCGTAGATCGGTGTGGAGCGAGGGCATGGCGTAGATCGGTGTGGAGCGAGGGCATGGCGTAGATCGGTGTGGAGCGAGGGCATGGCGTAGATCGGTGTGGAGCAAGCAGCAAGTAGGAGTGCGCACCTGCAGGACAGCAGCAGAGCGGGGCGAGCTATGGATGACAGGAGGACGTGCCTCCCCACATGCTGCTGCTGTTGCTGCATATGCATGTGTGCATGGAGTGGCGTGCGTTGGCACGGGTTGCATCTCGCCTAGGATTGCAGCGAGCAGTGACGACTTGCCACTGCCCACCTGAATGCATGGAGGTAGTGGAGCATGGGGGAGGGAAAAGAGGGAGAGGAGGGAGAGCGAGATGCAGGAGCCAAGATGAGCATGGCGAATAGCAGGCAGGAAGTGAGACACTCATGACACAGCAGGCAAGGTCAGCAGCAGGACACGTTGAGCAATAAAGCTGCTGTGAGAGCAAGATGCAACATGGAATGATGAGGGCACGGGGGGAGGGCATGGTGGGAGGGAGGGGCCACCTTGCCCACGATGGCCACCACAGCCCCCTCTGGCACGTCCAAGCGTATGTCGTGCAGCGCCATGCCGCTCCCTCTGCTGTTTTCTCTGTTGCCATCACTGGTGGACCTGCCTCCCCTACGTTCCCTACCCTCCTGCGCAGCTGCACCGCCCTCTTCCACACTTTCCCCAGTCGGCGTGCTGGGAGCGTTGCTGGTGGCGGTGGTGGGAGCATGCCAGGAGAAGCTGAGCCTGCACATGTGCACTGCTAGTGGGGAGGACGGACTGCCTGCACAGGTTTTATTTGTGGCAGCAAGGCGGAGTGGACAGTCCTCACTGCTGCTCGTGGCACCCTCTGCTGCAACCCCTACTGCCCCCCCTGCAGCACCCCCTGCAGCACCCCCTGCAGCACCACCTGTGCCACCATCAGCCGCACAATCAGACGCCTGTGAGGCTCCGTCTTGCTTCACCAGGAAAGGGGAGGGGCGCAGCAGGGGGGCTGTGAGAGGCGAGGGTGAGGGGGACGCGTGGCGGGGCAGGGGCGAGGAGGGGAGGCGGAGGAGGAAGGGGAAGAGGGAGCGCAGCAGACTGCTGTGATACCCGGTGGTGATGCTGCGTGGAGTGGTGGGAACACGTGGAGTGGTGGGAACAGGAGCAGTGCGAGGGGATGAGGCGGTGCGGGGGGTGGTGAAGGCAGAGGCGAGGAGGGCAGCAGTGGGTGGCGTGGGGATGCGGAGAAACGCCTCCAGGCGCCTCACAGAGATGAGCGCCTGAAGAGTGATGGGAATGATGGGAATGGCATTGGGATGAGGGGTGAGGAGGGGTAAGGAGGGGTGATGGGACTGGCACAGAGAGTGATGAGAGTTGAGAAAGAACGTGTGCATGTGCGTGATGGTGACATGATGCAGGGGGAATCGAGGGCGGCACACATCTGTATCTGTGCGACAGACACACACATGAGCCTGCACCTGCTGGGCACAGGAGAGACCTGCAGCATACACTGCAACGCCCGCTCATACGCTGCCACGCCCGCTCATACGCTGCAACGCCCGCTCACACGCTGCAACGCCCGCTCATACGCTGCACCGCACGCACATACGCTGCACCTCACACTCATACGCTGCACCGCGCGCTCATACGCTGCACCGTCCGCTCATACGCTGCACCGCCCACTAATACGCTGCACCGCGCGCTCATACGCTGCACCGTCCGCTCATACGCTGCACCGCCCACTAATACGCTGCACCGCCCGCTAATACGCTGCACCACCCACTAATACGCTGCACCACCCGCTAATACGCTGCACCACCCGCTAATACGCTGCACCACCCGCTCATACGCTGCACTGCTCGCTCATACGCTGCACCGCACGCTCATACGCTGCACCGCACGCTCATACGCTGCACCGCACGCTCATACGCTGCACCGCACGCTCATACGCTGCACCGCACGCTCATACGCTGCACCACCCGCTCGTACGCTGCACCACCCGCTCATACGCTGCACCACCCGCTCATACGCTGCACCACCCGCTCGTACGCTCCACCATCCGCTCGTACGCTGCACCGCCCGCTCGTACGCTCCACCATCCGCTCATACGCTGCACCGCACGTTCATACGCTGCACCGCACGCTCATACGCTGCACCGCACGCTCATACGCTGCACCGCACGCTCATACGCTGCACCGCACGCTCATACGCTGTGCCGCATTGCCCGTATCTCCCTCCACCTCTTCATATCCAAATTATTAACTCCTGGACTCACAAGCTCCCCCTCCACGGTTCATCTCCTTCCTGTCCCCCACCGTCCTCCCGCTGTCAGTTCCTGAGGGCGAATCTGCAGCTCCTTTCGTAGTGCCAGTTGCACCATGACGCATCTGGAGCTGCAGATTCTCCTGCGTCTGGAGCTGCAGATTCTCCTGCGCCTGGAGCTGCAGATTCTCCTGCGCCTGGAGCTGCAGATTCTCCTGCGCCTGGAGCTGCAGATTCTCCTGCGCCTGGAGCTGCAGATTCTCCTGCGCCTGGAGCTGCAGATTCTCCTGCGCCTGGAGCTGCAGATTCTCCTGCGCCTGGAGCTGCAGATTCTCCTGCGCCTGGAGCTGCAGATTCTCCTGCGCCTGGAGCTGCAGATTCTCCTGCGCCTGGAGCTGCAGATTCTCCTGCGCCTGGAGCTGCAGATTCTCCTGCGCCTGGAGCTGCAGATTCTCCTGCGCCTGGAGCTGCAGATTCTCCTGCGCCTGGAGCTGCAGATTCTCCTGCGCCTGGAGCTGCAGATTCTCCTGCGCCTGGAGCTGCAGATTCTCCTGCGCCTGGAGCTGCAGATTCTCCTGCGCCTGGAGCTGCAGATTCTCCTGCGCCTGGAGCTGCAGATTCTCCTGCGCCTGGAGCTGCAGATTCTCCTGCGCCTGGAGCTGCAGATTCTCCTGCGCCTGGAGCTGCAGATTCTCCTGCGCCTGGAGCTGCAGATTCTCCTGCGCCTGGAGCTGCAGATTCTCCTGCGCCTGGAGCTGCAGATTCTCCTGCGCCTGGAGCTGCAGATTCTCCTGCGCCTGGAGCTGCAGATTCTCCTGCGCCTGGAGCTGCAGATTCTCCTGCGCCTGGAGCTGCAGATTCTCCTGCGCCTGGAGCTGCAGATTCTCCTGCGCCTGGAGCTGCAGATTCTCCTGCGCCTGGAGCTGCAGATTCTCCTGCGCCTGGAGCTGCAGATTCTCCTGCGCCTGGAGCTGCAGATTCTCCTGCGCCTGGAGCTGCAGATTCTCCTGCGCCTGGAGCTGCAGATTCTCCTGCGCCTGGAGCTGCAGATTCAGCTGCGCCTGGAGCTGCAGATTCTCCTGCGCCTGGAGCTGCAGATTCTCCTGCGCCTGGAGCTGCAGATTCTCCTGCGCCTGGAGCTGCAGATTCTCCTGCGCCTGGAGCTGCAGATTCTCCTGCGCCTGGAGCTGCAGATTCTCCTGCGCCTGGAGCTGCAGATTCTCCTGCGCCTGGAGCTGCAGATTCTCCTGCGCCTGGAGCTGCAGATTCTCCTGCGCCTGGAGCTGCAGATTCTCCTGCGCCTGGAGCTGCAGATTCTCCTGCGCCTGGAGCTGCAGATTCTCCTGCGCCTGGAGCTGCAGATTCTCCTGCGCCTGGAGCTGCAGATTCTCCTGCGCCTGGAGCTGCAGATTCTCCTGCGCCTGGAGCTGCAGATTCTCCTGCGCCTGGAGCTGCAGATTCTCCTGCGCCTGGAGCTGCAGATTCTCCTGCGTCTGGAGCTGCAGATTCTCCTGCGCCTGGAGCTGCAGATTCTCCTGCGCCTGGAGCTGCAGATTCTCCTGCGCCTGGAGCTGCAGATTCTCCTGCGCCTGGAGCTGCAGATTCAGCTGCGCCTGGAGCTGCAGATTCTCCTGCGCCTGGAGCTGCAGATTCTCCTGCGCCTGGAGCTGCAGATTCTCCTGCGCCTGGAGCTGCAGATTCTCCTGCGCCTGGAGCTGCAGATTCTCCTGCGCCTGGAGCTGCAGATTCTCCTGCGCCTGGAGCTGCAGATTCTTGTCGAGGAGAAAAGGCCCCGCCCTCGCTTGGGCGAAGTCGGCCATGCTTTTCGGAGCACAACGGTGTTCGTTTCATGGTCATCGGCGACTTCAGGGACTTTTATCTCTGACTGACGGGTCGATTTTCGACGAAATTACTTCGTCGAAATTGAAGTGCTGTTTCTGCTCTACACAACTGCCCCTCGACGAGGCACTTGTCGAGGGGAGCAAAACGGCGTCGAAATCGAGCCTTGCGGGTCGACGAAATGGTAGAAAACAGCGTTTCGACGAAACGCTGGTCGACAGAATTAAGCTCGAAACAGGCACCGTCGAGCAGAGCGTTGCTGGTTGACAAAATTACTTGTCTCCAAAATTCGCAATGTGCGCGAATTTCGACCAATCGCGAAACAGCAAATTTCGACCAATCAGAGAATTTCGGAAATTGTACTCCCCAGGAGAATTCGAATCAGTAAGGAAACTGAACCTGAAACACGTTTTTACTAACAGTAAAAACGTAAACAACTCTGAAAGCTGTAAACCTGAGAAACTGCCAACTCAGGTGAAAGACACATGTGCTTGTCGTTTCACCTGCCGTTGCTGACTCGGATAAGTCAGGTGTTAGCCGAGGAACGTTTCTCTAGGGTTCATTGTTCTTGCTATTTGGTTCTCCTTGCTTGTACCATAATCTTGTTCAATCAATTTCTGCTAGTGGAACTATGCTTGAATTCTACCAAGACATCTAAGTTCACTCCTGAGAATCACTGCCAGAACTCTGACTGTGTGTCCCACGCTAGTCAAGCTCTCCCGTAGAATAGTATTCTCCTTATGGTGCGGTGAGCGTGGAACGGCCCCGCGTTAAAACCTTCAGAATAGCCGACTTTAGCGGTCATTACCTAAGTTGTTGTAGGCTGTCAGCCGTCTAGACCGCCATGGTCGACCAGGAGGAGGTCGCTGCAGGCGTAGAGGATACCCTGCAGGCGCGGTTAGATGACGTTCGGGCACGCCACGCAGCTGGCGAGTACGGCGGAGCGAACTTGGATGTTATGCTCTTTGGAACCCGCGTGCAGTGGGCGCGCGATCATCCAACGACCCGTACTGTGGCGGATGGTCTGCCCGCCACTCCCCGACCGGCGCACAACGAAGGGGACGTCGACGACCAGGTCGACGGTGGTGACCAAGTCGGCAGCGAAGGCAGCACGAGGGTTCGTGGAGTGATTCGGGCCGCTGACCTTGGCGTCGGCGGAATGCAGGCGCGGGTTCAGCATCTGGCGGTAGCGGGAAGCTCGAACGGCAACATCGATGGTCGACGCCTTTCTCCTCAGCGGAGTGGAGCCAGGCCGACTTCGGCGACTCATGCGTCGGCTGGTCGAGACGGAGGCATCGCTCCTGCGTACTGCTACTTCAAATTTTCGCCGGACAAGATCGCTGTGCCGAAGCCGCTCGAAGGACGACATGACTTGATCACATGGATTGAGTCAATCGAACCCCAGTTGGAGATCGCCGGATTGAAGAAGTTCGTTGACGGCAAGGTGGAGATGCCAGACGAAGACGACTCTGCGTTGTTGGCGGAATTTCGCGCTGCTCACCTTCTGACCTTCATGGTCCTTTCGAGGTGTTGTTCGCCGCTGGTGCAAGTCGCGCTGAAGCCGTGCCGACGTCGAGCGGACGCCGGCTACCAAGCGTGGCAGTACATCATGCGCACCTACAGAGCAACCGACGACCTCTACATCAGCCAACTGGAGAAGAAATTGGCCAACATTCGCATGGGCGAGCAGGAATCGGCGACCGAGTACTGCAATCGAGCGCGGCGAATTTTGGCCGACATGCGGATGGCTGGCTTCGAGTACTCGGTGGCGTCGTATGTCACGCATGTTATCAATGGCCTCCCCTCGAGCTACAATCTGATGCGCCGGATGCTGATAATGCCCGGCACGCGCGAGACTCTGAACGAGGATTCGCTCTCGAGTCACATCATCCAGGATGAGTTCATGCAGGAGTCTGAGCGGTCTTCAGAGCTCCTTCCGCAGGCCAACTACGTTGCTCCGACGAAGCAGGGACGTCAGACGGGGCAGCGTGGGAAGTCGGGCGGAGGTGGAGGCGGTGGCGGAAAGTCGTCGAACACCAAGTCTACGGAGAGCGCCGACCGCGGAAAGTCGGCGAAGGGCAATGATCGCGGAAGCAGTGGTTCGCGTCGAGGAGGACGCCGCTGCTACATTTGCGGAGACCCTGACCATCTCTCGTACGACTGCCCTGACCGCGACGAGTCCGACGACGATCAGAGAGGAAGTCGTGGAAAGTCTGACAACGCTCGTCGTTCAGAGGACGGGAAGTCTGACAGCGACCGTCGTCGTCGAGACAACCAGCCGCGCAAGGAGAAGCCTGCGTCGTCGAAAACGCCGTCAACATCAGAGACTGGCACCTCGAGCGGAAAGGAAGCCTCTTGTTCGATGGTTGGCGTGGTCGACCCAACAATTTCGCTGGCGCCGGAGGCAGGCGAGGACTTCCAGGCGGTAGCAGCAGCCGTGCAGGCGAATCCGACTGTGGTTCTCCTCGACAGTGGCTGCTCCCATCATCTGATGGGAACGCGAGAGGCCTTCGTCGAAATGAAGCCAGGAGGAGACATCCGTCACGTGCGCGGATTCAACGGGGCGCTTCAGAACGTCGAAGGCCGTGGCACAGTTGCTCTGGAAGGGGAGACCGGGAAGCCGATTCTCATCCCCGACGTGTTGTACGTTCCGGGCGTGCACGCGAATCTACTGTCTGCTGGTCAGCTGAAGGAAAACGGCGTGAAGCTGCAGAACGAGGGTGACGAGATGCTGCTCGTTTCCTCTGCAGGAGATGTGCTCGGTCGAGCACGCTACACCGGCCGGGTCCTCTGCACCGACCTCCGCCCCTGCTCCTCGAAATCGACGACATCTTCGACAAAGGCAGTTGCTCTGCGGACGATCGCATCTGCGACGAAGTCGACGCTAGACAAGTGGCACCCGAGGCTCGCGCACGTCGGCATTGACACGATTAAGAGTTCGGCGAAGCATGGTGTTGCCGTCGGCATGGACATCCAGAAGTCCACCGGAGCCGACCTGCCGTGTGCCTCCTGTGTCGGAGGGAAACTAGCGCGACATACTTTTCCAGAGAAGGGATCGGACACTAGGTGACAACGCCCTTGACGTCGTGCACATTGACCTCTGCGGCCCCTTCCGTGTGACCGCCATGGATGGAAGCCTCTACTTCCTTCTCCTCAAGGACCGCAAGACCCGCTTTGTGTGGGTCCGCCCGATCGCGAAGAAGAGCGATGTGCTGGTCGTTTTCGAGAAGTGGCTGAAGGAAGTGGAACGGCAGACTTCGAAGTCGGTGAAAAGGCTGCGCTCTGACCGCGGAGGGGAATTCCTCGGCCGGGCCTTCACCGATCTCGTCGAGGACAAGGGTATCCTCCACAACCTCACGTGCCCCTACACTCCGCAACAGAATGGCATGGCGGAGCGGGAAATGCGCACGGTCGTCGAAGCTGTGCGGACGATGCTGCTTCACATGGGGGTGAAGCATCACTGGTGGCACCTCGCCCTTCGCCACGCCGTCTGGGTGCGCAACTGCCTCGAACGGGCTTCACTTCCTCCGAGGACGACGCCGTACGAGCTGCTGTTCGAGAAGAAGCCGGATCTCACGCTGGCGCGCGTGTGGGGCTGCATGGTGCAGTTCATGATCCCAGAGCAGCAGCGCGGCGGAAAGTTGGCACCGAAGGCCCGCTGGGGAATTCACCTCGGAGTTTCGCCGGAGAGCAAGGGATGGGAGGTGCTCGACCTCACCGCCAACCGCATTGTCACAACCGTGGAGGCAATCTTCTATGAGGCGATGTCTCTGGAGGAGTGGAAGGTGGAGCACGGGCCCGCGTCAGAGCGGACAAAGTTTTCTCCGTCGACAGGTCCGTTGCCAGCGGCGATTTCGTTGCTCGAATCCGAGGACGATGGTGCCTCTGCAGATCCTTCTCCCTCCATGCCGCCCTCTTCGAAACCTCCTCCTCCTCTTCCCGTCTCCCCCCCATCGCTCGCCCCCGGCCTGCCTAAGTCGGCATCATCGTCGGCCGCCAGCGATGAGGGGAGCATTGGTGTGTCACCTTCGGCTCCGCCCATTGGCATCGCTGGCGGTCGACATGATCTGGTCAGCGAGCAAGTCGGCGCCGGAGTGAAGTTTCCACCAACAGGGGAGACGTCGGACGGGAAGCGCATTTCAGAGGAGCCGTCGACAGAGGATCCGTCGAACGAGGAGCTCACTTTTAAGGAGCGAACGACAGGGGAGCAGTTCGACGATGGCACATCGAGCGACGTTGTTGAAGTCATCGGCACCGATAAAGGGGAGCCATCGGCCAAGGAGCAGTCCAGCAGCGACAGCGACGTGGTGGAAGTCTCGGCCGACAAGCCTGCAGTTCGACGTTCCACCCGCTCCAACTTTGGCAAGCCTCGCGAGAAGCTGAGCTACCATGCTTGCCTGCCGCCGACCTCCTACAGCACTCTGCTCGATGATGCGCAGTTCGACGTCAACGTACCCGAGCTCGATCCCGATATGCACGCCGATCCAGAGCACCGCTGGGACATCGCTAACATGACAGTGAAGGAGGCGTTGGCGAGCTGGAAGGGCAAGGCAGTGAAGGCCGCCATGGACGAGGAGATTCGAAGTCTCATCACCAACGGCACTTGGGAGCTGGTGGAGCGCCCGCGCGGCGTCAATGTCATGAAGAACCGCTGGGTACTGACGACGAAGTACCATGTCGACGACACGGTTGCCCGCGAAAAAGCGCGCCTGGTGGTGAAGGGCTTCACGCAGGTCTACGGAGCTGATTACGACGAGACGTACGCTCCAGTCGGGAGCTATGTTACGCTACGGATTTTCCTTAGCATCGTCGCCGTCCTCGATCTGCACCTCATGCAGTTAGACATGAAGAATGCGTTTCTACAGAGCAAGCTCGATCGCGTGCTCTACATGGACCAGCCGGCTTACTACAACGATGGCACCGGCCGCGTATGCAAGCTGCTGAAGAGCCTGTACGGGCTGAAGCAGAGCCCTCTGCTGTGGTATTCTGCGCTCGACGCTGTGCTGACTGGCGCTGGTTGGAGCAAGAGCCAGGTCGACGAGGCCCTCTATTTCCGAGTTGGCGACGACGGAGTGGCGTGCTGGGTGCTCGTCTACGTCGACGACCTGCTCGCCGCCAGCAGCAGCACCACGATGCTGAAGGAGCTGAAGGAGCTGCTGGAGGCTGCCTTTGAGCTGCGCGAGATCACCCCGGTCGAGAAGTACTTGGGGCTCGAAATCGTGCGCGACCGTCCGGCGCGGAAGCTGTGGCTTCACCAGCAGTCCTATGTCGACAAGCTACGTAGGCGCTTCATCGACGAGGAGCAGACTGGTCGGCGTCCGAAGACACCTGTTTCCGTCGACGCGTATGCCGAGCTGACTTTCGACGACGATGACTTTCAGTCGCGCGAAGAAGAGGAGTATCGTCAGAAGGTCGGTTCGCTGCAATTCGCTGCCACAACAACTCGGCCCGACATCGCTTTTGCGTGCAGCAAGCTGGGATCTGGTCTGACGGTGAGGAGCGACAACCACTGGCGTGAGGTCGACCGCTGCCTCAACTATCTCTCGGACACGCGTGATGTTGCTCTGGAGTTCGGAGGAGGACCGGAGACTCTGACACTGGTCGGCTACGCGGACGCTGACGACGCAGGCGACAAGCAGAATCGCACTAGCACGAATGGCTACGTTTTCACATTCGGCGGCGCAGCTGTCTCCTGGACAAGCCAACGCATTAAGTGCGTGACTCTGTCCTCTACGGAGTCAGAGTACATCGCGGCCACTGAGGCGGCCAAGGAGGCTCGTCGACTTCGATTCCTCCTCGCCGAGTTCCAGCTCCTCGATGCTGGGACGCCAACTACTCTGAACGTGGACAATCAGTCCGCCATCGCGGTCGCTGAGGGCTTGGGGCTGAAAGGCAACCTCAAGCACATGGAGCGACGCTACGCCTGGCTGCAGCAGATGGTGAAGCGCAAGAAGGTTGCGCTGGAATACATCCCAACATCCGAGCAGCCGGCGGACTTCCTCACAAAGGGTCTGCACTTTCCGGCCTTCAACCGGTGCTCTATCGCGATCGGCCAGGTTCGCCTTGCCGCAGTCGGCGACAACGACGACGTGCAGCAGTAGGTGCCATGTCCTCTAACATGGCTGGTGCGGTGGTCGGCGTGCGGGAGTGTGCACGCCAGAGAAATGTCCCCTTGTATTTTATTAGCTAGGTTCTGGGTGGACCTTGTGTGTGGGTGCCCAAGCGTGAGCTGGGCAGGGGAGTGTCGAGGAGAAAAGGCCCCGCCCTCGCTTGGGCGAAGTCGGCCATGCTTTTCGGAGCACAACGGTGTTCGTTTCATGGTCATCGGCGACTTCAGGGACTTTTATCTCTGACTGACGGGTCGATTTTCGACGAAATTACTTCGTCGAAATTGAAGTGCTGTTTCTGCTCTACACAACTGCCCCTCGACGAGGCACTTGTCGAGGGGAGCAAAACGGCGTCGAAATCGAGCCTTGCGGGTCGACGAAATGGTAGAAAACAGCGTTTCGACGAAACGCTGGTCGACAGAATTAAGCTCGAAACAGGCACCGTCGAGCAGAGCGTTGCTGGTTGACAAAATTACTTGTCTCCAAAATTCGCAATGTGCGCGAATTTCGACCAATCGCGAAACAGCAAATTTCGACCAATCAGAGAATTTCGGAAATTGTACTCCCCAGGAGAATTCGAATCAGTAAGGAAACTGAACCTGAAACACGTTTTTACTAACAGTAAAAACGTAAACAACTCTGAAAGCTGTAAACCTGAGAAACTGCCAACTCAGGTGAAAGACACATGTGCTTGTCGTTTCACCTGCCGTTGCTGACTCGGATAAGTCAGGTGTTAGCCGAGGAACGTTTCTCTAGGGTTCATTGTTCTTGCTATTTGGTTCTCCTTGCTTGTACCATAATCTTGTTCAATCAATTTCTGCTAGTGGAACTATGCTTGAATTCTACCAAGACATCTAAGTTCACTCCTGAGAATCACTGCCAGAACTCTGACTGTGTGTCCCACGCTAGTCAAGCTCTCCCGTAGAATAGTATTCTCCTTAATTCTCCTGCGCCTGGAGCTGCAGATTCTCCTGCGCCTGGAGCTGCAGATTCTCCTGCGCCTGGAGCTGCAGATTCTCCTGCGCCTGGAGCTGCAGATTCTCCTGCGCCTGGAGCTGCAGATTCTCCTGCGCCTGGAGCTGCAGATTCTCCTGCGCCTGGAGCTGCAGATTCTCCTGCGCCTGGAGCTGCAGATTCTCCTGCGCCTGGAGCTGCAGATTCTCCTGCGCCTGGAGCTGCAGATTCTCCTGCGCCTGGAGCTGCAGATTCTCCTGCGCCTGGAGCTGCAGATTCTCCTGCGCCTGGAGCTGCAGATTCTCCTGCGCCTGGAGCTGCAGATTCTCCTGCGCCTGGAGCTGCAGATTCTCCTGCGCCTGGAGCTGCAGATTCTCCTGCGCCTGGAGCTGCAGATTCTCCTGCGCCTGGAGCTGCAGATTCTCCTGCGCCTGGAGCTGCAGATTCTCCTGCGCCTGGAGCTGCAGATTCTCCTGCGTCTGGAGCTGCAGATTCTCCTGCGCCTGGAGCTGCAGATTCTCCTGCGCCTGGAGCTGCAGATTCTCCTGCGCCTGGAGCTGCAGATTCTCCTGCGCCTGGAGCTGCAGATTCTCCTGCGCCTGGAGCTGCAGATTCTCCTGCGCCTGGAGCTGCAGATTCAGCTGCGCCTGGAGCTGCAGATTCAGCTGCGCCTGGAGCTGCAGATTCTCCTGCGCCTGGAGCTGCAGATTCTCCTGCGCCTGGAGCTGCAGATTCTCCTGCGCCTGGAGCTGCAGATTCTCCTGCGCCTGGAGCTGCAGATTCTCCTGCGCCTGGAGCTGCAGATTCTCCTGCGCCTGGAGCTGCAGATTCTCCTGCGCCTGGAGCTGCAGATTCTCCTGCGCCTGGAGCTGCAGATTCTCCTGCGCCTGGAGCTGCAGATTCTCCTGCGCCTGGAGCTGCAGATTCTCCTGCGCCTGGAGCTGCAGATTCTCCTGCGCCTGGAGCTGCAGATTCTCCTGCGCCTGGAGCTGCAGATTCTCCTGCGCCTGGAGCTGCAGATTCTCCTGCGCCTGGAGCTGCAGATTCTCCTGCGCCTGGAGCTGCAGATTCTCCTGCGCCTGGAGCTGCAGATTCTCCTGCGCCTGGAGCTGCAGATTCTCCTGCGCCTGGAGCTGCAGATTCTCCTGCGCCTGGAGCTGCAGATTCTCCTGCGCCTGGAGCTGCAGATTCTCCTGCGCCTGGAGCTGCAGATTCTCCTGCGCCTGGAGCTGCAGATTCTCCTGCGCCTGGAGCTGCAGATTCTCCTGCGCCTGGAGCTGCAGATTCTCCTGCGCCTGGAGCTGCAGATTCTCCTGCGCCTGGAGCTGCAGATTCTCCTGCGCCTGGAGCTGCAGATTCTCCTGCGCCTGGAGCTGCAGATTCTCCTGCGCCTGGAGCTGCAGATTCTCCTGCGCCTGGAGCTGCAGATTCTCCTGCGCCTGGAGCTGCAGATTCTCCTGCGCCTGGAGCTGCAGATTCTCCTGCGCCTGGAGCTGCAGATTCTCCTGCGCCTGGAGCTGCAGATTCTCCTGCGCCTGGAGCTGCAGATTCTCCTGCGCCTGGAGCTGCAGATTCTCCTGCGCCTGGAGCTGCAGATTCTCCTGCGCCTGGAGCTGCAGATTCTCCTGCGCCTGGAGCTGCAGATTCTCCTGCGCCTGGAGCTGCAGATTCTCCTGCGCCTGGAGCTGCAGATTCTCCTGCGCCTGGAGCTGCAGATTCTCCTGCGCCTGGAGCTGCAGATTCTCCTGCGCCTGGAGCTGCAGATTCTCCTGCGCCTGGAGCTGCAGATTCTCCTGCGCCTGGAGCTGCAGATTCTCCTGCGCCTGGAGCTGCAGATTCTCCTGCGCCTGGAGCTGCAGATTCTCCTGCGCCTGGAGCTGCAGATTCTCCTGCGCCTGGAGCTGCAGATTCTCCTGCGCCTGGAGCTGCAGATTCTCCTGCGCCTGGAGCTGCAGATTCTCCTGCGCCTGGAGCTGCAGATTCTCCTGCGCCTGGAGCTGCAGATTCTCCTGCGCCTGGAGCTGCAGATTCTCCTGCGCCTGGAGCTGCAGATTCTCCTGCGCCTGGAGCTGCAGATTCTCCTGCGCCTGGAGCTGCAGATTCTCCTGCGCCTGGAGCTGCAGATTCTCCTGCGCCTGGAGCTGCAGATTCTCCTGCGCCTGGAGCTGCAGATTCTCCTGCGCCTGGAGCTGCAGATTCTCCTGCGCCTGGAGCTGCAGATTCTCCTGCGCCTGGAGCTGCAGATTCTCCTGCGCCTGGAGCTGCAGATTCTCCTGCGCCTGGAGCTGCAGATTCTCCTGCGCCTGGAGCTGCAGATTCTCCTGCGCCTGGAGCTGCAGATTCTCCTGCGCCTGGAGCTGCAGATTCTCCTGCGCCTGGAGCTGCAGATTCTCCTGCGCCTGGAGCTGCAGATTCTCCTGCGCCTGGAGCTGCAGATTCTCCTGCGCCTGGAGCTGCAGATTCTCCTGCGCCTGGAGCTGCAGATTCTCCTGCGCCTGGAGCTGCAGATTCTCCTGCGCCTGGAGCTGCAGATTCTCCTGCGCCTGGAGCTGCAGATTCTCCTGCGCCTGGAGCTGCAGATTCTCCTGCGCCTGGAGCTGCAGATTCTCCTGCGCCTGGAGCTGCAGATTCTCCTGCGCCTGGAGCTGCAGATTCTCCTGCGCCTGGAGCTGCAGATTCTCCTGCGCCTGGAGCTGCAGATTCTCCTGCGCCTGGAGCTGCAGATTCTCCTGCGCCTGGAGCTGCAGATTCTCCTGCGCCTGGAGCTGCAGATTCTCCTGCGCCTGGAGCTGCAGATTCTCCTGCGCCTGGAGCTGCAGATTCTCCTGCGCCTGGAGCTGCAGATTCTCCTGCGCCTGGAGCTGCAGATTCTCCTGCGCCTGGAGCTGCAGATTCTCCTGCGCCTGGAGCTGCAGATTCTCCTGCGCCTGGAGCTGCAGATTCTCCTGCGCCTGGAGCTGCAGATTCTCCTGCGCCTGGAGCTGCAGATTCTCCTGCGCCTGGAGCTGCAGATTCTCCTGCGCCTGGAGCTGCAGATTCTCCTGCGCCTGGAGCTGCAGATTCTCCTGCGCCTGGAGCTGCAGATTCTCCTGCGCCTGGAGCTGCAGATTCTCCTGCGCCTGGAGCTGCAGATTCTCCTGCGCCTGGAGCTGCAGATTCTCCTGCGCCTGGAGCTGCAGATTCTCCTGCGCCTGGAGCTGCAGATTCTCCTGCGCCTGGAGCTGCAGATTCTCCTGCGCCTGGAGCTGCAGATTCTCCTGCGCCTGGAGCTGCAGATTCTCCTGCGCCTGGAGCTGCAGATTCTCCTGCGCCTGGAGCTGCAGATTCTCCTGCGCCTGGAGCTGCAGATTCTCCTGCGCCTGGAGCTGCAGATTCTCCTGCGCCTGGAGCTGCAGATTCTCCTGCGCCTGGAGCTGCAGATTCTCCTGCGCCTGGAGCTGCAGATTCTCCTGCGCCTGGAGCTGCAGATTCTCCTGCGCCTGGAGCTGCAGATTCTCCTGCGCCTGGAGCTGCAGATTCTCCTGCGCCTGGAGCTGCAGATTCTCCTGCGCCTGGAGCTGCAGATTCTCCTGCGCCTGGAGCTGCAGATTCTCCTGCGCCTGGAGCTGCAGATTCTCCTGCGCCTGGAGCTGCAGATTCTCCTGCGCCTGGAGCTGCAGATTCTCCTGCGCCTGGAGCTGCAGATTCTCCTGCGCCTGGAGCTGCAGATTCTCCTGCGCCTGGAGCTGCAGATTCTCCTGCGCCTGGAGCTGCAGATTCTCCTGCGCCTGGAGCTGCAGATTCTCCTGCGCCTGGAGCTGCAGATTCTCCTGCGCCTGGAGCTGCAGATTCTCCTGCGCCTGGAGCTGCAGATTCTCCTGCGCCTGGAGCTGCAGATTCTCCTGCGCCTGGAGCTGCAGATTCTCCTGCGCCTGGAGCTGCAGATTCTCCTGCGCCTGGAGCTGCAGATTCTCCTGCGCCTGGAGCTGCAGATTCTCCTGCGCCTGGAGCTGCAGATTCTCCTGCGCCTGGAGCTGCAGATTCTCCTGCGCCTGGAGCTGCAGATTCTCCTGCGCCTGGAGCTGCAGATTCTCCTGCGCCTGGAGCTGCAGATTCTCCTGCGCCTGGAGCTGCAGATTCTCCTGCGCCTGGAGCTGCAGATTCTCCTGCGCCTGGAGCTGCAGATTCTCCTGCGCCTGGAGCTGCAGATTCTCCTGCGCCTGGAGCTGCAGATTCTCCTGCGCCTGGAGCTGCAGATTCTCCTGCGCCTGGAGCTGCAGATTCTCCTGCGCCTGGAGCTGCAGATTCTCCTGCGCCTGGAGCTGCAGATTCTCCTGCGCCTGGAGCTGCAGATTCTCCTGCGCCTGGAGCTGCAGATTCTCCTGCGCCTGGAGCTGCAGATTCTCCTGCGCCTGGAGCTGCAGATTCTCCTGCGCCTGGAGCTGCAGATTCTCCTGCGCCTGGAGCTGCAGATTCTCCTGCGCCTGGAGCTGCAGATTCTCCTGCGCCTGGAGCTGCAGATTCTCCTGCGCCTGGAGCTGCAGATTCTCCTGCGCCTGGAGCTGCAGATTCTCCTGCGCCTGGAGCTGCAGATTCTCCTGCGCCTGGAGCTGCAGATTCTCCTGCGCCTGGAGCTGCAGATTCTCCTGCGCCTGGAGCTGCAGATTCTCCTGCGCCTGGAGCTGCAGATTCTCCTGCGCCTGGAGCTGCAGATTCTCCTGCGCCTGGAGCTGCAGATTCTCCTGCGCCTGGAGCTGCAGATTCTCCTGCGCCTGGAGCTGCAGATTCTCCTGCGCCTGGAGCTGCAGATTCTCCTGCGCCTGGAGCTGCAGATTCTCCTGCGCCTGGAGCTGCAGATTCTCCTGCGCCTGGAGCTGCAGATTCTCCTGCGCCTGGAGCTGCAGATTCTCCTGCGCCTGGAGCTGCAGATTCTCCTGCGCCTGGAGCTGCAGATTCTCCTGCGCCTGGAGCTGCAGATTCTCCTGCGCCTGGAGCTGCAGATTCTCCTGCGCCTGGAGCTGCAGATTCTCCTGCGCCTGGAGCTGCAGATTCTCCTGCGCCTGGAGCTGCAGATTCTCCTGCGCCTGGAGCTGCAGATTCTCCTGCGCCTGGAGCTGCAGATTCTCCTGCGCCTGGAGCTGCAGATTCTCCTGCGCCTGGAGCTGCAGATTCTCCTGCGCCTGGAGCTGCAGATTCTCCTGCGCCTGGAGCTGCAGATTCTCCTGCGCCTGGAGCTGCAGATTCTCCTGCGCCTGGAGCTGCAGATTCTCCTGCGCCTGGAGCTGCAGATTCTCCTGCGCCTGGAGCTGCAGATTCTCCTGCGCCTGGAGCTGCAGATTCTCCTGCGCCTGGAGCTGCAGATTCTCCTGCGCCTGGAGCTGCAGATTCTCCTGCGCCTGGAGCTGCAGATTCTCCTGCGCCTGGAGCTGCAGATTCTCCTGCGCCTGGAGCTGCAGATTCTCCTGCGCCTGGAGCTGCAGATTCTCCTGCGCCTGGAGCTGCAGATTCTCCTGCGCCTGGAGCTGCAGATTCTCCTGCGCCTGGAGCTGCAGGTTCACCATGACTGGAGCTGCAGGTTCACTATGACTGGAGCTGCAGTTTCACCATGAGAGTATGGCATACTGAAGCCTTGGCTCATCTCGCACCTCGACGATGCCGTTGATGACCCAAGGGAAGGAGTTGAGCGGCCCCAGCAGCACGTTGAAGAGCGCTAGGCTCGTGAACACCTGCGGGGTGGGATGAGGTGGTGAGGGAGGGAGGGCGTTGTTGAATCGACTCAAATGTTCAGTTGAGACCCAAATCGATTTTCTAGTCGACTCAGAAACCAGCAACATGAGGAACAGCAGGATGGGTGAGAGAAGAGAGAGCAGACAAGAGAGGGAAAACAAAAAGAATAAGCATACCACGGGGGCGTTGAGGGATCGACCGAGGAGCAGCAGGGAGGAGAATGTGGCGAGGGAGAAGAGCACAGGCGTGCACGCCCAGAAGTACACACACCACGCGTCCAGGTACTTGCGCACCTGCGGGATGGAACGGTGTGGGGGGTGGGGGGGGCACACGGGTAAGGAGCATGCAGCGTAGGTATGAGACGCCCTCAAGTGAATTGCATGCCCCATGCATGCAGGTACTTGCACACTTGAGGCATGCAAGTGGTGCGGTCTGGGAAGGGGTAGTGGCAGTAGTGGGAGCACCCGGCCCTGCCCCACCCTGCCCCGCCCCGCCCCCTCCCCTCCCCACCCAGCCCAGCCCAGTCCAGCCCAGCCCAGCACACAGACACACACATACTGCGAGAGCAGAGAGCTCGAGGTGGCGGGCGGCGTTGATGCGGGAGAGCAGGGCGCCCTCCATGGCCATCGCCCGCACTGCTGCCACGTGGTCCAATAGCTCCTGCATTGCCTGCACCCTGATGACGTTGCAGGGTGATGTGGCAGGGTGACGTGGCAGGGTGAGTGTGGTGTCAAATGGTGTGGCGGCAGGAGAGAGATAAAGAGCAGAGTGAGGGATCACGGTTGCATGCTGAGCAATGGCAACCCCAGCCCCCCCTCTATCTGTGAGACCTGCTCTCTCTGACTGTCCCTCACCTGGCATCCTTGCTGGCCATCATCTGCTTGCTCGCCTCTCCTATCCGCCCCGCCAGCCACCGGTTCACTGCACACGGCACAGCACAGCACAGCACACGGCACATGCACATGATACATGACGCACGACCCATGGCACAGCACATGGCACATGCACAACGTGCACATCCCATTTGCATAACATGGCATGAGGCAATCAGGCGATGGCACATGTCAAATGTGGCATGACACATGGCCTCCAAGGCACATGGTCTTCTGTGTGCGAGCGGATCTCACAGAAAAGCGAAACAATGCAGCGCAGCAGGCGACCAAGGGTGTGGAAAGGCATGCGACATGGCGCCCTCTGTGCAGGGCATGGCATGTGGCATGTGGCATGTGGCATGTGGCATGTGGCATGTGGCATGTGGCATGTGCACGCAGCAGCAAGGAGAGAGAGGTCAAGGTGCGAGCACCTGGGATGAGGAGCAGCACGACAGCGAGGCCAGCCAGGAACGCGTAGCTCACCTGCAGGGAGACGAATGGGAAGAGGAGCAGGGCGCAGTGAGAGGGGGAACGAGGTGTGGGAGGGAGGTTCAGTGAAGGATGGTCCGAGGGTGGCATGGCACCACAAGGATGGTCAGAGGGTGGCATGGCACCACAAGGATGGTCCGAGGGTGGCATGGCACCACAAGGATGGTCCGAGGGTGGCATGGCACCACAAGGATGGTCCGAGGGTGGCATGGCACCACAAGGATGGTCCGAGGGTGGCATGGCACCACAAGGATGGTCCGAGGGTGGCATGGCACCACAAGGATGGTCCGAGGGTAGCATGGCACCACAAGGATGGTCCGAGGGTGGCATGGCACCACAAGGATGGTCCGAGGGTGGCATGGCACCACAAGGATGGTCCGAGGGTGGCATGGCACCACAAGGATGGTCCGAGGGTGGCATGGCACCACAAGGATGGTCCGAGGGTGGCATGGCACCACAAGGATGGTCCGAGGGTGGCATGGCACCACAAGGATGGTCCGAGGGTGGCATGGCACCACAAGGATGGTCCGAGGGTGGCATGGCACCACAAGGATGGTCCAAGGGTGGCATGGCACCACAAGGATGGTCCGAGGGTGGCATGGCACCACAAGGATGGTCCGAGGGTGGCATGGCACCACAAGGATGGTCCGAGGGTGGCATGGCACCACAAGGATGGTCCGAGGGTGGCATGGCACCACAAGGATGGTCAGAGGGTGGCATGGCACCACAAGGATGGTCAGAGGGTGGCATGGCACCACAAGGATGGTCAGAGGGTGGCATGGCACCACAAGGATGGTCAGAGGGTGGAATGGCACCACAAGGATGGTCCGAGGGTGGCATGGCACCACAAGGATGGTCAGAGGGTGGCATGGCACCACAAGGATGGTCAGAGGGTGGCATGGCACCGCAAGGATGGTCCGAGGGTGGCATGGCACCGCAAGGATGGTCCGAGGGTGGCATGGCACCACAAGGATGGTCCGAGGGTGGCATGGCACCACAAGGATGGTCAGAGGGTGGCATGGCACCACAAGGATGGTCAGAGGGTGGCATGGCACCACAAGGATGGTCCGAGGGTGGCATGGCACCACAAGGATGGTCCGAGGGTGGCATGGCACCACAAGGATGGTCAGAGGGTGGCATGGCACCACAAGGATGGTCAGAGGGTGGCATGGCACCACAAGGATGGTCAGAGGGTGGCATGGCACCACAAGGATGGTCCGAGGGTGGCATGGCACCACAAGGATGGTCAGAGGGTGGCATGGCACCACAAGGATGGTCAGAGGGTGGCATGGCACCACAAGGATGGTCAGAGGGTGGCATGGCACCACAAGGAGTGTGGTGGTGGCAGGCTGGCAGATGTCACAGAGTGTGGCACGTAGACGAGGAAGTGAAACGGGTGCAGTGGAAGTATTAGTAGGTATGCATGTGCAGTGTGCCATGCCGGCATGCCACAGAGTGTGGTGTGGTGTGGTGTGGTGCGGTGTGGTGCGTGGCATACCTGCCAGTAGAGCAGCAGCAGCGCCACAAGGATCTGCAGAGGCAGACTGCGAGATAGGGACATGTGGCGAAAGGAAACGGGGGAAGCCATAACGGACGACGGCAGTGGAATAGGACCACGCCCTTTCAATGCTTATTTGCGTTAGGCTGAATAAGCAGCGCTCTCAAACTTCTTTACAGTGAGTGAGCATACAGTAAAGAAAGGCACAAGAAGAGATTGGTGCCTCACTGACCCCCACAGGTCGTGCAGTGACATGACGAGGTTGACAAGCCTATCTGCGTCCACACTCATGAGCGTCTGCACCTCCCCGCCCTCAAACGACCCCCTCTGCGCTGCGCTCACTGCCAGCACCTGGGTGGGACGCGGGCAGAGCAGGGCGATGAATGGCGGTGAGTTTTGAGAAGACTCAGTTCAACTCAGCGACAGCACGTGGGGGGGAGGCTGGGGTGGGGTAACCGGCCGCAACCACACCACAGCATGGAGTCAGGAGAATGGGCTTACGCTTCGGCTTTCATGTCATCGTGTCATGTAAGAACAAGTTAGACACGACGCAAGTGGAGGTCACAGAATCAACAAGTCATGCATAGGAGAGGTGAGGAGGGTATCTACCTTGGCAAAGACGCACGTGGCGATGGCGGCGCGCAGCTTGAGCCCCATGCGCGCCAGGCTGTATGAGTAGTGGGCCCCTAGGAACGCCCTGAGGGTGCGGCATGAGGCATGAGGGATGAGGGATGAGGGCGGTGCGATGGATGGGAAGAAGCAAGAGGGAGACGAGGTGTGAGACGAGGTGTGAGACGAGGTGTGAGACGAGGTGTGAGACGAGGTGTGAGACGAGGTGTGAGACGAGGTGTGAGACGAGGTGTGAGACGAGGTGTGAGACGAGGTGTGAGACGAGGTGTGAGACGAGGTGTGAGACGAGGTGTGAGACGAGGTGTGAGACGAGGTGTGAGACGAGGTGTGAGACGAGGTGTGAGACGAGGTGTGAGACGAGGTGTGAGACGAGGTGTGAGACGAGGTGTGAGACGAGGTGTGAGACGAGGTGTGAGACGAGGTGTGAGACGAGGTGTGAGACGAGGTGTGAGACGAGGTGTGAGACGAGGTGTGAGACGAGGTGTGAGACGAGGTGTGAGACGAGGTGTGAGACGAGGTGTGAGACGAGGTGTGAGACGAGGTGTGAGACGAGGTGTGAGACGAGGTGTGAGACGAGGTGTGAGACGAGGTGTGAGACGAGGTGTGAGACGAGGTGTGAGACGAGGTGTGAGACGAGGTGTGAGACGAGGTGTGAGACGAGGTGTGAGACGAGGTGTGAGACGAGGTGTGAGACGAGGTGTGAGACGAGGTGTGAGACGAGGTGTGAGACGAGGTGTGAGACGAGGTGTGAGACGAGGTGTGAGACGAGGTGTGAGACGAGGTGTGAGACGAGGTGTGAGACGAGGTGTGAGACGAGGTGTGAGACGAGGTGTGAGACGAGGTGTGAGACGAGGTGTGAGACGAGGTGTGAGACGAGGTGTGAGACGAGGTGTGAGACGAGGTGTGAGACGAGGTGTGAGACGAGGTGTGAGACGAGGTGTGAGACGAGGTGTGAGACGAGGTGTGAGACGAGGTGTGAGACGAGGTGTGAGACGAGGTGTGAGACGAGGTGTGAGACGAGGTGTGAGACGAGGTGTGAGACGAGGTGTGAGACGAGGTGTGAGACGAGGTGTGAGACGAGGTGTGAGACGAGGTGTGAGACGAGGTGTGAGACGAGGTGTGAGACGAGGTGTGAGACGAGGTGTGAGACGAGGTGTGAGACGAGGTGTGAGACGAGGTGTGAGACGAGGTGTGAGACGAGGTGTGAGACGAGGTGTGAGACGAGGTGTGAGACGAGGTGTGAGACGAGGTGTGAGACGAGGTGTGAGACGAGGTGTGAGACGAGGTGTGAGACGAGGTGTGAGACGAGGTGTGAGACGAGGTGTGAGACCAATGGATGGGGAAGCTCACGCTCTAGAGATTAGCGTCGCTGACCCTCTGTCGCTGTCTCCTTCGCTGCTAGGGCAGTGTGGGCGTTCCATAGGAGTGGCGGCGAGGGAGTGGGAGCGTCGCAAGACGGGCGATTACGCACCCCTGCTTGCACGCAACCCGGGCGTGCAGTTCACCCCTTTGATAGTAGAGACGTGGGGGTGTCTAGGCGGTCGGTTTCGGCGGTGGCTTCTGTTAAGTTGTAATGTGTTATTTATATGTAGGTAGGCTGTAGTGGGGTAGCCAATACAGGGTACAAACCCAACTAGGGTTAGCTACTTGTACCCAACTGTTTCTTTCAATGCACCCATTCTTGCCTAGTTCTGTTAACATGGTATTCAGAGCAGGAGGTCCCTAGGACCTACCGACCGTTTTTTTTTAAGGGCCCACCACCGCTCGCATGCGGTTACCACGCTACCCCGTGCCCTAGCCTCGTAGCGCCCTCGTGCGCCCTCGTTAGCGCCCTCGTGCGCCCTCGTTAGCGCCCTCGCGCGCCCTCGTTAGCGCCCTCGCGCGCCCTCGTTAGCGCCCTCGCGCGCCTCTCGTTAGCGCCCTCGCGCGCCCTCGCTAGCGCCCTCGCGCCCCCTTGTTAGCGCCCTCGTGCGCCTCTCGTTAGCGCCCTCGCGCGCCCCTCGCAGCGTCGCCCGCCCGCCGAGCCGCCCGCTCGCAGCGTCGCCCGCCTACCGCGCTGCCCGTTTCGCAGCCCGCCCGCCGCGCTGCCCTTTCGCAGCGTCGCCCGCCCGCCCGCTGCCCGCTTGCAGCGTCGCCCGCCCGCCCGCTGCCCGCTTCGCAGCGTCGCCCGCCCGCCGCGCTGCCCGCTCGCAGCGTCGCCCGCCCGCCTCGCTGCCCGCTTGCAGCGTCGCCCGCCCGCCCGCTGCCCGCTTCGCAGCCCGCCCGCCGCGCTGCCCGCTCGCAGCGTCGCCCGCCCGCATCGCTGCCCGCTGCAGCGCCGCCCGCCCGCCCGCTGCCCGCTTGCAGCGTCGCCCGCCCGCCCGCTGCCCGCTTCGCAGCCCGCCCGCCGCGCTGCCCGCTCGCCGCGTCGCCCGCCCGCCCCGCTGCCCGCTTCGCAGCCCGCCCGCCGCACTTCCCGCCTGCAGCACCGCGCTGCCCGCTTCGCAGCCCGCCCCCCGCACTGCCCGCTCGCCGCGTCGCCCGCCCGCCGCGCTTCCCGCCGAGCTACCTACCTGCAGCGCTGCGGCAGCTTCCTTTGCTCAGTCGCACTGTCGCTATGGCTTCCATCCGCGTGCTGTCGTTCGATGCTGAGGGCCGCCCTGTGAAGTTCGCCACTTGGCTGGATGACCTGCAGCTGTTCCTTCTGAGCGATAGCAAGGAGCATGTGTCGCTCTATGATTACGCGTCTGGTGCTGCACCTGCCCCTCCTGCCACAGCTGAGCTTAGTGTTCGTTCCCACTGGCAGACTCGTGACGCAGCTGCTCGCCTAGCCATTCGCAGTCACCTGCCGCTAGCTGAGCTCGAGCATTTTGGCGACTGCAAATCCGCTAAGGCCCTGTACGATGCTGTCATTGCTCGCTACTCCTCGCCTGCCACAGCCGAGCTTAGCCGCCTCATGCTGCCGTACCTGTTCCCTGAGCTGTCCACCTTTGCTACAGTCGCCGATCTTATCACTCACCTTCGCACTAGTGATGCTCGCCTGCGTGCCGCCCTTCCCACCGAGTTCTGCGCTAAGAATCCCCCTCCACTGTACTGGACACTCCACTTCATAGTCACCCTCAGCTCAGTTCGAGACCACTTCCTTGCTCGCTGTCCCACTGAGCTCACAGTCGCCCTCCTAGAGGAGCAGCTGCTAGCGGCCGAAAAGAGCATTGTCGCTGTCGGTGCTGCTCGTGGCGCTCCTCGCACCCCCATCTTTGAGGGGTGTTCTCCCTCTCCCCTCGCTCCCTCCTACGCTACTGCTGCTGCTGTTGACTTCCTTGGTGCTGAGTCTGCTGGCGCTGCTTCTGCTCCTGGTGGGAGGCGCCGCACCGGCAAGGGCAAGGGGGGCAAGGGTGGCGGGGGTGGCGCTGGGGGGGGAGGAGGTGGGGGAGGTGGGGGGGGAGGCGGTGCTGGAGGGAGCGGTGGCGGGAGCGCTGGTGGGAGTGGGGTCGGCGGTGGAGGCGGGGGCGGCGGAGGAAGCAGTGGCAGTAGTGGCGGCGGCGGCGGTGGCGGCGGTGGCGGTGGTGGCGGTGGTGGCGGTGGCGGTCGGAGCGGTGGTAGTGGTGGCGGCGGAGGTCGGAGTGGAGGCACTAGCTCGGGCCAGAGCTCCCAGCAGCAGCAGCGTCCCCAGACGACCCAACAGCTTCGTGAGTGGCTTGCTCAGCGTGGGACGTCGGGGGGCAGTGGCCGCTGTTCCTATGTCATTCGCACAGGTGACCGCAAGGGACAGACGTGTGGGAGGTTCCACACCCCGTACCGCTGCTTCTCCCGCCTTGACGACGCTTGGCGTGAGGAGATGGGCGAGGATGTTGAGCGCCCCCGCTGGGCTGAGCTCATGAGGGCTGGTGTTGATATCTTTGCTCTTGACTATGATGCTATTATTGCTGCCATGTATGCATTGACTGTTAGTGCCGAGGGAGACTGTTACTTGTGTGTGCCGCCTGACCCAGGTATAGAGCCCGCTGCCCTGGGTACTAGTGAGTCTGCTCTCTCTGGTATGGTGCCCCCTGTACTTGCTCCCTCCAGTGCTGTCCCGGCTGTTTGCGAGTCTGCTCTCTCAGGTACAGCACCCACAGAGACTGCTCTCTCAGGTACCGCACCGGCTGAGGCCTGTCACACCTTCACCCTTGACTCAGGTGCTTCCCGCTGTTTCTTTCGTGACAGTACTGAGCTCACACCGCTTCCTGCACCGGTCCCAGTCTCCTTGGCTGACCCCTCTGGGGGCCCAGTCCTTGCCCAGTCCACCACTGTGCTCCCTTGTCCGGCGGTTCCGTCTGGCTCGTTGTCGGGTTTCCACCTCCCCTCGTTCTCGACGAACCTGGTGAGCAACGCTGTCATCCAGGATCAGTGGGTTGACACCTTTACCCCTGGAGGACAGCGTGTGGCGATCTGCACGTGCTCCAGGACCGGCCGTCACCTGGCTACGTTTACCCGTCGGCCGGGGTCGAGTCTCTACACACTGACCACTGCGTCTCCTCAGGTTGCTGCTGTCGGTCAGGTGTCCGCGTCAGGTCTGGTGGCCCACGCCTGTGAGTGTCGTTCCCTGTCGCACCAGACTCTTCTCTGGCACCACCGCCTAGGTCACCCCTCCTTGCCACGCCTCCGTGGCATGCACCGTCGCTGCCTTGTGTCTGGTCTTCCCAGGTCCCTCCCTCCCCTCCCTGCCTCGCCTGCGCCGCCTTGCCTTCCTTGCGTCGAGGGGCGGCAGCGCGCCGCTCCTCACTCCTCCTCGTTCCCCCCGACAGAGGCTCCTCTGCAGACCCTCCACCTGGACGTGTGGGGCCCAGCCCGCGTTCGTGGCCAGGGCGGTGAGCGGTACTTTTTGCTGGTTGTCGACGACTACTCGCGTTACACCACGGTCTTCCCCTTGCGCACCAAGGGTGAGGTCCCTGCTGTTCTGATCCCTTGGATCCGCACAGTTTGTCTCCAGCTCCGCCGCCGTTTCCGGACGGATCTTCCTGTCCTGCGTCTGCACTCTGACAGAGGTGGTGAGTTTTCCTCCGATCTCTTGAGGACCTTCTGTCAGGCGGAGGGCATCGAGCAGACCTTCACGCTTCCGGACTCCCCACAGCAGAATGGGGTTGCTGAGCGCCGCATTGGCCTGGTCATGGAGGTCGCTCGTACCTCCTTGGTCCACGCGGCGGCTCCCCATTTTCTGTGGCCGTTTGCTGTCCGGTACGCCGCGCATCAGCTCAACCTCTGGCCCCGTGTCTCCTTGCCGGAGACCTCGCCCACACTGCGTTGGACGGGGGAGGTTGGCGATGCGTCGCGCTTCCGGGTGTGGGGTGCTCGTGCCCTTGTCCGCGATACGTCCGCGGACAAGCTCTCCTCCCGCACGCTTCCCTGTGTCTTCCTTGGCTTTGTCCCTGACGCGCCTGGCTGGCAGTTTTACCACCCCACCTCGCGCCGGGTCTTCGCCTCTCAGGATGTCACCTTTGACGAGTCGGTCCCTTTTTACCGTCTCTTCCCCTACCGCACTGCCCCCCTCCCTCCCCCGCCGCTTTTCCTTGCTCCTGGTCCCCCTCCGGTAGACCCCCTTCCCCCTCAGGGTCCTGCTCCTTCAGGTGTCTCTCAGGTAGACCCTCCTCCCGTCGCTGAGCCTGTCGAGGTCACAGGTGACTCAGGTGCTGCTGCAGGTGGTGCTGCTGGGAGTGCTGAGCCTGGGGGTGCTGAGCCTGCGGGTGCTGGGCCTGGGAGTGCTGGGACTACGGGTGCTGGAGCTGAGGGTACTGTGCCTGGGAGTTCGGCGCCTGGGGGTGCTGAGCCTGGGGGTGCTACGACTGGGGGTGCTGAGCCTGCGTGTACGGAGTCTGGGGGTGCCGAGCCTGGGGGTACTGCGCCTGAGGGTACTGAGCCTGGGGGTGCTGCTACTGAGCCTACGGAGCCTGGGGTTGCTGCGTCTGGGGGTGCTCTTCCTGGCGGTACTGGAGCTGCTGGAGCTGAAAACGCTGGAGCTGACGGTTCTGGACACGGTGGTCCTGCTGGTTCTGGAGGTGCTGGCGAGGGGAGGTCTGACGCTGCTGGGGCCTCTGGTGCTGACGTCGCCGACTCGGGGGGTGCTGCGGCGGAGGGTGCTGGTCCAGGTGCTTCTGGTGCTCCGGGTGCTGGAGGTGCTGGCGGAGCTCCGCCGTCGCGCCTGTTCTTCGCTCCTCCGTCGCCGTCGGCTTTGCCGCCGCCTGACACGGTGCTTCGCCAGGTTCTTTCCCTCCCGTCTTCCACTGGCCTTCCCCTTCAGCCTGGCTCCCCCCTCCCTGCTCCTGTGCCTTATAAGGCGCAGCCGGACTCGCTTACGGAGCGTCGTGAGCCTGCGTCTCGTCCTGCCTCGCCGGTTCGCGCTGCTCGCACTGCTCGCACTGGTCCCACTAGCCGTCGTGTCGCGCGTCCGCGTCCTCCTCCTGTTCCTGGCACGCACATTATGGCACTTCGTCCTTCCACTGGTCCACAGCGTGTCCCCCTACCGTCTCCTCCTGCGTCTTCTCTTCCTGACGTTCCCGACCCTGAGTCTGACAGTGTTCGTGCTGCCCACCCTACTGTCACGCGTCTTCTCGCCACTGTTGTCACTGACCCGTCGTTTGAGTCTTCTGCTGCGTCTGCCCTGGTCGCTGAGCTTGTCGACTTTGCTGCTGCCTGTCGCCTCGACTACGCCGCCAGTCTTGTTGCTGAGTCTGAGTCTGTCTGTCCTCCGTCCGTCGGGGGTGAGTGTGCTCTTGGCACGGACGTCCTTGAGGACAGGCAGGAGGACTTTGACTCTCTCGCGGCTGCTGTACCTCATCTCGTGGCCTGGTTGCTTGCCCCTGAGGGAGACCCGGATGCACTAGACATCCCCACTCCGCGCACTTACGCAGAGGCGATCTCGGGTCCCTACTCCTCTCAGTGGCAGACAGCCATGGACGCAGAGATGGCATCCTGGAAGTCCACAGGCACCTACGTCGACGAGGTTCCCCCTCCTGGGGCGAACATCGTCGATGGCATGTGGATTTTCAGGGTGAAGCGGCCGCCAGGTTCTCCGCCTGTCTTCAAGGCTCGTTACGTTGCTAGAGGCTTCAGTCAGCGTCAGGGGGTCGACTTCTTCCAGACCTTCTCCCCCACCCCGAAGATGACCACTCTTCGGGTTCTGCTGCACGTTGCTGCTCAGCGTGACTACGAGCTTCACTCTCTTGACTTCAGCACAGCGTTCCTGCAGGGCAGCCTGCACGAGGAGATCTGGCTGCGCCGCCCACCTGGCTTTACTGGGTCGTTTCCTCCTGGTACCCAGTGGAGCCTCCGCCGGCCAGTCTACGGTCTCCGCCAGGCGCCACGTGAGTGGCACGACACACTGAGGACTACACTTGCGGCTCTTGGGTTCGCGCCATCTACTGCTGACCCGTCGCTGTTTCTGCGCACAGACACGTCGCTGCCGCCGTTCTACATTCTCGTGTACGTCGACGACTTGGTCTTTGCTACTGCTGACACTGAGGCACTCGCTCGTGTGAAGTCGGAGCTGCAGAAGAGACACACCTGCACTGACCTGGGTGAACTGCGTAGCTACCTTGGCTTGCAGATCACCCGGGACAGAGCTCGCCGCACCATCACCCTGACTCAGTCACACATGGTGCAGCAGGCCCTTCAGCGCTTCGGCTTCCAGTTCTCCTCACCACAGGCCACACCTCTGGCTACCAGCCACTCGCTCTCAGCTCCACCTTCGGACGAGTCCGTAGAGCCGAGTGGCCCGTACCTAGAGCTTGTAGGCTGCCTCATGTACCTGATGACTTGCACGCGACCTGACCTCGCGTACCCACTTAGCATCCTTGCTCGCTACGTTGCGCCTGGGAGACACAGGCGAGAGCACTGGGAGGCTGCTAAGAGGGTGCTGCGTTACTTGTGCAGTACATCAGGCATGGGGCTGGTGCTTGGAGGACGCGACAGAGTTGTCCTCACTGGTCACTCGGACGCTTCTTGGGTGGACGACCTGGCTACGCAGCGGTCGTCACAGGGTTACACCTTCAGCCTTGGCTCTGGTTCTGTCTCGTGGCGGTCCACCCGCTCTTCTTCTGTTCTCGGCTCTAGTTGTGAGGCTGAGATCTACGCCACAGCCATGGCTGCACAGGAGTTACGCTGGCTCACCTACCTGCTGACTGACTTGGGAGAGCGGCCTAGTTCTCCTCCAGTTCTGTACGGTGACAACAAGGCGGCTCTTGCCTTGTGTCAGGAGCACAGACTGGAGCACAGGACGAAGCACATTGCTCTTCGCTACTTTCTTGCTCGAGAGCTTCAGCAGCGCGGTCAGCTTCGGCTTGTGTACGTGGACTCGAAGGCCAACACTGCTGATATCTTCACCAAGGCGCTCCCGCCTAGTGATCATCAGCGGCACTGTACTTCTTTAGGCCTTGTGTCCACGTTTCCTCACTTGCTCACTGCTTGACATTCTTTGTACTGTACTTTATATTTGTCTTGCTGCTTGTCCTGTTCTATATCTAGCACTACATGTGAACTGGCCTTGTGGCCTTTGTTTGTGCTCGGAGTGTGGTGACGTTGTGATCCACCCTGGGCTTGTTTTTGCTTTGCTGGACTGGTCTTGTGACCCTTTGCTCTCCCCCACTTTGCCTATGGGGGTGTGTTAAGTTGTAATGTGTTATTTATATGTAGGTAGGCTGTAGTGGGGTAGCCAATACAGGGTACAAACCCAACTAGGGTTAGCTACTTGTACCCAACTGTTTCTTTCAATGCACCCATTCTTGCCTAGTTCTGTTAACAGCTTCGACAACAGGCGGATGCACACTTGGGGCTAGCGGTGTCTCGTGGGGCATGTCGAGAGGACGACCATTCGTTTTCGGCTTATCTGATGGGGTCTTTGAAGGGGCTCATTGGGGTGGCGTTACAGCGGGCACAAGCCCGTGTTATTCTGCTTCGCGCAGCGTCTTCCATGGGGGGTTTGAACGTGGATTTGGTGGACAGGGAGGAGGACGATGTCAAGATGGAGGGTGGGGCTCTCTGGGTGGAGGCCCCTTACATGGTGGATGCTCGGATGTAAGCTGAGTAGGGGGGGAAATTGGGGGGTTGTCTGGGATGTCTCGGTTGGGTGTATGGATTGGGTGTTTCGATTGGGTGTCTTGATGGGGTTTTTATTATGTATGTGCTTTTAGGATCTGGGTGTCTTGATGGGGTTTTTTTATGTGTGTGCACTCAGGGACCCTGTGAGAACGTGTCGTTTCATTAGATTTTTATGGTGCTGCCTTTGTGTCGATATAAACCGAAGAGAGACCCTGGTGGTGATGAGGTGACATGGTGATAGAGTAGGCAAAAAAAAGGATTGTCACTTTCCCCACAACACGTGAATAATTGCATATTAGACATTCGGTTTCCTACTTCAGCACATTCGATATTGCGACAATATTCCCGCAGTGTCAGCATCAAACAGAGCACCGACAGCCACCGCGCGGGTTTCCCCCACCCCTCAACCTCTCCAGTCGCAGCACCCCTTCCGCGTGTAGCGGGAGAGAAGCGCTTCCCGCGCGCGCGTGATGCGAATCCCCTCGTTTGTCGTCGGAACAAAAGCAGGCAAACAAATCCCAAAGGCGGGATTGATGGGATGGATGATGGATACACTCATAGGGCGACTGTTTTCGGCAATTCCAAGGAGGCACTCCTAGGGAAGGCATTTTCAAGAAATGACTTGGCCTGAACTCGCTCGATCCATAGACGTAAATGGCGGTTCAGTGATGGAGTGAGTCAGTGATTCATCCAGCCATCCATCAGTGCGCGACACCCAGCGGTCCGTGACGAGCTCCACAGCACAGCACGTGAAATTAGTGGCTCGCCCTGTCTGTATCAGCTCCGCCGCATTTTGCCTCAGCTCACTATCGCTGAATCCGAGGGAACAGATCATTCACTGCCTTCCGCCAGCGAGCTGGGTGCAGCCATGGATGAACCTACTGAAACCGTGACAGCACAGCCCAGCGCGACGGGTAGTGCCGGCGCGAACGAAGAGCTGCATATGGAGACGATATCGCTGTCAGATAAGGTCGACGGGCAAGGCGCGTCTGCGACGGGCGACGATGATGGCGACGACGACGGCGACTCGCAGGCGACGTCGCAGCTGGCGGCGACATCGCAGCCGACGGAGGCGAGCGACTTCGACGACAAGTCGGACGACGAAATGGAGGCGACGAAGGGCGGCGAGAGGGTGCTGAGCGCGGAGGAAGTGGAGCGCGTGCGAATGATGCTGACGATCGTGGGCGACCGCGAGCGACGGGAACTGGAGGCCAAATACCCGGAGCTGAAGCAGCAGCCGCTAGCGCGCGATGCGAGCGGCAAGGAGGAGGGCGACGACGACGACGACTCGCCGCCGCGACTCATCGTCCCGGTCGGAAAGGATCTGGTACGCCCCGCTGCTCCGCGCTTGCTCGCCTCCGCTTGCGCATCCGCCGCTTCCGCAACCGTCGCTCGCCATCGCATCGGATTCTCGCCTGGGCATCCCTTGCGTCCCGTTCCCATTCCGATCCCGTTGTCTGAGATGCTCCAGCCATTTTTCTTTTATTTATTTGGTTTCCGCTCGACTCCTTTCCCCATCCCTTGCCGTCGTCGCACATCCCCTGCGACATGAATCAGCTGGAGGCGACGCTGGGCGACAATCCGTTCATGCTCGACTTCGGGATTCGCAGCTGCGCCTTCTCGTACAGCCATTTCGTCGGCATGCGACGAATTAAAGCCTTCTCCGAACCCGACGCCTCCGCGCGCTCGTACATCGCGTCCACGTCAGCAAAGATTCGCGGCAACGCGGTGGCGATTAAAGACAAACTCGAGGAGAACTGGCCGAAACTGCAGTCGTCGCTCGCAGCCGCCATTGGCGAGTCACTGACTGCCACGTGGCAGTGGGTGAAGGATCACAAACCAACGGGGTTGCCCATTCCGGGCGTGCCGAAACCGGAAGGCGGAGCTGCGGAGAAGGCGGAGGGGGAGGGGGAGGGGGAGGGGGAAGCAGGGAAGGAGAATGGAGTAGTAGAGGGGCCGGTGGCCGAAGGAGGTGAAGCAGCAGCGAAGGGGAAAGTCGGAGAGACAGAAGGCGAGGACGCAACGAGAAAGGTGGCGGGAGCGAGAAGCACAGAAGGCGCAGAGGAGGTTACAATTGTTACTGATGAAAAGGTTGAAGGGGAAACGAAGTCGGAAGAAGCGAAGCAAGGAGAAGGAGCGAGCAACGAGAGTTCAGTAGAGGAGAGAAAAGAGGAAGTGTTGGACGAGAGGGAGAGGGCGAGGCGAGCCAAGGAGGAGGAGCGGCAGGCGAAGGAGGAGGCTGCGCGCAAGGAGGAGGAGGCGCGGCGGGAGCTGGAGGCGCTAGTGGCGCGCATGGAGAAGTGGGAGATCCTCTTCCGCAACCCCTCCCTCGCTAGCGCCCCCGCGCAGACCCTCCAGTTCGCGTGCAACGCCGCAGGGTGAGACGGGCGCGGGGAGGGAGAGGCGCGCTGATGGGAGGTGTGCTGAGGGGAGGGGAGTGGCTGGGAGCAGAGGAGACGCCAGGGATGGCAGCAAGGTCTGTGGGGGGTCAGGCGAGGGGCTGAAAACGGAGGGATTGTTGAGGAGAGAGGAGGATATGTTTGGCTGTGTCGTGAGAGCTGCCTCGACACATCCCTGCACGAATCCCAATCAAGTCCCCCACCCCCAAACATTCCCCCCACCCCAACCACGCCCCCAATTTCCAACCATGCCCCCATCCCCCCAACCATGCCCCCATCCCCCCAACCATGCCCCCCACCCCCTTTCTCCCCCCCACTCCCGCCGTCCCCCCTCGCCTTCAGCGCAGCCTGGCTCTGGTGCACCAGAAGCTCGCCACGTGGCAACAGGTGGTGGTCTCGCCCGCCGTGCTGCTGGACGCCTCGCTGGCCGTGATTGTAGCGAACGGAGGCACAGTGCCCGAGAACAAGGGCTACCAGCCGTCCTTCCCGTTAGAAGCACAAAAGAGCGACAGGGGAGGGGGAAAAGGGGACGAGGGCGCGGGGAAGGAGGGGCAAGAAGGCGAGGGGCAGGGGAGTGCGATACGGTGGGGATCGGCGGTGATCAGAGGGCACTACCTACCCAAGAGAATAGGGGAGTCGCTGCTGCTGTCACCACAGAACTTCATGGCGGTGAGTGAAGCAATGTGCTGCACGTGGTCAAATGTGGCCCCATACCAGTGTTTCCCAATCCCCACATTCCAGCTCCTCTGCTTGTGCCTGCCCTCGCTCCTTCCATACCTCATGCCAACCCACCCCCATTTCCCTCGCCCCCTGGCATCTCAGCTGGCGGTGACGCTGCCCGCTCGCCTGCGCACGTCCCCCTGGAGATTGCTCTACTCCACGGCCAGGGATGGCATCAGGTGATCATGCAGGTGGCGTCAGGTGATCATGCAGGTGGCATCAGGTGATCATGCAGGTGGCATGAGGTGATGATGTGTGCGTCCATTGCTCATGAACATCTCTTTCGCCACCGTCTCCATGCATCTCCACCTACTCATGCTATTCTTCTCTCTCTGCCGTTGCCGCATGCCTCCACTTCTCATGTCTCATGCATGTATCGTGTGCATGGTGCAGCATGGCAACACTGTTTCGGAAGATCAAGGGCAAGGGCGCGTGTCTGCTGGTTGTGCGTGACTCAAATAAATACGTGAGTGCCCAACTGCCCCAGGGCTTAGCCATGCCACCATACCCATGCCTGGGTTTCTAAGTCCATGGCCAAGTCACCAAATCTATGCCCAAGTTACATACCCATGCCTGAATTACCAATCCATGGCCACACAATTGTCATGGAATGGTTTCCTCGTGCATGTGATCACGCTGTTGCACCCGTGTGTGTTCCGCGCATGTTTCTTCCGTGTGTGTGTGACCTACGCTTCTCACCACCACAGCGCAGCGGTCCCACCTATCTCCAGTTGCCCCTCTGGTTATGGCAGTGGTCGATCTGTCCCTCCATCCACCACACCTCTCCCTTTCCTTGCTCGTACCACTTCCTGATCAACTTGTGTCTTGTGTGCATGTGTGAATGTGTGCATGCGTGCATGAGAGCAGGTGTTTGGGTGTTTCACCAACGAGGAGTGGCGCCCCATGGACCGATACTACGGCAATGGGGAGTGCTTCGTCTTCCAGGTACCCTTCTTTCCCTTGCTCCTCCATACCACCCCTTTCTCCTGCATACTGTTCTCCCTCCCTCCCTCCACCTGTCTGCTCTCGTGCTCTGCTCCTTCAGCAGCAAGTGATTTTTCTCCGAGACCTCTCTGCCAGCTCCCACCATGCCCTCCCATGCCCTCCCATGCCCTCCCACTCTCCTCCTCATTTCCCTCACGCTCTCGCCACTTGCCAAACCCCGTTTCGACCTCTTCCCTCTGGCAGGTGCAGCCGGAGTGTGTGGCGTACAGGTGGGCGCGCACCAACAGCTACTTCATGCTCTCCAGCAACGCCATGCTCGCCGTGGGGGGCGGGTGAGTGGGGAAATGGGGAGAGGTGGGGGAGAGTTCGCGGGTGGTAGACAGGAGATGGTGACCTAGTTCATTCAGTTTTACCTGGTTGCTTTGAAAGCAAGCTGTGGGGACCTGATGCTATCCTTGACTCACCTGTTGCGTCCTCCTGCTTCCCTACTCCATGCCCTGTACCCCACCCCAACTGTACCCTTTTTCCCACACGTGCCCCATTTCCCACACCACCATGCCCCACATGGCACGGAGTGCAGCAACCACCACAGCCTGCTGCTGTATGCTGATCTCCTCACAGGCGCCAGTGCACCGTGTGACACCTTTGGCAGCGCCATCCTTGCCAGGTACTGCCATGCCATGCCCTGCCATGCCATGCCATGCCATGCCATGCCTTGCCATGCCATGCCATGCCATGCCTTGCCATGCCATGCCATGCCATGCCTTGCCATGCCATGCCATGCCTTGCCATGCCATGCCATGCCTTGCCATGCCTTGCCTTGCCATGCCTTGCCTTGCCATGCCTTGCCATGCCTTGCCTTGCCATGCCTTGCCTTGCCATGCCTTGCCTTGCCATGCCTTGCCATGCCTTGCCGTGCCATGGCTTGCTTTGCCTTGCAGCATTCTCTACACTCTGCTTCACCTCGCATGCTGCTCCTTCTTCCATGCTTTCACTTCTCCAGCTTCTTTTACTTGGCATTTTCATACCTTGCCACTGTCCCCTTTCCCCGTGGCTCCCCGCTTTGCTGTGCTGCCTTCCCAGTTCGGAGGAGTTTGAGGTGGCACAAGTGGAGGTGTGGGGCTTCAAGTGACACCAAGCCCATGCCTCACCTCTCACCATTCACACAGCACCCGATGTGTTGAATCCTCATTTCTCAACGCATTGCCTCGGCAAGCAAGCAGCCTCTCATTTGCTGCAATGGGGTTGGTGTTGAGGTTTCTCGACACAAATCAGCTAGTTGTAGCGTCCTCCAAATCTCAGTTATTTGGAGGACTCGAATTACTATGTAGCAAGTTGTGGCTTCCACCACAAGAGGCATCTTGTATTGCTTATTGAATGCTGATAACATGATGACTTATATGGACACATTGCAAAGTGCACCACATGGTGGCTTCGAGGTTGTGTTGCGAGGCCAACAGCAACGGCTCCATACCCGAAATACTGTAAGAGGCTAGTGCTGGAACTTCTCCCTCGAATGTGGGTTCATACGAGAGGCGCAATTTCTTTTCACACACTTCCAGCAAGCACCATGCACAAGGCCACGTGCGCATTCGTATCATATATTCCCCCTCATCTCACTCTCTCAGCCACGCATTCTAGTCATCCAACCTTCCTGCGCCCCGTTCGCCTCTCTCTTGCCGCCATGCTCTCTCGAATGAGGAGGAGTTGGAGGATTCCCGCGCTCCAGCACCCGTATGGACTGGCGCATTCGCGCTGCAATTACAATAGGGCGGGTGTGACTTGCCGCTTCCCTGCGTCTCGCTGTCCGCCGCCCGTCAGTCCTCGCGCCCATTTTCGTCGCAATCTTCGCCTGCCCCTCTGCACAATCGATACCTATCACCCTCTAGCGATAAGCGCGCTCGAACCGTTTACCTGCGCCGCACGCGGCCATGTCGCAATCGCGCGCTGGTCTTCTCATCTCCCTCCCCTCCGATCACATCTCTTACCCCTCGTACTCCGATCTCCTGCCGCCGGTGCCACCAAATCCGCCGTCATCCCCGTTACTGCCATCCTCGATTCTCGTTAAGATCTTTCATTGGTCAGACATGGTGGATTTGATTCCGCCATTGGCGTGGCTGCACATAACGGTGGGCGTCGTGGGCGTGCTGATAATGACCTACACCTTCATGATGCGCAAGCTGAAAGAGGATCTGCTTATATCGGAGACGTTCGCGGCGCTGGTGGTGGGCGTGCTGCTGGGGCCGCACTGCATCCGGGTGTTAGACCCTCACGGCGCCTTGGGAGAAGCCACGGCGCTTGCTGTGCTGCAAGAGGTGAGACTCCCACGACCCTTCTCTCCGTGCTGCTGGACCCGCACGGCGCCTTGGGGAAAGAAGCGGCTCTAGTGGTGCTGCGCGAGGTGAGCCGCTTGTGAGGATGTTTAAAGGTCGTGCTGCGCGAGGTGAGCCGCTTGTGAGGATGTTTAAAAGTCGTGCTGCGCGAGGTGAGCCGCTTGTGAGGATGTTTAAAAGTCGTGCTGCGCGAGGTGAGCCGCTTGTGAGGATGTTTAAAAGTCGTGCTGCGCGAGGTGAGCCGCTTGTGAGGATGTTTAAAAGTCGTGCTGCGTGAGGTGAGCCGCTTGTGAGGATGTTTAAAAGTCGTGCTGCGCGAGGTCAGCGCTTCACTCCCCACACACTCCACCCGCCCCGCTCCCGCCCACTCCCCCCCTCCCTGTGCTCCTGCTCCCCTTCCCTCATCCCCCCATACGTTTGATTCCCTGTTCCTCCTCCTCTGAGCGAGTTCGTTTCACAAAGACAATCACAAGAACGTGGAGCAACGGAACGTTTCCCGGTCCCTCTCCCTCCCCCTCCCTGTCCCTCCGCCGCAGCTCTCCCGCTTGGTCCTGGCAGTGCAGCTCGTCTCAGCCGGGCTGGGCTTACCTCTCAAGTACGTGGAGCGGCAGTGGCGGACGCTAGCCGTGCTCCTCGGCCCCACCATGCTGGCCACGCTGGGCATCTCCTTTGCTCTCGCGCTCGCACTGCTGCCGCACGCGGGCGTGGGGTGGCAGACGTGCCTTCTCGTGGCGGCCTGCCTCACGCCCACGGACCCCGTGCTGGCCTCCACTGTCCTGCAAGGCCGCTTCGCTGAAATGTGCGTGCTCAGGGATGGAATGGGGTGGGTAGGGGTGGGTAGGGGTCGGGTAGGGGTCTGGTTGGTTGGTAGGATGGGGTTGTGTGTGGGGCGAGAAACGTGCCTGGTTGCAGCGTGCCTCACGCCCACGGACCCTGTGCTCGCCTCCTCCGTCCTGCAGGGCCGCTGTGCTGAGACGTGCGTGCTCCGGCTGTACAGGGGTGGAGTGGAGTGGGTTAGGGGAGGGTTGGGTGGGTGGGGTGAGGTGGGGTGAGGTGGGGTGGGGAGGGGGAGGAGTCCTTCACTTCCACTTTGGCACAACGATTGTTTAGCACCTCGTCAACCCCGTCCCTCTCCGTCTCCACTTTCTTTCTCTCTGTCGTTGTTCCCCTCCCACCAGGCACCTGCCAGCGCCGCTGCGCTTCATGTTACAGGCGGAGAGTGGGGCAAACGACGGCATGGCACTGCCGTACGTGTCGCTGCCCATCGCTCTGCTGCTGCAACCGTCTCTCAAGCTCGCCCTCACGAACTGGCTCGCTGTCGCCTGCGCCTACCAGGTGTGGTTGAGGGGTTTTCCTGCCAGTGAGGGGTGCACTGCCGGCAGGAATGGTGCATACCATCAGTGCCTACAACGCTGTGTTCCGCTTCTGCATCCTTTCTAGCTGTATCAAGCAGTAACTCGTTATGCACTGTGGCCATTCATGCACGCACATGCACCAATGCACATCCATCCCCATTTATGCTCCACTACACTACTCACCCACGCGCTCCACCACACCGACTCCCTCTCCCACTCCTACCCTGCCCTTCCCTGATCTACCTGCCCTACCCTACCCGCTGTCCTGTCTTACCCTATGCGGCACCTGCACCAGGTGGGGCTGGCAATAGCAGCAGGGCTGGCATACGGGCTGATCGCGCGGGGCCTGCTGCTTCTGGGCGACCGCTACGGGCTGATAGACGAGCCGTCCTTTCTCGCTCACATCATTGGCCTCGCGCTTGGCGCCCTGGGGCTCGTCCGTGCCGTTGGTGTGTTGCTCTGAATCCTATTCTGATTCTGCTGCACAGAATATTAACACTTTTTCTGGGAGGCATCGAAAGGTGCCTGGTATGGTATCTGTGCTTCAGGCGGTTCACTCTGAGAGAATCAAGGCCTCATCTGCAACGGGCTTTCCTTCCTCCTCTTTCCCCGCCCTTTCTCCGTGCATGCACGCATACACCCTACAGGTGCGAGCGGGGTGCTGGCAGTGTTCGTGGCCACAATCGCCTTTTCCAGCCGGGAACCCACAGCGGAGGAGGGGCGGTACGACGCGATAAACGGCATAGAGATCATCGTCACCATCACCTACTTCACCTACTTCGGCGCCTTCCTCCCCTTCGCCGCCTGGCGCGCCCTCGGCGTCCCCCGCCTCCTCCTCTTCAGCGCGCTCGTCCTGCTGCTGCGCCGCCTGCCCGTGCTGCTCGCGCTTGCTCCCTGCCTGCCGGAGCTGCACCGGCAGGTGGGGTCCAAGCGAGCAGTGTATTGTCAGGCCGGGTTTGCGGGCTTCTTTGGGCCGATTGGAGTGGGGGCTGTGCTGTATGCGGCACAGGCGTGTGAGGAGCTGGGGGGGGATGCGACAGCAGCGCACGTGGTGCTGTTTGTGGTGGTGGCGTCGGTGGTGGTGCATGGGGTGACTGCTGCGCCCTTGTCTCGCCTGCTGTCGTCGTGTATAAAGCGAGCCGAGGAGGAGCACAGGTTGCAGCAGCAGCAGCAAGAGCAGCAAGAGCAGGTGGAGCAGCAGCAGCAGCGGGCGTTCGCTGCACTGCCGTCAGTGGCAGCGTCACCTGCAATGGACTCAAATAGTGAATGCTAGCAGATTGATTGGCAGACATAACCATACACTCGTTGGATATACGGTACCCGATTCTTGAATGTGTAACAATTACCGTCATCACCCGGATATAAGACAGTGTTGAATAGAAGACGGGGTGTCTATTATCCGGGTGTCTCTTATAAACGGGGTAGCCCAGGCCCTCATATTCACTTTTGAGGACGTTGATGCATCAGGGTCCCTGTGAAAAAAAGCCTGAATTTTCAGGGTTCCTGAAAAAAATAGCCTGAATTTTCAGGGTTCCTAAAAACAAAACCCTGAATATACTACCACAGAATGCATATTACTTGTTACGGAAATGACGCCCTGGGGACTGAACTGGAAACCTTATCCTTCACTATCGAACCGCTAACCACTGAGACAGTACATCCCAACGTTATTTAGGATCTAATATTAACAGTAATTTTAATGTGGAAAAGTTGGTTGACTCAATCTCTCGGGTGTTTTACGGGAAGGATTCGGAATGTGCATTCAGTGTACACTTCGATAAAAGTCTGGAAAATCAGTGTTAGCTATGAAATAAATGCTGAAAAAATCAGTGTCACAAAAATCTCAACACTGAAAAATCAGTGTAGGTACTCAAAACTAGTCTGAAAATCAGGAATTTCAGGGGAAAAATCCTGATATCGTAGGGCCTGGGGTAGCCTCATTATAAGACACCTATTTGTGTATACGAGTTTAAGTAAGTGCAGGGGCAGGGCTGACGTTTCATTTTGGGCCTCCCTGGTTTCGGGAAAAATTTTCTCCCTGGATTATGAGGGCACATTTTTCCTAGGTTTGCTACTCTGATTGGTCAGTGTCCAACAACGACTTACTCTGATTTGTCAGGGTTCAGAGCAAGAAATTAGTGTTGCAGCCAATCACGCAATTTTTTCCCACTCGGATTGTACATTTCACACGCCTCACTTTCTGGCCGGTCAAATACAACAGAAAACACAACCAAGATGGCAGTCGTGATTTTACTGTATTGAAGTTACACAAAGCGTTGGGTCAGATCCGGTTCTGAAGTTTGCCCGCCATGTAAGATCTGGACAAGTGTAGTACACGTGTACGCGAAATTAGAAGTGTGACTTGGCACCACACAGCCACGAATATCGCCCACAATATGCCACCCATGCGAACTGACTGCAAAGTGCCACCCAGAGTACAGTGCACGTTCGCCGTCACGTCAACCACAGTACTATATACATTTGCAAACGGTGAGCGAAACACCTCGAAGCAACCCCCAAAAAAATTGGCGCCAAGAACTGCGACAAAACAGCACATCGCACATCAGATTGCTATCGCGTGGGCGAATCTGAAGGCACATCAGATTCGCCCTGTCAGAGCAAAATTCGCACAAGAAATTTGCCCTGTCAAGGACAAGATATTCGTTCTGGCACAGCAGATCTACTGTGTCAGAGGTGTTCTGCCGAAAATCCCCACAGCACGCTGCACTTCGCACGACACCAGAAACATCCACCCCACCCCACACCCTAAACATCTACCCCACCTTCCCATCTGGGTGTTACAGAAAGGACACCCTCACGTACAAGCGTAATCATGATTATGCACATGGGGGGTTGTCAAACATTATATGTTTATATGGTTGTAGGCTGTAGTGGGTTACGCCTTAGGGGGTACACTGGATTAGGGTTTCCTATTTGTATCCAGCCTTCTGTTAGTACAGTCATTCCAGTCTGTTATTTCGACATGGTATCAGAGCAGGTCCTTCTCTAGGACCGTTCCTAAGGGCCCACCGTTCGCTACCTAACTACCTACCTACTACCGGAGCGCGTTCTTAGCGCCTCCCCCGTAGCGCCCTCGAGCGCTTCATTATTTTTTTTATTCGGCCCCGCTGGCTCCATCGATCGAGCCCCGTCTAGAGGCCCCGCGGCCCCGTCGCATTTGACCTAGAGGCCCCTCACGGCCCCGTCGCGCCGCTCCTTAGTGCCTCGAACGACCCCGCCGCTCGCCCCTTAGCGGCCCCGTCGGCCTTGCGATCGCCCCTAACGGCCCGCGCACCGCCCGCTACCGGCCCGCGCACCGCGCACGCAGCCCGCATTTTACCCCCGCGGCCTGCGTGCTGCCCGCTGCCGGCCCCGTCGCACTGCCCGCGCACTGCTCGCACGCCTTTGCGTCGCTAGCGCACAGCCCGCCGCGGCCCCGCCGGCCCGCGATTTGCACCGCTGCAGCTGCCGCCCGCCGGTCCCCCGCTGCTGCTGCCGCTGCTGCCCGCGAGTCGCCCGCTGCCGCTCCCGTGCTGCTGCCGTGCTCGCTGCCACAGCCACAGCCACTGCCGTGCGCCGCTACTGCCCGTCGCCTGCTCGCGCACGCCCCGCAGCCGCCCGTTGCCTGCTCGCGCACGCCCCGCAGGCCCGCAGCCCGCCGTCGCAGCGGCCGCCCGCCCGCAGCCGCCCGTCGCCTGCTCGCGCACGCCCCGCTGCCCGCAGCCGCTTGCACGCCGCTGCTTCCGCTGCTGCTTGCGCACCGCTGCCCCTACGCTGCCGCTGCCCGTGCGCCGCCATTGCCCGTGCGCCACCGTTCCCCGTGCGCCACTGCCGCCCGTGCGCTTCTGCAGCCGCCGCCCGCGAGGCACTCGCTCTCACTGCTGTTTATTTACTACCTACCGCGCACACTGCTACCACTGCAGCTACCACCAGTGCGCCGTTGCAGCTCCTGCTGCCACGCTACCTACTATTGCCGCTCGTGTGCCACTACGGACAGTCGACCCCGCCCGCGCCTTACCTAGCGGCCCCGCCGGCCCCGTTGACCCTCCGCACACCTTTCCAGCGGCCTGATTCCTACTACTACTGCTACTGCTACTGTCGCTATGGCTAGTCCTCCCGTTCTAGCTTTCGATGCCGAGGGCCGTCCGGTGAAGTTCGAAACCTGGCTAGATGACCTGCACCTGTTCCTACAGCTCACTGCCAAGGAAGATATCTCACTGTACGACCACGCCCTAGGCCATGCCACTGCCCCTGACTCGACTGCTGACAGCACTCTGCGTTCCCAGTGGCAGACCCGTGATGCGCATGCTCGCTTTGCTATTCGCAACTCCCTGCCGCTAGACGAGCGCGAGCACTTCGGCCAGTGCAAGACTGCTAAGGACCTCTACACCGCTGTAGTTGCCCGCTACTCCTCACCCGCTTCTGCCACGCTAGGCCGCCTCACTCTCCCCTACCTGTTCCCCGACCTAGCCTCCTTTCACACTGTCGCAGACCTCATCACCCACCTTAAGACTAGTGAGGCCCGCTTTCGCGCTGCTATGCCTGCCGAGTTTCTCACTAGCAACCCCCCCCCCGCTCTGGATCACTCTCTACCACATCGTCACCCGCCTCCCTGACTCTCTGCGCGCAGTCAGGGACCACTTCCTCTCTCGCTCCCCCACTGAGCTCACTGTTGCCCTCCTCGAGAAGGAATTGCTTGCAGCTGAGGCGAGTATCGTCGCTGTAGGCACCTCTCGTGGCGACCCCCGCACCCCGTTCTTTGAGGGGTGTTCCCCTTCCCCCCTCCTCCCCTCTGTCGCCTCTGCTGCTGCTGTCGACCTCCTCGGTGCTGAGAAGGTCGGGACCGCGTCTGCTTCGAGCGGGCGCCGCAGGAACAAGGGGGGCAGGGGTGGGGGTGGCGGCGGAGGAGGTGGGGGTGGAGGCGGTGGGAGTGGAGGCGCGGCTGAGGAGGCCGGTGGCGGCAGTGGGGGAGGAGACAGCAGCGGCGGGAGTGGTGGCAGGGGCGGAGGCGGCAGCGGGGGCGGAGGTGGTCGTGGTGGCGGCAGGGGTGGAGGGGTAGAGTCTTCCCAGACTCAGCACCCCCAGACTCAGCACCCCCAGGCTCAGCACCTCCAGGCTCCGCACCTCCAGGCTCAGCACCCCCAGGCTCCGCACCCCCAGACTCAGCACTCCCAGGCTCAGCACCCCCAGACGCAGCACCCCCAGGCTCAGCACCCCTAGCAGGACGAGAGTCGACAGCTACCTCGACAGGCTCACCCGGGTCTACCTGGGACACACCTGAGGGAGCGGCACCCTGAGGGGGGAGGGGGTCTGGTACCTCAGCACCTGGAGCGAGGAAGAGAGGCGGGGGGGGGAGCGGGGCAGTGCGGTAGGGGAAGAGGCGGTAGTAGGGGACGGACTCGTCAAAAGAGACGTCCTGAGAGGCCAGGACACGACGCGAGGTGGGGTGGTAGAACTGCCAGCCAGGGGCGTCCGGGACAAAGCCAAGGAAGACGCAGGGGACAGCGCGACGGGAGAGCTTGTCCGCGGACGTGTCGCGGACAAAAGCTCGGGATCCCCAGACCCGAAAACGTGACGCATCGCCAGCCTCTCCCGTCCAACGCAGTGTCGGAGAAGTCTCGGGCAAGGAGACACGGGGCCAGAGGTTGAGCTGATGCGCAGCGTATCGGACTGCAAACGGCCACAGAAAATGGGGGGCAGCCGCATGGCTCAAGGAGGTACGAGCGACCTCCATGACCAGACCAATGCGGCGCTCAGCAACCCCATTCTGCTGTGGAGAGGCCGGAAGCGTGAACGACTGCTCAATGCCCTCCTGCTGACAGAAGGCCTCCAAGAGGCCAGAGGAAAACTCCCCACCTCTGTCAGAGTGCAGACGCAGGACAGGGAAGTCGGAGCGGAAACGCTCACTGAGCTGGAGACGAGATCTGCGGATCCAAGGGATCAAGACATCAGGGACGTCACCCTTGGCGCGCAAGGGGAAGACCGTGGTGTAGCGCGAGAAGTCGTCAACAACAATCAGGAAGTACCTCTCCTGACCCTGACCACGGACGCGGGCTGGGCCCCACACGTCCATGTGGAGCGTCTGCAAGGGAGCAGTCGTCGGGGGAAAGGAGGAGGAGTGAGGAGCGGCGCGCTGCCGCCCCTCGACACAGGGAATACAGGGAGGAGCAGGCGAGTCGGGAAGGGGAGGGAGCACCCTGGGAAGACCAGCAACAAGGTCCCGTTTGTGCATGGCCCGAAGGCGCTGCACAGACGGGTGACCAAGGCGGTGGTGCCAAAGGACAGTCTCATGCGCCAGAGAGCGACACGAGCAGGGGGCGGACAGCTGACCTGACGCAGACGCAGACGTAGACGCAGCTACCTGAGGGGACTCAGTGGTCAGTGTGTACAGGTCCGACCCCGGCTCTCGAGTGAAAGTAGCCAGGTGGCGACCCGTCCGAGCACACGTGCAGTGTGTCACGCGCTCGTAGGCAGGGGTGAACTGGTGAACACCCCCGTCCTGGAGTGCACTACCTGCCACCAAGTTCGTAGAGAACGAGGGGAGGTAGAGACCTGACAGCGTGCCGGACGGGACCGCCGGACAAGGAAGGACAGTGGAGGAGGTCGCAATGACCGGACCCCCAGAGGGGTCAGCAAGGGAGACCGCAACTGGCCGAGCAAGTGGCTCAAGGACAGTGCGGTCACGAAAGAAAGAGCGAGAAGCACCCGAGTCCAGTGTGAAGGTGTGCAGTGCTGCAGTCGACTCAGTACCAGGGGGCACAGACGCACTAGCACCTAGGGCAGCAGCCTCACCAGGACCTGTGGGAGCGGACGCACTAGCACCTAGAGCGGCAGCCGGACTGGCCTGAATGCCCGGGTCGGGCGGAACACGCAAGTACTGAGCACCCTCTCCACTAAGAGACATCGCATACATGGCAGTGAGAATAGCATCAAAGTCTAGAGCCCAAATATCAACACCCCTCTTTTCCAGCTCAGCCCAGCGTGGCAGCTCAGTGGCACTAGGAAACTGGGTGCGCCACGCGTCGTTAAGGCGCGCGAAGCAGCGCTGCGTGGGGTGCGGCCTCCCACACTGCTGGCCGCTGCGGTCACCTGTGCGAATAACGTACGTGCAGGTAACGCCACGCTGCGCATACCACTCACGGGCGGCCTGAAGCGTCGGGGCGGGCTGCTGACTCTGCCCTCCGCCTTTGCCTCCACGACCACCACCCCCACCGCCTCCGCCCCGGCCACCTCCACCCCTGCCGCCACCACGACCACCTCCGCCCCCGCTGCCGCCTCCGCCCCTGCCACCACTCCCGCCGCTGCTGTCTCCTCCCCCACTGCCGCCACCGGCCTCCTCAGCCGCGCCTCCACTCCCACCGCCTCCACCCCCACCTCCTCCGCCGCCACCCCCACCCCTGCCCCCCTTGTTCCTGCGGCGCCCGCTCGGAGCAGACGCGGTCCCGACCTTCTCAGCACCGAGGAGGTCGACAGCAGCAGCAGAGGCGACAGAGGGGAGGAGGGGGGAAGGGGAACACCCCTCAAAGAACGGGGTGCGGGGGTCGCCACGAGAGGTGCCTACAGCGACGATACTCGCCTCAGCTGCAAGCAGTTCCTTCTCGAGGAGGGCAACAGTGAGCTCAGTGGGGGAGCGAGAGAGGAAGTGGTCCCTGACTGCGCGCAGAGAGTCAGGGAGGCGGGTGACGATGTGGTAGAGCGTGATCCACCCTGAGCTTGCTTTGCCTTGCTTTGCCCTGACTGGTCGTGTGACCCCCAGGTCTCCCCACTTCGCCTATGGGGGTGTGTCAAACATTATATGTTTATATGGTTGTAGGCTGTAGTGGGTTACGCCTTAGGGGGTACACTGGATTAGGGTTTCCTATTTGTATCCAGCCTTCTGTTAGTACAGTCATTCCAGTCTGTTATTACGACAGGGGTATCGGGAGGAAACTTCCAGGAAACTTCGTTCCGATACCCTCGCATCCAGGGTCCACAGAACGCGTACTCTACATTGACAGAGTCAGTAAGAACACTACTCTGAGCCTAGATACAATATTTCAGGGTTCGCTAAAGCACTATTCTGAATGGATCAGTGTTCACAAGTCAGAAATTCTGAAATTGCAGGGACCACCAAGTGAGAAGCCTGTAATCACCCTGAAATCAGGGTAATTACCCTGATAAAATCAGCCCTGTGCAGGGGTTAGGGGCGATTTGTCAAACTATATATGTGTTAGTTCTGTGTAGGCTATAGTGGGGTAGCCCATATGGGGTACAACCCAATGTTAGGGTTAGTACTTGTACCCACAATCTCTTCAATGCAATCATTCCTGCTTCTATTTTTGACATGGTTTCAGAGCAGGTCCTAGCCTAGGACCGCTTTCTTAGGGCCCACAGTACCGCGCTACCCCACGAGTCGTCCTACCCTGCCCTGCATTGCGCTGCTGCGCACGCCCTGCCCTGCCCTGCCCGCGCGTTGCTCGCTGCTGCGCGCCGTGCCCTGCCCGCGCGCCTTTTTCAGCCGCGCGCCCTGCCCTACCCTCGCGCCGCGCTGCCTTACCCACGCGCCGCGCACCCGCAGCTGCGCGCACTGCCCTGCCCGTGCGCCGCCACCGCGCCCCGCGCACTGCGCTCCCCGTCGCCGCACGTGCCCTGCCCGTGCGCTGTCCGCCGCAGCCGCGCGCTGCCCTGCCCGTGCGTCGCCGCCGCGCCCCACGGACAGCGCCGCCCGTAAGCCGCCACGCGCTGCCCTGCCCATGCGCCGATGCTGCGCCCCGCGCCCTGCGCCGCCCGTAAGCTGCGCGCTTGCCCTGCCCGTGCGCCGCCCGCCACCGCGCACTGCCCTGCCCGTGCGCCGCCGCTGCGCCCCGCACACTGCGCCGCCCGTAAGCCGCGCGCCTGCCCTGCCCGTGCGCCGCCCACCGCCGCGCACTGCCCTGCCGGCCGGCTGCTGCCCTGCGTGCGCCGCCCGCCACTTGCCCTAAAAGCCGCCTTTTTGCCCTGCGCCCCGCCCGACTCCTGCCTTGCCGGCCGCTTGCACCTCTGCTTGCTGCCTGCCCACTGCCCTGCCGCCTTGCCGCCCTGCTCTGCTTCAGATGGCAACCTACAATGTTCTCACCTTTGACGCAGAGGGCCGCCCGATCGAATTTGAAACCTGGCTAGATGACCTTAAGCTCTACCTTCAGTGCGGGTCAAAGGATCGTGCGTCCCTATTCGCTCATACGTCCGGTAGCTCTAGCGCTCCTGCAGACACTGCTGACGCTGACACTCGTGACCAGTGGCTTATTCGCGACGTTGCTGTTCGCAACGCGCGCACTTTAGCCAGCAGAAAGCTGCTAAGGCCCTGTTCGACGCAGTTGTCGCTCGTTATAGCTCCCCTGCCACTGCTGCGCTAGGCCGTCTCATCCTGCCCTACCTCTTTCCTGACCTGTGCGCCTTTCCCACGGTCGCTGATCTTATCACCCACCTTCGCACAAGCGACGCTCGTGTGCGTGCTGCGACCCCCGCCGAGTTTCTTGCCAAGACCCCCCCCCTATCCACTACACCCTCTACCTCCTAGTCACTCGCCTCCCTGACTCTCTTCGTGCTGTCAGGGACCTCTTTCTCGCCATGGACCCCACAGAGCTCACTATAGACCTCCTCGAGAAGCAACTTGCAGCAGCCGAGGTTAGCATTAACGCTGTAGGCGCTTCTCGTGGCACTCCTCACACCCCTTTCTTCGAGGGGTGTTCCCCCTCTCCCCTCCTCCCCTCTGTCGCCACTGCTGCTGCTGTCGACCTCCTTGGTGCTGAGGAGGTTGGGGCTACATCTGCTCCTAGTGGGAGGCGCCACAGCGGCAAGGGCAAGGGAGGCAAGGGTGGTGGGGGTGGCGGGGGTGGAGGCGGTGGTGGAGGCTAGGGTGGCGGAGGAGGAGGCCGTGGGAGTGGCGGGGGTGGGGGTGGGGGTACTGGTGCCGGGGTCAGTGGTGGCGGCGGCAGTGGGAGTGGCAGCAGCGGGGGTGGCGGCAGTGGGAGTGGCGGCGGCGCTGGTGGCAGCGGTCGTAGTGGTGCGGCCCAGCGCGGCGGCTCTGGAGGCAGCCAGGCACAGCAGCAGCAGCGCCAGCGCGCGCCCCGTACGCCGCATGAGCTTCGTGAGTGGTACGCGCAGCGTCAGTCGTCGGGGGGTGGTACCTGCCCGTATGTCATTCGTACGGGTGAGCGCGCAGGTCAGACGTGCGGGAGGCTTCACACTCAGCACCGCTGCTTTTCCCGCCTTAGTGACGCCTGGCGCGCTCAGTTTTCGGACTGCACTGAGATGCCCAACTGGGCGGAGCTGCTTAAGAGGGGCGTAGATATCTTTGATCTTGACTATGATGCTATCCTTGCTGCCATGTATGCATTGACTGTTAGTGCTGAGGGTGACTGTTACCTGTGTGTGCCGCCCGACCCTGGTATAGAGGCTGCTGCTCCAGGTGCTTGTGAGTCTGCTGCTCTAGGTGCTTGCGAGTCTACTGCTCTAGGTGCTTGTGAGTCTGCTCTCTCAGGTACTGCGCCTACTGAGGCCTTGTACACTTTCACGCTAGACTCAGGTGCCTCCCGCTGCTTCTTTCGCGACAGCACCACAGTCACACCGCTCCCTGCACCTGTTCCGGTCTCCCTTGCTGACCCCTCCGGGGGCCCTGTCCTTGCACGTTCCTCCACTGTCCTCCCGTGTCCGGCGGTCCCGTCTGGCTCCCTGTCAGGTCTCCACCTCCCCTCGTTCTCCACGAACCTGGTGAGTAACGCCGTCATCCAGGATGAGTGGGTTGACACCTTCACCCCTGAAAGACGTCGTGTGACGATTTGCACGTGTGCCCGCACGGGCCGCCACCTGGCCACGTTCACCCGTCGGCCTGGGTCGAGTTTGTACACCCTGACTGTCGGATCTCCCCAAATTGCTGCTACTGGTCAGGTGTCCTTGTCCGGTCCGGAGTCTGCCCCCTGCTTGTGTCGTCGCCTGTCGCACCAGACTCTCCTCTGGCACCACCGCCTCGGTCACCCCTCTCTGCCGCGCCTCCGTGGCATGCACTCCCGTCTGCTTGTCTCTGGTCTTCCCTTGTCGATGCCCTCACTCCCACGCTCGCCTGCCCCGCCGTGTCTTCCTTGCGTCGAGGGGCGGCAGCGCGCCGCTCCCCACTCCTCCTCGTTTCCCCCGACGACTGCTCCCCTGCAGACCCTCCACATGGACGTGTGGGGCCCAGCCCGCGTCTAGGGACAGGGCCGCGAGCGGTACTTTCTGCTGGTTGTTGACGACTACTCGCGGTACACCACGGTCTTCCCCTTGCGCAGCAAGGGTGAGGTCCCTGCTGTTTTGATCCCTTGGATCCGCGCTGTTCGTCTCCAGCTCCGCGAGCGGTTCCGCACGGACTTTTCCGTCCTGCGTCTGCACTCTGACAGAGGTGGTGAGTTTTCCTCCGACCTCTTGCGGGACTTTTGTCAGGGGGAGGGCATCCTCCAGTCGTTCACGCTTCCGGCCTCTCCGCAGCAGAATGGGGTTGCTGAGCGCCACATTGGCCTAGTCATGGAGGTCGCTCGCACCTCCATGATCCATGCGGCTGCTCCCCATTTTTTGTGGCCGTTTGCGGTCCGGTACGCTGTGCATCAGCTCAACCTCTGGCCCCGTGTCTCCTTGCCGGAGACCTCGCCCACCCTGCTGTGGACGGGAGAGGTTGGCGATGCGTCGCGTTTCCGGGTCTGGGGCGCTCGTGCCTTTGTCCGCGATACCACCGCGGACAAGCTCTCTGCTCGCGCCATTCCCTGCGTCTTCCTTGACTTTCCTACTGACGCGCCTGGCTGGCAGTTTTACCACCCCACCTCGCGTCGTGTTCTGTCCTCTCAGGACGTCACATTTGACGAGTCGGTTCCCTTTTACCGTCTCTTCCCCTACCGCACTGCCTCTCTCCCCCCCCGCCGCTCTTCCTCACTCCAGGTCCACCCTCGGTAGGCCCCCTCCCCCCTCAGGGTCCTGCTCCCTCAGGTGTCTCCCAAGTAGATCCCCCTCCCCTGGTTGAGCCTGTCGAGGTCACTGGTGACTCTGGTGCTGCTAGAGGAGGTTCTGCTAGGGGTCTTGTGTCTGGGGGTGCTGAGCCTGCGGGTGCGGGGCCTGAGGGTGCTGAGCCTGCGGGTGCGGAGCCTGGGGGTGCTGAGCCTGAGTGCATGGAGCCTGGGGGTGCTGAGCCTGAGCGTGTGGAGCCTGGGGTTGCTGAGCCTGGGGGTGCTGAGCCTGAGCGCGTGGAGCCTGGGGGTGCTGAGCTTGGGGGTGATGGGCCTGAGCGCGTGGAGCCTGGGGGTGCTGAGCCTGGGGGTGCTGAACCTGGGTCCAGCCGGCAGGAGCCTGTCTCCCTGCAGGAGCTGCGTGAGTGGTGCTGGGGGCTCGGCCACTGGAGCTGCTGGAGCTGCAGGCACTGCTGGTGGTGGCGCTGCTGGGGCTGGAGGTGCTGGGACTGCTGGACCTACTGACGCTGCTGGTGCTGGAGGAGCCCCTGGTGCTGTTGGTCCCGGAGGTGCTCGTACTGGAGGTACTGGAGCTTCCGGGGCTGGTGGTGCTCGTTCTGGGGCTACTAGAGCCGTAGGTGCTGACAATGGAGACTCTGGAGTTGGATACACTGGGACTGGCGGTCCTGGTGCTGGAGGCGCTGACGCTGGAGGCCGTGGTGCTGGAGCCTCTGGGGCTGGAGGAGGTGGAGCTGGTGACGCTAGCACTGGAGGTACTGCTGCTGGTGGTGCTGTGCAGCGGCGTCAGTTCTTCACTCCACCGTCGCCGTCGTCTCTCCCACCGTCTGACTCCGTGCTTCGTCAGGTTCTTACCCTCCCGTCTTCTACTGGTCTTCCGTTACAGCCTGGCTCTCCGCTGCCTGCTCCTTCTCCTTACACTGAGCAGACAGACTCGCTTACAGAGCGTCGTGAGCCTGCGTCTCGTCCTGCCTCGCCTGTTCGCGCCGCTCGCACTGCTCGCCGTGTCCCGCGTCCGCGTCCTCCTCCTGTGCCTGGTACTCACACCATGGTACTTCGTCCTTCCTCTGTTCCCCAGCGTGTCCCTCTCTCGTCGCCGCCTGCGTCCTCTCTTCCTGACGTTCCAGACCCTGAGTCTGACCGTGTTCGGGCCGCCAGTCCCACTGTCACCCGTCTCCTTGCTACTGTTGTCACTGACCCTTCTTTTGAGTCCGCTGCTGCGTCTGCCTTGGTCGCTGAGCTTGTTGACTTTGCTGCTGCTTGTCGTCTCGACTACGCTGCTAGTCTTATTGCTGAGTCTGAGTCTGTCTGTCCTCCGTCCGTCGGGGATGAGTGTGCTCTTGGCACGGACGTCCTTGAGGACAGACACGAGGACCTTGAGTGTCTTGCAGCCGCTGCACCTCATCTCGTGGCCATTCTGCTTAGTTGCCCCTGAGGGAGACCCAGATGCACTGGACATCCCGACCCCGCGCTCTTACGCAGAGGCGATTGAGGGTCCCTACTCCTCTCAGTGGCAGACAGCCATGGACGCTGAGATGGCATCCTGGAAGTCCACAGGCACTTATGTCGACGAGGTTCCCCCTCCTGGGGCGAACATAGTCGATGGCATGTGGATTTTCAGGGTGAAGCGGCCGCCGGGCTCTCCGCCTGTCTTCAAGGCTCGTTACATTGCACGAGGCTTCAGTCAGCGACAGGGAGTTGACTTCTTTAAAACCTTCTCCACTACCCCGAAGATGACCACTTTTCGGGTGCTGCTGCACGTTGCCGCTCAGCGTGACTACGAGCTTCACTCTCTGGACTTCAGCACAGCGTTCTTGCAGGGCAGTCTGCACGAGGAGATCTGGCTGTGCCGCCCACCTGGCTTCACTGGGTCGTTTCCTCCTGGTACCCAGTGGAGCCTCCGGCGGCCAGTCTACGGTCTCCGTCAGGCGCCTCGTGAGTGGCACGACACACTGAGGACGACACTGGCGGCTCTTGGGTTTGCTCCTTCCACTGCTGACCCGTCGCTGTTTCTACGCACCGACACCTCGCTGCCGCCGTTCTACATCCTCGTGTACGTCAACGACTTGGTCTTTGCCACTGCTGACACTGAGGCACTCGCTCTTGTGAAGTCGGAGCTGCAGAAGCGACACACGTGCACGGACCTGGGTGAGCTGCGTAGTTACCTTGGCTTGCAGATCACCCGGGACAGAGCACGCCGCACCATCACCCTGACTCAGTCACACATGGTGCAGCAGGTCCTTCAGCGCTTCGGCTTCACTTGGTCCTCGCCACAGTCCACTCCTATGGCTACGGGTCACTCGCTCCCAGCTCTGCCTTCGGATGAGTCCGTAGAGCCAAGTGGCCCGTATCCAGAGCTTGTGGGCTGCCTTATGTACCTGATGACCTGCACTCGACCTGACCTTGCGTACCCTCTTAGCATCCTGGCTCGCTACGTTGCGCCCGGGAGACACCGGCGAGAGCACTGGGAGGCTGCTAAGAGGGTACTGTGCTACTTGTGCAGTACATCGGGCATGGGGCTCGTGCTTGGAGGACGGGGTGACGTTGTCCTCACTGGACACTCCGACGCTTCTTGGGTCAACGACCTGGCTACGCAACGCCCGTCACAGGGTTACACGTTCAGCCTTGGCTCTGGCTCTGTTTCTTGGCGGTCTACACGCTCGTCTTCTGTTCTCAGCTCCAGTTGTGAGGCTGAGATCTACGCCACAGCCATGGCTGCGCAGGAGTTACGCTGGCTCACCTACCTGCTGACCGACTTGGGAGAGAGGCCTCGTTCTCCTCCAGTTCTGTACGTAGACAACAAGGCTGCCATTACCTTGTGTCAGGAGCACAGACTGGAGCACAGAACGAAGCACATCGCTCTGCGTTACTTCCTTGCTCGAGAGTTGCAGCAGCGTGGCCAGCTTCGTGTTTCTTACGTGGCCACCAGGGCCAACACTGCTGATGTGTTCACCAAGGCACTTCCGCCTTGTGACCATCAGCGCTTTTGCACAGCTTTAGGCCTGGTGCCAGTGTTTGCTCACTTGCTTACCTCTTGACTTTGTTTGTACTGTGATCTATATTATATACCTGCATGCCTACTCCTGCTAGGTAGTGATCACTGTACTGTTGTTGTTGCATATATACCTCTGCATGCGAACTGGCCTTGTGGCCCTTTGTTTGTGCTCAGTGTGTGTGGTGACGTTGTGATCCACCCTGGGCTTGCTTGCTTTTCTTGACTGGTCTTGTGACCCCTTGTTCTCCCCCACTTTGCCTATGGGGGTGTGTCAAACTATATATGTGTTAGTTCTGTGTAGGCTATAGTGGGGTAGCCCATATGGGGTACAACCCAATATTAGGGTTAGTACTTGTACCCAATATCTCTTCAATGCAATCATTCCTGCGTCTAGTTTTGACACGATTGTATAACGAGGGGGTATCTTTTGAACAGTTCTTTGTCAATTTATAAGACTTATAATACACCCTAAATCGTCCCGAATACAAGTCAACTCAAGCATTTTTGCCCGTGTACGAGAAAAGACATATATGTCTTCTATCCGCGCGATGACGGGTGCTGCATGAATCAATCCTAACGGTTCTTCTTTGTACCACTTTCCTCTGATGCGTACAAGCCCAGCCACTTATTTCGTTCCAAAAGCTGTTGAGAGTAGTTAGTATGGTACGGTACAGGTATTGTAAGATATTTGCAATGACAATGTGAAAAGGGTGTCACAACAAGTTGATCCCTTCACTTCACATCACAAGCTGCTCTAGATGGCTTGCGTTGTCATCGCAGAACCTATTGGCCTGGTGTGAGAATGGTGGGCGGGTGTGATAGGTGATGGGTTCGAGATTGAGTTGGGTGGTGTGAGTCTGGTGAGAGTCAGAGTTGCGCATATGAGTGGTGATCGTGAGTTGTCGGAATCCCAACCACTAGATCACAGGGATAAACCGGCTTGTTCCAAATGCCGGTCCCTGTGCCCAAACCAGGGCTCTTGCTAGTATTCAGGCCTGTCTGAAATCTGAAAAAAAAAAAAAAAAAAACGTTTCGTTTGATATTCAGACGAGCATAATTGAACATGGGCCACAGGACATGCAACAACGTTCAGGCCGTTCGATGCATTTCCATACGCATATAGGGATCCATGCGCTACGCTTCCTTAGCATTTGTTGGCAGACACAGCCGTCATCGCACGCGCCAAACTTTTTTATGCACACGAACCAAGCAAAAATTGCTCCAATAGGAGTATTTGAATATGGACCACCCGAACGTGCAACAACATTCGGGTCATTCGATGCTTTTCCCTACGCCTAAAAGGATACATGCGCTTCCTTAGCATTTGTGGGCAGGCACGGCCATTATTGCAGGCGCCGAACTTTTGTGTGCGCGCGAACCAAGCTGAAGTTCCTTTGATTGGTGTATTTGAACATGGGCCATCTAAATTTGCAACGACATTCGGAACTTCAATGCTTTTCCCTACGCCTATAGAGATCCATGAGCTTCCTTAGCATTTGTGGGCAGGCACGGCCGTCATCGCGGGCGCCTAACTTTCAGTGCGCGCGAACCAAGCTGAACTTGCTTTGATACGTGTATTTGAACATTGGCCATCCGAATATGCAACAACATTCAGGTCGTTCGATGCTTTTCCCTACGCCTATAGGGATCCATGCGCTTCCTTAGCATTTTTGGGCATGCGGAGATAACTATTGCAACGGGAGCTAGACTATGGGCTAGGCACGGGTGCTCGTGTGATCTCTGCGTTCATCCACTTAGTCGTTTACTCGTGCTTACACTACTTGCTGGTTCACAGGGAAAGTTGGCAAGAGTTTTGTTAAACTGTATTATGCTTGTAGGCTGTAGTGGGGTAGCCAATATGGGGTACAACCCCAACTAGGGTTTCATATTTGTACCCAAACTTCTGCTAGTTCATCATTCTTGCCTAGTTATTCTGACATGGTATTCAGAGCAGGAGGTCCCTAGGACCTACCGACCGTTTTTTTTTTTTAAGGGCCCACCACCGCTCGCATGCGGTTACCACGCTACCCCGTGCCCTAGCCTCGTAGCGCCCTCGTGCGCCCTCGTTAGCGCCCTCGCGCGCCCCTCGTTAGCGCCCTCGCGCGCACCCTCGTTAGCGCCCTCGCGCGCCCCTTCGTTAGCGCCCTCGCGCGCCCCTTGCTAGCGCCCTCGCGCGCCCCTTCACTAGCGCCCTCGCGCGCCCCTCGCCGAGCCGCCCGCTCGCAGCCCGCCCGCCCGCTCGCTGCCCGCTTCGCGGCCCGCCCGCTTCGCGGCCCGCTCGCTCGCTGCCCGCTTCGCGGCCCGCCCGCTTCGCAGCCCGCTCGCTCGCTGCCCGCTTCGCGGCCCGCCCACTTCGCAGCCCGCCCGCCCGCTCGCTGCCCGCTTCGCGGCCCGCCCGCTTCGCAGCCCGCTCGCCCCGCTGCCCGCTTCGCGGCCCGCCCACTTCGCAGCCCGCCCGCCCGCTAGCTGCCCACTTCGCGGCCCGCCCGCATCGCAGCCCGCTCGCCCCGCTGCCCGCTTCGCAGCCCGCCCGCCCGCCCGCTGCCCGCTTCGCGGCCCGCCCGCCTCGCAGCGTCGCCCGCCCGCCGTGCTGCCCGCTTGCAGCGCCGCCTGCCCGCCGCGCTGCCCGCTTCCCGGCCCGTCCGCCGCGCTGCCCACTCGCAGCGTCGCCCTCCCGTCGCGCTGACCGCTTGCAGCGCCGCCAGCCTCGCCCGCTGCTCTCTATCCGTGCACAGTCGCCTTCCCCTGCTGCGGCAGCTTGCGTTACTCTGTCACACTGTCGCTATGGCTTCCATCCGCGTGCTGTCGTTCGATGCTGAGGGCCGCCCTGTGCGGTTCACCGCTTGGCTAGATGACCTGCAGCTGTTCCTCCTGAGCGATAGCAAGGAGCATGTGTCGCTCTATGATTACGCGTCTGGTGCTGCGCCTGCCCCTCCTGCCACAGCTGAGCTTAGTGTTCGTTCCCACTAGCAGACTCGTGACGCAGCTGCTCGCCTAGCCATTCGCAGTCACCTGCCGTTAGCTGAGCTAGAGCATTTTGGCGACTGCAAATCCGCTAAGGCCCTGTACGACGCTGTCGTCGCTCGCTACTCCTCGCCTGCCACAGCCGAGCTTAGCCGCCTCATGCTGCCGTACCTGTTCCCCGATCTGTCCACCTTTACTACAGTCGCCGATCTTATCACCCACCTTCGCACTAGTGATGCTCGCCTGCGTGCCGCCCTTCCCACCGAGTTCTGCGCTAAGAACCCCCCTCCACTGTACTGGACACTCCACTTCATAGTCACCCGTCTCCCTGACACCCTCCGCTCAGTTCGAGACCACTTCCTTGCTCGCTGTCCCACTGAGCTCACAGTCGCCCTCCTAGAGGAGCACCTGCTAGCGGCCGAGAAGAGCATTGTAGCTGTAGGTGCTGCTCGTGGCGCTCCTCGCACCCCCATCTTTGAGGGGTGTTCTCCCTCTCCCCTCGCTCCCTCCTACGCTGCTGCTGCTGCTGTTGACTTCCTTGGTGCTGAGTCTGTTGGCGCTGCTTCTACTCCTGGTGGGAGGCGCCGCACCGGCAAGGGCAAGGGGGGCAAAAGTGGTGGTGGTGGCACTGGGGGGGGAGGAGGTGGGGGAGGTGGGGGGGGAGGCGGTGCTGGAGGGAGCGGTGGCGGGAGCGCTGGTGGGAGTGGGGTCGGTGGTGGAGACGGGGGCGGCGGAGGAAGCAGTGGCAGTAGTGGCGGCGGCGGCGGTGGCGGCGGTGGCGGTGGTGGCGGTGGTGGCGGTGCCGGTCGGAGCGGTGGTAGTGGTGGCGGCGGAGGTCGGAGTGGAGGCACTGGCTCGGGCCAGAGCTCCCAGCAGCAGCAGCGTCCCCAGACGACCCAGCAGCTTCGTGAGTGGCTTGCTCAGCGTGGGACGTCGGGGGCCAGTGCCCGCTGTTCTTATGTCATTCGCACAGGTGACCGCAAGGGACAGACGTGTGGGAGGTTCCACACCCCGTACCGCTGCTTCTCCCGCCTTGACGACGCTTGGCGTGAGGAGATGGGTGCGGATGTTGAGCGCCCCCGCTGGGCTGAGCTCATGAGGGCTGGTGTTGATGTCTTTGCTCTTGACTATGATGCTATTATTGCTGCCATGTATGCATTGACTGTTAGTGCCGAGGGAGACTGTTACTTGTGTGTGCCGCCTGACCCAGGTATAGAGCCCGCTGCCCTGGGTACTAGTGAGTCTGCTCTCTCTGGTATGGTGCCCCCTGTACTTGCTCCCCCCAGTGCTGTCCCGGCTGGTTTCGAGTCTCCTCTCTCAGGTACCGCACCGGCTGAGGCCTGTCACACCTTCACCCTTGACTCAGGTGCTTCCCGTTGCTTCTTCCGTGACAGTACTGAGCTCACACCGCTTCCTGCACCGGTCCCAGTCTCCTTGGCTGACCCCTCTGGGGGCCCAGTCCTTGCCCAGTCCACCACTGTCCTCCCTTGTCCGGCGGTTCCGTCTGGCTCGTTGTCGGGTTTCCACCTCCCCTCGTTCTCGACGAACTTGGTGAGCAACGCTGTCCTCCAGGATCAGTGGGTTGACACCTTTACCCCTGGCGGACAGCGTGTGGCGATCTGCACGTGCTCCAGGACCGGCCGTCACCTGGCTACGTTCACCCGTCGGCCGGGGTCGAGTCTCTACACACTGACCACTGCGTCTCCCCAGGTAGCTGCTGTCGGTCAGGTGTCTGCGTCAGGTCTGGTGGCCCACGCCTGTGAGTGTCGTTCCCTGTCGCACCAGACTCTTCTCTGGCACCACCGCCTGGGTCACCCCTCCTTGCCACGCCTTCGTGGCATGCACCGTCGCCTCCTTGTGTCCGGTCTTCCCAGGTCCCTCCCTCCCCTCCCTGCCTCGCCTGCGCCGCCTTGCCTTCCTTGCGTCGAGGGGCGGCAGCGCGCCGCCCCTCACTCCTCCTCGTTCCCCCCGACAGAGGCTCCTCTGGAGACCCTCCACCTGGACGTGTGGGGCCCAGCCCGCGTTCGTGGTCAGGGCGGTGAGCGGTACTTTTTGCTGGTTGTCGACGACTACTCGCGTTACACCACGGTCTTCCCCTTGCGCACCAAGGGTGAGGTCCCTGCTGTTCTGATCCCTTGGATCCGCACGGTTCGTCTCCAGCTCCGCCGCCGTTTCCGGACGGATCTTCCTGTCCTGCGTCTGCACTCTGACAGAGGTGGTGAGTTTTCCTCCGATCTCTTGAGGACCTTCTGTCAGGCGGAGGGCATCGAGCAGACCTTCACGCTTCCGGACTCCCCATAGCAGAATGGGGTTGCTGAGCGCCGCATTGGCCTGGTCATGGAGGTCGCTCGTACCTCCTTGGTCCACGCGGCGGCTCCCCATTTTCTGTGGCCGTTTGCTGTCCGGTACGCCGCGCATCAGCTCAACCTCTGGCCCCGTGTCTCCTTGCCGGAGACCTCGCCCACACTGCGTTGGACGGGGGAGGTTGGCGATGCGTCGCGCTTCCGGGTGTGGGGTGCTCGTGCCCTTGTCCGCGATACGTCCGCGGACAAGCTCTCCTCCCGCACGCTTCCCTGTGTCTTCCTTGGCTTTGTCCCTGACGCGCCTGGCTGGCAGTTTTACCACCCCACCTCGCGCCGGGTCTTCGCCTCTCAGGATGTCACCTTTGACGAGTCGGTCCCTTTTTACCGTCTCTTCCCCTACCGCACTGCCCCCCTCCCTCCCCCGCCGCTTTTCCTTGCTCCTGGTCCCCCTCCGGTAGACCCCCTTCCCCCTCAGGGTCCTGCTCCTTCAGGTGTCTCTCAGGTAGACCCTCCTCCCGTCGCTGAGCCTGTCGAGGTCACAGGTGACTCAGGTGCTGCTGCGGGTGGTGCTGCTGGGAGTGCTGAGCCTGGGGGTGCTGAGCCTGGGGGTGCTGGGCCTGGGGGTGCTGGGGCTGCAGGTGCTGGGACTGAGGGTGCTGGAGTTGAGGGTACGGTGCCTGAGAGTATGGAGCCTGGGGGTGCTGCGCCTGGGGGTGCTGAGTCTGCGGGTGCGGGGCCTGGGAGTGCTGGGACTGCGGGTGCTGGAGCTGAGGGTACTGTGCCTGAGAGTTTGCCGCCTGGGGGTGCTGCGACTGGGGGTGCTGAGCCTGCGGGTACTGAGCCTGCGGGTACTGAGCCTGGGGGTGCTGCTACTGAGCCTACGGAGCCTCGGGTTACTGCGTCTGGGGGTGCTCCGGTTCGGGGTGCTGAGCAGTCTCTCACACCGCAGCAGCTTCGCGACTGGTACGTCCGACGCTTTCGCCGTCCTAGTGGCTCGGCTGGAGTTTGGGGTGCTGGAGCTGCTCGTCCTGGGGGTGCTCGTACTGGGGGTACTGGAGCTGCCGGGACTGGCTGTTCTGGGAGCACTGTGACTGGAGCTGCTGGAGCTGGGGACTCTGGCGCTGGCGGTGCTAGCGGAGTTGGAGCTGCCGACTCTGGGGGTGGCGCTGCTGCTGGTGCTGCGGACCCACCTGGTGGAGCTGCTGCTGGTGCTGAGGAGTCGGACGGTGGAGCTGCTGCTGGAGCTGGGGACCCGGCCGGTGGAGCTGCTGCTGGTGCTGTGGACCCGGACGCTGGAGCTCCTACTGGTGCTGAGGACCCGGCCGCTGGAGTCCCGTCTGCTTCTGGAGACGCTGCGCGGCCGCGACCGTACTTCGTACCGCTCCTTCAGCAGGTTCTTGGGCAGGCTCCTCCTCCTTGTCCTCCTCCCTCCGTAGAGTGTCCTCCGCCTGTCCAGCCGCAGTCACAGTTACCGCCTGCCTCGCCTCTCCCTGCTCCCTCTCCTTATACTGGTCCCACAGGAGGTCTTACAGAGCGTCGTGAGCCTGAGTCTCGTCCTGCGTCGCCTGTTCGTCCTGCTCGCACTGGTAGTCGTGTCCGTCGTGAGCGTCCTCCTCCTGTCCCAGGCACTCACTACATGACTCTGCGTCCCTCTACTGCTCCTCGGCGTGTCCCTCTACTGTCTCCTCCTGCGTCCTCTTTGCCTGCCGTTCCGGACCCTGAGTCTGACCGGTATCGCGCTGAGCACCCTACAGTCACGCGTCTCCTTGCTACTGTTGTCACTGACCCCACCTTTGAGTCCTCGGCTGCGTCTGCTCTGGTCGCTGAGTTGGTTGACTTTGCTGCTACCTGTCGTCTAGACTACGCTGCTAGCCTTGTCGCTGAGTCAGAGTCTGCGTCTGTCTGTCCTCCGTCCGTCGGGGGTGAGTGTGCTCTTGGCACGGACGTCCTTGAGGACAGGCAGGAGGACTTTGACTCTCTTGCGGCTGCTGTACCTCATCTCGTGGCCTGGTTGCTTGCCCCTGAGGGAGACCCGGATGCACTAGACATCCCCACTCCGCGCACTTACGCAGAGGCGATCTCGGGTCCCTACTCCTCTCAGTGGCAGACAGCCATGGACGCAGAGATGGCATCCTGGAAGTCCACAGGCACCTACGTCGACGAGGTTCCCCCTCCTGGGGCGAACATCGTCGATGGCATATGGATTTTCAGGGTGAAGCGGCCGCCAGGTTCTCCGCCTGTCTTCAAGGCTCGTTACGTTGCTAGAGGCTTCAGTCAGCGTCAGGGGGTCGACTTCTTCCAGACCTTCTCCCCCACCCCGAAGATGACCACTCTTTGGGTTCTGCTGCACGTTGCTGCTCAGCGTGACTACGAGCTTCACTCTCTTGACTTCAGCACAGCGTTCCTGCAGGGCAGCCTGCACGAGGAGATCTGGCTGCGCCGCCCACCTGGCTTTACTGGGTCGTTTCCCCCTGGTACCCAGTGGAGTCTCCGCCGGCCAGTCTACGGTCTCCGCCAGGCGCCACGTGAGTGGCACGACACACTGAGGACTACTCTTGCGGCTCTTGGGTTCGCGCCGTCTACTGCTGACCCGTCGCTGTTTCTGCGCACAGACACGTCGCTGCCGCCGTTCTACATCCTCGTGTACGTCGACGACTTGGTCTTTGCTACTGCTGACACTGAGGCACTCGCTCGTGTGAAGTCGGAGCTGCAGAAGAGACACACCTGCACTGACCTGGGTGAACTGCGTAGCTACCTTGGCTTGCAGATCACCCGGGACAGAGCTCGCCGCACCATCACCCTGACTCAGTCACACATGGTGCAGCAGGTCCTTCAGCGCTTCGGCTTCCAGTTCTCCTCACCACAGGCCACACCTCTGGCTACCAGCCACTCGCTCTCAGCTCCACCTTCGGACGAGTCTGTAGAGCCGAGTGGCCCATACCCAGAGCTTGTAGGCTGCCTCATGTACCTGATGACTTGCACGCGACCTGACCTCGCGTACCCTCTTAGCATCCTTGCTCGTTACGTTGCGCCTGGGAGACACAGGCGAGAGCACTGGGAGGCTGCTAAGAGGGTGCTGCGTTACCTGTGCAGTACATCAGGCATGGGGCTGGTGCTTGGAGGACGCGACAGAGTTGTCCTCACTGGTCACTCGGACGCCTCTTGGGTGGACGACCTGGCTACGCAGCGGTCGTCACAGGGTTACACCTTCAGCCTTGGCTCTGGTTCTGTCTCGTGGCGGTCCACCCGCTCTTCCTCTGTTCTCGGCTCTAGTTGTGAGGCTGAGATCTACGCCACAGCCATGGCTGCACAGGAGTTACGCTGGCTCACCTACCTGCTGACTGACTTGGGAGAGCGGCCTAGTTCTCCTCCAGTTCTGTACGGTGACAACAAGGCGGCTCTTGCCTTGTGTCAGGAGCACAGACTGGAGCACAGGACGAAGCACATTGCTCTTCGCTACTTTCTTGCTCGAGAGCTTCAGCAGCGCGGTCAGCTTCGGCTTGTGTACGTGGACTCGAAGGCCAACACTGCTGATATCTTCACCAAGGCGCTCCCGCCTAGTGATCATCAGCGGCACTGTACTTCTTTAGGCCTTGTGTCCACGTTTCCTCACTTGCTCACTGCTTGACATTCTTTGTACTGTACTTTATATATATCCTGTTGCTTGCTTGCTAGGTTTTGATCACTGTGTTGCTTGTCTTGTACTATATCTAGCACTGCATGTGAACTGGCCTTGTGGCCTTTACTTGTGCTCGGAGTGTGGTGACGTTGTGATCCACCCTGGGCTTTGCTTTGCTTTGCTGGACTGGTCTTGTGACCCTTTGTTCTCCCCCACTTTGCCTATGGGGGTGTGTTAAACTGTATTATGCTTGTAGGCTGTAGTGGGGTAGCCAATATGGGGTACAACCCCAACTAGGGTTTCATATTTGTACCCAAACTTCTGCTAGTTCATCATTCTTGTCTAGTTATTGTGACAAGTTTCACTAGCAAAAGTTCACAACAATGGTACAATGAAGTTGGCAAGACTAGACTACATCAGAGCTAGCATGCAAGCAAGTCTACTGCTAGCGCAGCACGGTCGACCGCATGCCAGCACGACTTGGTCGACCGCGCTCCAGCAGTGCAGAGTCGCGGCTTGCCAATGCTGCAAGTCGACGGCGTGCCAACGTCGCAGGTTGACGGCGTGCCAACGTTGCTCTTGTAGGACAGCAGCGCACCCGCTTCGCAGGTGCTCGCAGATGATTGGCATGCAGTGCCTCGTCACCTGCACAGCGCACACACCACGTCAACTTTGTGCTGACGACTGCTTCTGATTAGCCACGTCGACCTCGGGATACCAACACTGAAGTCGTCCTCGCCAATATCGAACCCAAGCACAATCATGTTTGCCACAATCCTAGATACTTTGGGAAAAGTTTCCAGCTCTTTTAGCCTTCAAACGAGCCCGCTGCATGAAGAACAATCCCCCTATAAGGGTGTTTATGAGCCTGGAAAGCTGCAAAATCCGTACCCGTATAAAATGTGAAGCAATGTTACTCGGAAACTGGACCGCCATGCACGATCATGTTTGCCACAATCCTAGATACCCTAGGATAAGTTTCCAGCTCTATTTGCCTTCAAACGGGCCCGCCGCATGAAGATTGTCCCCCTATAAGGGCGTTTATAAGCCCGGAAAGCTGCAATTGTGCTGAAAAGTGCCCGGGAGTGAAGCGAGAACGATTGGTCACGGAGCTCCACGATGAAAAATTGCATGCTCCATGACCTGTATCGGCGTGGCTGTTTTCACGTCTTGGGGCTACAAACGCCCGAAACGAGCGTTTTTCTTCAACGTAAAGACGTCATTTGTGAGTTCACGGACCTGCGATTATGCTGGAAAGTGCCCGGGAGTGAAGCGAGAACGATTGGTCACGGAGCTCAACAGCGGAAAATTGCCTGCTCATGACTTGTACCGGTGCGACTGCTTTCGCGTCTCATGGCTATAAATGCCCGAAAAGATCGTTTTTCCTTCATCGTAAAGACGTCATTTGTGATTTCACGGACCAGCAACTATGCTGGAAAGTGCCCATGAGTGAAGCGAGAACGATTGGTCACGGAGCTCCACGACGGAAAATTGCCTGCTCCATGACCTGTACCAGTGCGGCTGTTTTCGCGTCTCGGGACTATAAACGCCCGAAACGAGCATTTTTCTTCATCGTGAAGACGTCATTTGTGAGTTCACGGATTTGCGATTATGCTGGAAAGTGCCCGGGAGTGAAGCGAGAACGATTGGTCACGGAGCTCCACGACGGAAAATTGCCTGCTCCATAACCTTTATCGGTGCGGCTATTTTCGCTTCTCGGGGCTACAAACGTCTGAAACGAGCATTTTTCTTCATCGTAAAGATGTCATTTGTGAGATCACAGACCTGCAATTATGCTGGAAAGTGCCCGGGAGTGAAGCGAGAACGATTGGTCACGGAGCTCCACGACGGAAAATTGCCTGCTCCATGACCTGTACCGGTGCGACTGTTTTCGCATCTCGGGGCTATAAACGCTCGAAAAGATAGTTCTTCTTCATCGTAAAGACATCATTCATGAGTTCACGGACTTGCAATTATGCAGGAAAGTGCCCAGGAGTGAAGCAAGAACGATTGGTCACGGAGCTCCACGACGGATAATTGCTTGCTCCATGACTTGTATCGGCGCAGCTGTTTTCGCGTCTTGGGGCTACAAACGCCTGAAATGAGCTTTTTTCGTCAACATGAAGACGTCATTCGTGAGTTCACGGACCTGCAATTATGCTGGAAAGTGCCTGGGAGTGAAGCGAGAACGATTGGTCACGGAGCTCCACGACGGAAAATTGCCTGCTCCGTGACCTGTATCGGTGCGACTGTTTTCGCGTCTCGGGGCTACAAACGCCTGAAACGAGCGTTTTTATTCAACGTAAAGACGTCATTCGTGAGTTCACGGACCTGCGATTATGTTGGAAAGTGCCCGAGAGTGAAGCGAGAATGATTGGTCACGGAGCTCCACGACGGAAAATTGCCTGCTCCATGACCTGTATCGGTGCGGATGCTTTTACGTCTCAGGGCTTTAAATACCCGAAACGAGTGTTTTTCTTCATCGTAAAGACGTCATTTGTGAGTTAACGGACTTACGATTTTGCTGGAAAGTGCCCGGGAGTGAAGCGAGAACGATTGGTCAAGGAGTTGCACGATGGAAAATTGCCTGCTCCATGACCTCTACCTAAGCAGCTGTTTTCGCGTCTCAGGGCTATAAACGCCCAAAAAGATCGTTTTTCTTCATCGTGAAGACGTCATTAGTCAGTTCACGAACCCGCAATTATGCTGGAAAGTGCCTGGGAGTGAAGCAAGAACGATTGGTCACGGAGCTCTACGACGGAAAATTGCCTGCTCCATGACCTGTACCGGTGCGGCTGTTTTCGCGTCTCGGGGCTATAAACGTCCGAAACGAGCATTTTTCTTCATCGTGAAGACGTCATTTGTGAGTTCACGGACCTGCGATTATGCTAGGAAGTGCCTGGGAGTGAAGGGAGGACGATTGGTCATGGAGCTCCACGACGGAAAAGTGCCTGCTCCATAACCTATATCGGTGTAGCCGTTTTCGTGTCTCGGGGCTACAAACGTCCGAAACGAGCATTGTTTTTCATCGTGAAGACGTCATTTATGAGATCGCAGACCTGCGATTGTGCTAGAAAGTGCCCGGGAGTGAAGCGAGAACGATTGGTCACGGAGCTCCACGACGGAAAATTGCCTGCTCCATGACCTGTACCGGTGCGGCTGTTTTCGCGTCTCAGGGCTATAAACGCCAGAAACAAGCATTTTCCTTCCTCGTGAAGATGCCATTTGTGAGTTCACGGACCTGCAATTATGCTGGAAAGTGCCCGGGAGTGAAGCGAGAACGATTGGTCACGGAGCTCCACGACGGAAAATTGCCTGCTCTATGACCTGTACCGGTGCGGATTTTTTCGCGTCTCGGGTATACAAACGCCCGAAACGAGCGTTTTTCTTCAATGTGAAGACGTTATTTGTGAGTTGACGGACCTGGGATTATGCTGGAAAGTGCCTGGGAGTGAAGCGAGAACGATTGGTCACGGAGCTCCACGACGGAAAATTGCCCACTCCATGACTTGTATCGGCGCAGCTGTTTTCGCGTCTCGGGGCTACAAACGCCTGAAACGAGCGTTTTTGGTCAACGTGAAGACGTCATTCGTGAGTTCACGGACCTGCGATTATGCTGGAAAGTGCCCGGGAGTGAAGCGAGAACGACTGGTTACGGAGCTCCACGACGGAAAATTGCCTACTCCATGACCTGTACCTAAGCGGCTGTTTTCGCGTCTCGGTGCTATAAACGCCCAAAAAGATCGTTTTTCTTCATGGTGAAGATGTCATTTGTGAGATCACGGACCCGCAATTATGCTAGAAAGTGCCTGGGAGTGAAGCAAAAACGATTGATCACGGAGCTCTACGACGGAAACTTGCTTGCTCCATGACGTGTACCGGAACGGCTGTTTTCGCTTCTCGGGGCTACAAACGTCCGAAACGAGCAGTTTTCTTCAACGTAAAGACGTCATTTGTGAGATCACAAACATGCGATTATGCTGGAAAGTTCCCAGGAGTGAAGCGAGAACGATTGGTCATGGAGCTCCACGACGGAAAATTGCCTGCTCCATGACCTGTACCGGTGCGGCTGTTTTCACGTCTCGGGCAACAAACACCCAAAATGTGCGTTTTTCTTCAACGTGAAGACGTCAGTTGTGAGTTCTCGGACCTGCAATTATGCTGAAAAGTTTGTGCGGTTGTTTTCGCGTCTTGGGGCTACAAAGTGTGAAGAAACGAGGAAAATGTGTGCATTGAGCAGCATGAGGAGTACAAGTACCAAACCCTAAAGTGTTGTACCCCATGTAAGCTACCCCACTACAGCCTACACAGACTATAGTATATGAGTTTGACACACCCCCATAGGCAAAGTGGGGGAGAACAAGGGGTCACAAGACCAGTCAAGCAAAGCAAGGCAAAGCAAGCTCAGGGTGGATCACAACGTCACCACACATTCTGAGCACAAGTTCAAGGCCACAAGGCCAGTTCACATGCAAGATTACATATATATAACGCTAAACAACCAAGAGCAGGTATATATATATATGTAACAGTACAAGCAAGGTCAAGAAGTGAGCAAGTGAGGCAAGGTAGGCACAAGACCTAACAGAGTACAGAAGCGCTGATGATCACAAGGCGCGAGTGCCTTAGTGAAGATATCAGCAGTGTTGGCCTGAGAGGCCACGTAAGCAAGGCGCAGCTGACCACGCTGCTGCAGCTCACGAGCAAGGAAGTAGCGAAGAGCGATGTGCTTCGTTCTGTGCTCCAGTCTGTGCTCCCGACACAAGGCCAGCATGGCCTTGTTGTCTACGTACAGCACTGGAGGAGAACGAGGCGGCTCTCCCAGGTCAGTCAGCAGGTAGGTGAGCCAGCGTAGCTCCTTTGTAGCCATGGCCCCTGCGTAGATCTCAGCCTCACAACTGGAGCCGAGAACAGAAGACGAGCGGGTAGACCGCCACGAAACAGATTTGGAACCAAGGCTGAAGGTGTAGCCCTGTGACGACCGCTGCGTAGCCTGGTCGTCAGCCCAAGAAGCGTCTGCGTGACCAGTGAGGACCACTGGACTCTGCCCTCCAAGCACAAGCCCCATGCCCGACGTACTGCACAAGTAGCGCAACACCCTCTTCGCTGCAGCCATGTGCTCTGGTCTGTGTCTCCCAGGAGCAACATAGCGTGCCAGAATGCTAAGAGGGTATGCAAGGTCAGGTCGTGTGCAGGTCATCAGGTACATGAGGCAGCCAACAAGCTCTGGGTACGGGCCACTCGACTCTACGGACTCATCCGAAGGCAGAGCTGAGAGCGAGTGGCGTGTAGACAGAGGAGTGGCCTGAGGCGAGGAGTACGTGAAGCCGAAGCGCTGAAGGACCTGCTGCACCATGTGTGACTGAGTCAGGGTAATGGTGCGCTGTGCTCTGTCCCGGGTGATCTGCAAGCCAAGGTAGCTGCACAGTTCACCCAGGTCTGTGCACGTGTGTCTCTTCTGCAGCTCGGACTTCACGTAGGCGAGTCCAGCAGTGTCAGCTGTAGCAAAGACCAAGTCGTCGACGTACACGAGGATGTAGAACGGCGGCAAAGAAGTGTCGGTGCGCAGAAACAGCGACGGGTCGGCAGTAGAAGGAGCAAACCCAAGTGCCGCAAGTGTAGTCCTCAGTGTGTCGTGCCACTCACGAGGTGCCTGGCGGAGACCGTAGACTGGCCGCCGGAGGCTCCACTGGGTGCCAGGAGGAAAAGTCCCAGTGAAGCCAGGTGGGCGGCGCAGCCAGATCTCCTCGTGCAGGCTGCCCTGCAAGAAAGCAGTGCTGAAGTCAAGAGAGTGCAGCTCGTAGTCTCGGTGAGCGGCTATGTGCAGCAGTACCCGAAGAGTGGTCATCTTCGGGGTGGGAGAGAAGGTCTGAAAGTAGTCAACTCCCTGCCGCTGACTGAAGCCACGAGCCACGTAACGCGCCTTGAAGACAGGCGGAGAACCCGACGGCCGCTTCACCCTGAAAATCCACATGCCACTGACGATGTTCGCCCCAGGCGGGGGAACCTCGTCAACGTAGGTGCCTGTGGACTTCTAGGAAGCCATCTCTGCGTCCATGGCTGCCTGCCACTGAGAAGAGTAGGGACCCTCTATCGCCTCCGCGTAAGAGCGCGGAGTCGGGATGTCAAGTGCATCCGGGTCTCCCTCAGGGGCAAGCAGCATGGACACGAGATGAGGTGAAGCAGCAGCCAAGCACTGGAACTCCTCCTGCCTGTCCTCAAGGACGTCCGTGCCAAGAGCACACTCACCCCCGACGGTCGGAGGACAGACAGACTCAGACTCAGCGACGAGACTGGTAGCGTAGTCTAGGCGACAGCGAGCAGCGAAGTCGACAAGCTCAGCAACTAGGGCAGACGCAGCAGTAGACTCAAAGGAAGGGTCAGTGACGACAGTAGCAAGGAGACGCGTGACAGTAGGACGCGCAGCACGAAGGGAGTCCGACTCCGGGTCAGCAAGTGCAGGAAGAGAGGACTCGGGAGGAGAAGGCAAAGGGGCACGCAGTGGAGCAGTGGAAGGACGCAGAGACATCCGGTGCGTGCCGGGGACAGGGGGAGGACGCTGACGCGAACCACGACCACTAGCGCGAGTAGCACGGACGCAGGGCGAGACGCAGGCTCACGACGCTCAGCAAGACCTCCAGTAGGACCAGTGTAGGGAGAAGGAGAAGGAAGCGGGGAGGCTGGCTGTAACTGGGACTCAGACTGGAGGCGGACACTCTAAGCCAGGAGCAGGACCAAGAGAGGACGGAAGACCAAGAACCTGCTCAAGGAGCGGAACGAAGTACGGCCGTGGCCGCGCAGCGCCACCAGCACCCGCAAGAACAGCACCAGCACCCCCAACGGCAGCACCAGCACCAGGAGTACTCCTAGCTCCAGCAGCGCCAACTCCAGCACCCTCAGAAGCACCAGCGCCAGTAGCACCTCCAGTGCCAACACCCCCAGTAGCTCCAGCTCCAGTCGGACCACCAGAAGACGCAGCAGCTCCAGCTCCAGGAGCACCAGCAGCACCAACGCCAGTAGCACCAGTAGGCCCAGCAGCTCCAGTACACCCTGTACGAGCACCTCCGGGACCCGCTGCACCAGCACCCTCAGCAGCAGCAGAACCTCCAGCGTCCGTAGCACCGCCAGCTCCAGCAGCACGCCTCCAGCGCCGGGCAAACCACTCACGCAACTTCTGCGGAGAGAGTAGCTCCCGCCGGGACGAAGCACCCGAAGAACCTCCAGGCCCAGCACCACCAGACGCCACACGAGCAGGCCCAGCACCCTCAGGCTCCGCACTCCCAGGCTCAGCACCCCCAGGCTCAGCACCCCCAGGCTCAGCACCCCCAGACGTAGCACCCCCAGGCTCAGCACCCCCAGGCGTAGCACCCCCAGGCTCAGCACCCCCAAGCTCAGCACCCCCAGTCGCAGCACCCCCAGACCCAGCACCCCCAGGCTCAGCACCCCTAGCAGCACTAGAGTCAACAGCTACCTCGACAGGCTCGACCGCATCTACCTGGGACACACCTGAGGGGGCAGGACCCTGAGGGGGGAGGGGGTCTACCGGAGGGGGACCTGGCGTAAGGAAGAGCGGCGGGGGAGGGAGGGACGCAGTGCGGTAGGGGAAGAGACGGTAGTAGGGAACCGACTCGTCAAAGGTGACGTCCTGGGAGGACAGAACACGGCGCGAGGTGGGGTGGTAGAACTGCCAGCCTGGCGCGTCAGGAGGGAAGCCAAGGAAGACGCAGGGAACAGCACGAGGGGACAGCTTGTCCGCAGACAAGTCGCGGACAAACGCCCGAGATCCCCAGACACGGAACGCAGACGCATCGCCAACCTTCCCCGTCCACAGTAAAGCAGGGGAGGTCTCCGGCATGGAGACCCGGGGGTGAAGGTTGATCTGATGCGCCGCGTACCGAACCGCAAACGGCCACAGAAAATGGGGGGCAGCCGCATGGACCATGGACGTACGAGCGACGTCCATGATCATGCCAATGCGGCGCTCAGCAATCCCATTTTGCTGTGGAGAGTCCGGAAGCGTGAAGGTCTGGCGGATGCCTCGTGCACGACAGAAGGCCCGCAGAAGGTCAGAGGAGAACTCTCCGCCTCTGTCGGAGTGCAGACGCAGAACAGGAAAGTCCGAGCCGAAACTCTCCCTGAGCTGGAGACGAGCTGCGCGGATCCAGGCGATCAACACCTCAGTGACCTCACCCTTGCGGCGCAAGGGGAAGACTGTGGTGTAACGCGAGTAGTCCTCAACTATCAACAGGAAGTAACGCTCGTGACCCTGCCCACGGACGCGGGCTGGGCCCCACACGTCCAGGTGAAGCGTCTGCAGCGGAGCCTCTGTCGGAGGAAACTCGGAGGAGTGAGGAGCAGCGCGCTGCCGCCCCTCGACGCAGGGAACGCAGGTGGGGGCAGGCCCCGGAGGAAGGGGAGGGAGGGACCGGGGGAGGCCAGAGACAAGAAGACGGGAAGCCATGCCTCGAAGACGAGGCAGGGAGGGGTGACCAAGGCGGTGGTGCCAGAGGAGAGTCCGGTGGGACAGGAGACGACACGAGCAGGGGGCAGACTCAGGGCCAGACCTGGACGCCGCAGCAAACACCTGACCCGACGCTGCTACCTGAGCAGACTCAGCGACTGGAGGAGACTCAGTAGTCAGTGTGTACAGGCTCGACCCCGGCTGACGGGTAAACGTGGCCAAGTGACGGCCCGACCGAGCACAGGTACAGTGGGTCACTCGCTGACTCGCAGGAGTGAACTGGTGAACCCCTGCATCCTGGAGGTCAGCACCACTCACCAAGTTCGTAGAGAACGAGGGGAGGTAAAGACCTGACAGGGTGCCAGAAGGGGCCGCCGGACACGGTAGGACAGTGGAGAAGCGGACAAGGACAGGGCCCTTTGAGGGGTCTGCCAGGGAGACCGCCACTGGCCGACTAAGCGGCGTGAGCGTGGTGCAGTCTCGAAAGAAGGAGCGGGAAGCACCCGAGTCAAGGGTGAAGGTGTGGGTGTCCGGAGACGACGCAGTACCTGAGAGCGCAGACTCACCGGCACCTGGGGCGGCAGACGCACTGGCACCTAGAGCAGCAGCCTCACCAGCACCTAGAGCAGCAGCCTCAATGCCCGGGTCGGGCGGAAAACACCGGTAACAGTCACCCTCATCACTAATAGTCACAGCATACATGGCAGCAAGAATAGCATCATAATCAAGATCAAAGATCGCAACACCCGCCCTAGACAGCTCGCCCCAGCGAGGGATCTCAGTAGCGTCGGGGAACTGGTGACGCCAAGCGTCCGTCAGACGGCCGAAACAGCGCTGGGTGGAGTGCGCTCCCCCACACTGCTCACCCGCGCGGTCGCCGGTACGGAGAACGTAGGTACAGGGGCCAGCACCCCCGCCCCGCTGACGAGCAGTGTACCACTCACGAAGCTGCTGGGGGGAAGGGGTCTCACGAGTACGCTGCTGCTGCTGCTGCTGGCGCTGACCACCACCGGAGCCGACCCTCTGCGTAGAGCCACACCGACCCGCTCCACCTCCGCCGCCGCTACCTCCACCACCGCCTCCTCCTCCGCCGCCACTGCCTCCACTAGTGCCCCCACTCCCACCACCACTCCCACCGCCACCCCCACTCCCTCCGCCTCCTCCACTGCCGCCTCCACCGCCTCCGCCAGCTCCCCCAACGCCCTTGCCCCCCTTGCCCTTGCCTGGGTGGCGTTTCCCGCTAGGGGTAGACGCCGCAGCGACCGACTCAAGACCAACGAGGTCGGCCGCAACAGCAAATTTAGGCAACAGAGGGCAAGAGGGGGGAGGGGGAGCACCCCTCAAAGACAGGGGTACGAGGGTCACCACGAGAGGCTCCTACAGCAACTATGCTCTTCTCTGCTGCTAGGAGACGCTCCTCGAGGAGGTCAACGGTGAGAGTGGTGGGGCAAACAGAGAGAAAGTGGTCCCTGACCGAGCGAAGGGTGTCAGGGAGCCGGGTGACTATGTAGTAGAGGGTGATGTACATGGGGGGGGGTTCTTGGCGCAGAACTCAGCAGGAAGCGCAGCGCGGTAGCGAATGTCACTAGTGCGAAGGTGCGTAATGAGGTCAGCGACAGTGGGAAAAGCGGCGAGGTCAGGGAAGAGGTACGGCAGTATGAGGCGGCTAAGCGCAGCAGTGGCAGGGGAAGAGTAGCGTGCAACTACAGCGTCGTACAAGGTCTTAGCACTCTTGTACTGACTAAAGTGCGCACGCTCAGCGGTCGGCAAGTGGCGGCGCACAGCAAGGCGGGCAGCAGCATCGCGCGTGGCCCACTGTGAGCGAACAGTGGCGTCAGCATCAGCAGCAGGGGAAGGAGAGGCACCAGAAGTGAGGTCAAAGAGGGAGAGACCGTCTGCCCTATCGCACTGTAGGAAAAGCTGCAGATCATCTACCCAGACCTCAAAGTCAACAGCCCGACCCTCAGCATCAAAGACAAGGACGCTAGGGGTAGCCATGACAGCAGTGGCAGCAGTAGCAGCAGTGGCAGTAGTGACAGCGCAGTGCGGCGACACTCTTACCAGGGCAGAGAGCCGCAAGTGGTGGGGCAGGGCCGAGGCGCACCGGCAAGGACGAGCCGAGGCGCGCTGGTAGGGCCGAGGCGCACCAGCAGAGGCGGGCCGAGGCGCGTCGGTAGGGCCGAGGCGCACCGGCGGCTGCAGTCAGCGGCGGCGGCGGCGGCTGCGGCCCCGAGGGAGGTGGCGGCGGCTGCTGCTTGTAATGGCTGCTGCAGCTGCGGCTTCCGCTGCAGGGACGGCGGCGGCTGCTGCTGCAGGGACGGCGGCGGCTGCTGCTGCAGGGACGGCGGCGGCTGCTGCTGCAGGGACAGCGGTGGCTGCTGCTGCAGGGACGGCGGCGGCCGCTGCTGTAGGGACTGCGGCTGCTGCTGCTGCAGGGGCGGCGATAACGGGCCGCGAGAGGCCGCGAAGGGCGGCGGAGGGGCCGTGAAGGGCGGCGCGAGGGGCCGCGGAGGGCGGCGACGGGCCGTTAAGGGCGGTGTGAGGGGCCGCGGAGGGCGGCGACGGGCCTTGAAGGGGCCGCGAGGGGCCGCGAAGGGCGGCGCGAGGGGCCGTAAGGGGCCGCACGGCGGCGCGAGGGGCCGTAAGGGCGGCGCGAAGGGGCCGTGAGGGGCCGAGAGAGGGCGCGACGGTAGGGAGGGCACACGGGGCGCGACTCGGGCAGGAGCAAAGCGCGCTCCGGGCAGGAAAAAAAAATTCGAGGTGGGCCCTAGGAAGCGTTCCCACTAGGGAACCTGCTCTAAAACCATGTGAAGAAACGAGGAAAATGTGTGCATTGAGCAGCATGAGGAGTACAAGTACCAAACCCTAAAGTGTTGTACCCCATGTAAGCTACCCCACTACAGCCTACACAGACTATAGTATATGAGTTTGACACAAAGGCCCGAAACAAGCGTTTTCATTCATTGTAAAGACGTCATTCGTGAGTTTACGGACCTGCGATTATGCTGGAAAGTGCATGGGATTGAAGTAAGAACGATTGGTCAAGGATCTCCATGACGGAAAATTGCCTGCTCCATGACCTGTATCGGTGCGGCTGTTTTCCCATCTCGAGGCTATAAACGTCCGAAACGAGCATTTTTCTTCATCGTGAAGATGCCATTTGTGAGTTCACGGACCTGCAATTATGCTGGAAAGTGCCTGGGAAATTGGTCACGAAGCTCCACGGCGGGAAATTGCCTGCTCCATAACTTGTATCAGCGCGGCTGTTTTGGCGTCTCGGGGCTACAAACGCCCAAAAGGATCATTTTTCTTCAACGTAAAGACGTCATTTGTGAGATTACGGACCTGCGATGATGCTGGAAAGTTCTCGAGAGTGAAGCGAGAACGATTGGTCACGGAGCTCCACGACGGAAACCTCCATGACGTGTACCGGTGCGGCTGTTTTTGTGTCTCGGGGCTACAAACGCCCGAAACGAGCGTTTTTCTTCAACGTAAAGACGTCATTCGTGAGTTCACGGACCACGATTATTTTGGAATATGCCTGGGAGTGAAGCGAGAACGATTGGTCACGGAGCTCCACGACGGAATCTTGCCTACTGCATGACCTGTATCGGTGCGGCTGTTTTCGCGTCTCGGGGCTACAAACATCCGAAACGAGCGCTATTCTTCAACGCAAAAACGTTAGTTGTGAGTTCACGGACCGTCGATTATGCTGGAAAGTGCCTGGGAGTGAAGCGAGAACAATTGGTCATGGAGCCCCACGACGGAAACTTGCGTGCTCCATGACCTATACCGGTGCGGCTGTTTTCGAGTCTCGGGGCTACAAACGTCCGGAACGAGCGTTTTTCTTCAACGTAAAGACGTCATTTGTGAGTTCACGGACCTGCGATTATGCTGTGAAGTGCGTGGGAGTGAAGCAAGAACGATTGGTCACGGAGCTCCACGACGGAAACTTGCCTGCTCCATGACCTATACCAGTGCGGCTGTTTTCACGTCTCGGTGCTATAACCGTCCAAAACGAGCATTTTTCTTCGTTGTGAAGACGTCATTTGTGAGATCATGGACCTGCAATTATGCTGAAAATTGCCCGGGAGTGAAGCGAGAACGATTGGTTACAAAGCTCAACGACGGAACATTGCCTGCTCCATGACATATATCGGTGCGGCTGTTTTCGCGTCTCGGGGCTACAAACGCCCGAAACGAGCGTTTTTCTTCAACATGAAGACGTCATTCGTGAGTTCACGGACCTGCAATTATGTTGGTGCCTGGGAGTGAAGCGAGAACGATTGGTCACGGAGCTCCAGGACGGAAAATTGCCTGCTCCATGACCTGTATCGGTGCGGCTGTTTTCGCGTCTCGGGGCTACAAACGCCTGAAACGAGCGTTTTTCTTCAATGTGAAGACGTCATTTGTGAGTTCACGGACCTATGATTATGCTGGAAACTGCCGTGGAGTGAAGCGAGAACGATTGGTCACGTAGCTCCACGACGGAAAATTGACTGCTCCATGACCTGTATCAGTGCGGATGTTTTCGCGTCTCGGGGCTGCAAACGTCCGAACCGAGCGTTTTTCTTCATCGTGAAGACGTCATTTGTGAGTTCACGGACCTGCATTTATGCTGGAAAGTGTTCGGGAGTGAAGCGAGAAAGATTGGTCATGGAACTCCACGACGGAAAATTGCCTGCTCCATGACCTGTACCGGTGCGGCTGTTTTCGCGTCTCGGAGCTATAAACGCCCGAAAAGATCAATTTTCTTCATCGTAAAGACATCAATTGTGAGTTTACGGACCTGCGATTATGTTGGAAAGTGCTCGAGAGTGAAGAGAGAACAATTGGTTACGGAGCTCCACGACAGAAAATTGCCTGCTCCATGACCTGTACCGGTGCGGGTGTTTTCGAGTCTCGGGGCTACAAACGCAGGAAAGGAGCATTTTTCTTCAACGTGAAGACGTCATTTGTGAGTTGACGGACCTGCAATTATGCTGAAAAGTGCCCGGGAGTGAAGCAAGAACGATTGGTCACGGAGCTCCACGACGGAAAATTACCTACTCCATGACCTGTATCGGTGCGGATGTTTTCGCATCTCGGGGCTACAAACGCCCAAAACGAGCGTTTTTCTTCAACGTAAAGACGTCATTTGTGAGTTCACGGACCTGCGATTATGCTGGAAAGTGCCAGGGAGTGAAGCGAGAACGATTGGTCACGGAGCTCCACGACGGAAAATTGTCTGCTCCATGATCTGTACCTGTGCGGCTGTTTTCACGTCTCGGGGCTATAAACACCCGAAACGGGCATTTATCTTCAATGTGAAAACGTCATTTGTGATTTCACAAAACCACGATTATGCTGGAAAGTTCCTGGGAGTGAAACGAGAAGGATTGGTCACGGAGCTCTACGACGGAAACTTGCCTACTCCATGACCTGTACCGGTGCGGATGTTTTCGCGTCTTGAGGCTACAAATGCCCGAAAGGAGCGTTTTTTCTTCAATGTTAACACGTCAATCGTGAGTTCACGGACCTGCGATTATGCTGGAAAGTGCCCGGGAGTGAAGCGAGAACGATTGGTCACGGAGCTTTACGACGTATACTTTCCTGCTCCATGGACTGTATTAACGCGGCTGTTTTCGCGTCTCGGGGCTACAAATGCATGAAACGAGCGTTTTTCTTCAACGTAAAGACGTCAATCATCAGTTCACGGACTTGCAATTATGCTGGAAAGTGTCGGGAAGTGAGGCGAGAACGATTGGTCACGGAGCTCCACGACGGAAAATTGCCTGCTCCATGACCTGTATCGGTGCGGCTATTTTCGCGTCTCGGGGCCATAAACGCCCGAAACGAGCTTTCTTCTTCAACATGAAGACAATATTCGTGAGTTCACGGACCTGGGATTATGCTGGAAAGTGATGGGAGTGAAGCGAGAACGATTGGTCACGGAGCTCCACGACAGAAAATTGCCTGCTCCATGACCTAATCCGGTGCGGCTGTTTTCGCGTCTCGGGGCTACAAACGCCTGAAACGAGCATTTTTCTTTATTGTTAAGACGTTATTTGTGAGTTCACGAACCTACGATTATGCTGGAAAGTTCCTGGGAGTGAAGCGAGAACAATTGGTCACGGAGCTCCACGACGGAAACTTGCCTACTCCATGACCTGTACCGGTGCGGCTGTTTTCGCGTCTCGGGGCTACAAACGCCCGAACAAGCGTTTTTCTTCAACGTGAATACATCATTCGTGAGTTCACGGACCTGCAATTATGCTGGAAATTTCCTGGGAGTGAAGCGAGAACGATTGGTCACGGAGCTCCACGACGGAAACTTGCCTACTCCATGACCAGTCCAGGTGCGCCTGTTTTCGCGTCTCGGGGCTACAAACGCCCGAAACGAGCGTTTTTCTTCAACACGAAGACAATATTTGTGAGTTCACGGACCTGGAACTATGCTGGAAACTGCTGGGAGTGAAGCGAGAACGATTGGTCACGGAGCTCCACGACGGAAAATTGCCTGCTCCATAACCTAATCCGGTGCGGCTATTTTCGCGTCTCGGGGCTATAAACGTCTGAAACGAGCATTTTTCTTTATTGTTAAGACGTTATTTGTGAGTTCACGAACCTATGATTATGCTGGAAAGTTCCTGGGAGTGAAGCGAGAACAATTGGTCACGGAGCTCCACGACGGAAACTTGCCTACTCCATGACCTGTACCGGTGCGGCTGTTTTCGCGTCTCGGGGCTACAAACGCCCGAACAAGCGTTTTTCTTCAACATGAATACGTCATTCGTGAGTTCACGGAGCTGCAATTATGCTGGAAATTTCCTGGGAGTGAAGCGAGAACGATTGGTCACGGAGCTCCACGACGGAAACTTGCCTGCTCCATGACCTGTACCGGTGCGGCTGTTTTCGCGTCTCGGGGCTACAAACGCCCGAAACGAGCATTTTTCTTTATTGTTAAGACGTTATCTGAGAGTTCATGGACCTACAATTATACTGGAAAGTTTCTGGGAGTGAAGCAAGAACAATTGGTCACGGAGCTCCACGACGGAAACTTGCCTACTCCATGACCTGTACCGTTGCGGCTGTTTTCGCATCTCGAGGCTACAAACGCCCGAACAAGCGTTTTTCTTCAATGTGAAGACGTCATTCGTGAGTTCACGGACCTACAATTATGCTGGAAATTTCCTGGGAGTGAAGCGAGAACGATTGGCCACGGAGCTCTACGACGGAAACTTGCATACTCCTATACAGGTGCGGCTGTTTTTGCGTCTCGGGTTACAAACGCACGAAACGAACGTTTTCCTTCAACATAAAGACGTCATTTGAAAGTTCATGGACCTGCAATTATGCTGGAAAGTGCCCAGGAGTGAAGCGAGAACGATTTGTTACGGAGCTCCACGACGGAAAATTGCCTGCTCCATGACCTGTACCGGTGCGGCTGTTTTCGAGTCTCAAAGCAATAAACGCTAAAAAAGATTGATTTTCTTCATCGTAAAGACATCATTTTTGAAATCACGGACCTGCGTTTATATTGGAAAGTGCCTGGGAGTGAAGCGAGAACGATTGGTCACAGAGCTCCACGGTGGAAAATTGCCTGCTCCATGACCTGTATCGGTGCGGCTGTTTTCGCGTCTCGGGGCTACAAACGCCCGAAACGAGCGTTTTTCTTCAACGTGAAGACGTCATTTGTGAGTTCACGGACCTGCAATTATGCTGGAAAGTGCTTGGGAGTGAAGCGAGAACGATTGGTCACGGAGCTCTACGACGGAAAATTGCCTGCTCCATGACCTGTACCGGTGCGGCTGTTTTCGCGTCTCGGGGTTAAAAAACGCCTGAAACGAGCGTTTTTCTTCAACGTGAAGACGTCATTCATGTTTTCAGGGACCTGCAATTATGCTAGAAAGTGCTTGGGAGTGAAGCGAGAACGATTGGTCACGGAGCTCCACGACGGAAACTTGCCTGCTCCATGACCCGTACGGGTGTGGCTGTTTTCACGTCTCGGGGCTACAAACATCCGAAAGGAGCGTTTTTCTTCAACGTAAAGACGTCAGTTGTGAGTTTACAAACCTGCAATTTTGCTGGAAAGTTCCCGGGAGTGAAGCGAAAACGACTGGTCACGGAGCTCCACGACGAAAAATAGACATCCAAAACGAGCATTTTTCTTCATCATGAAGATGTCATTTGTGAGTTCACGGACCTGCGATTATGCTGGAAAGTGCCCGGGAGTGAAGCGAGAACGATTGGTCACGGAGCTCCACGACGGAAAATTGCCTGCTCCATGACCTGTACCGGTGCGGCTGTTTTCGCGTCTCGGGGCTACAAACGCCCGAAACGAGCCTCTTTCATCAACGTGAAGACGTCATTTGTGAGTTCACGGACCTGCAATTATGCTGGAAAGTTCCTGGGAGTGAAGCGAGAACGATTGGTCATGGAGCTCCACGACGGAAAATTGCCTGCTCCATGATTTGTACCGGTGCGGGTGTTTTCGCGTCTCAGGCCTACAAACGCCTGAAACAAGCATTTTTGTTCAACGTAAGGACGTCATTTGTAAGGTCACGAACCTGCAATTATGCTGGAAAGTGCCCGGGAGTGAAGCGAGAACGATTGGTCACGGAGCTCCACGACGGAAAATTGCCTGCTCCATGACCTGTACCGGTGCGGCTGTTTTCGCGTCTCGGGGCTACAAACGCCTGAAACGAGCGTTTTTCTTCAATGTGAAGACGTCATTTGTGAGTTCACGGACGTGCGATTATGCTGGAAACTGCCTAGAAATTAAGCGAGATCGATTGGTCACGAAGCTCCACGACGGAAAATAGCCTGGTCAATGACCTGTACCGGTGCGGCTGTTTACAAGTCTCGGGGCTACAAACGCCCAAAACGAGCGTTCTTCTTCAATATCAAAACGTTAGTCATTTGTGAGTTCACGGACCTGCAATTATGACGGAAAGTTTTTGGGAGTTAAGCAAGAACAATTGGTCATGGAGCTCCACGACGGAAAATTGCCTGCTCCATGACCTGTACCGGTGCGGCTGTTTTCACGTCTCGGGGCTACAAACACCCGAAACGAGGCTTTTTCTTCAATGTAAAGACGTCATTTGTGAGTTCACGGACCTGCGATTATGCTGGAAAGTGCCCGGGAGTGAAGCGAAAATGATTGGTCACGGAGCTCTATGACGGAAAATTGCCTTCTTCATGACCTGGATCGGTGCGGATGTTTTCGCGTTTCGTGACTACAAACGTTCAAAACGAGTGTTTTTCTTCATCGTAAAGACGTCATTTGTGAATTTACGGACGTGCAATTATGCTGATAAGTGCCCGGGAGTGAAGCGAGAATGATTGGTCACGGAGCTACACGATGGAAAATTGCCTGCTCTATGACCTGTACCAGTGCGATTGTTTTCGCGTCTCGAGGCTGTAGTGTCAGAATGTTATTCTCTAGCCTGTAGTGGGGTGCTCTGTAGCGAGTACAACCCATCTAGGGTTTGCTATATGTATCCTCATTGCTGCTAGTGAAAACCCTCTTCTTTTGCCTAAACTGTCTCTTGCCTAGCTAGGACTCTCCTAGCTATGGCTCCTAACACTACATACTATTTTGACATGGTATCAGAGCTTAACGTTCCTGGCCTGTGGGCCCACTTCACTGCTTCCGCTGCTACTGCTACTCCCTGTCCGCCGCGCGCCCCGTGGTGCGCGGCGTCGAAATTAGGGTTTTCAGCCCGCCGTGCGCCCCGAGGCGCGCGGCGGTTTTCTGCCCGCCGTGCGCCCCGAGGCGTGCGGCGGTTCTCTGCCCGCCGTGTGCCCCGAGGCGCGCGGCGGGTTTCTGCCCCGTCACTCGGCGCGTCGCCCCCGGGAGGCGCTGCGACGGGCGACGGGGACCCGCGCGTCGCCCCCCGTCGCCCGTCGTGGCCTGCGCGCGGCCCGTACAGCCGGCGCGCGGCCCGTACGGGCTGCGCCAGGCCCGCGCGCTGCTCGTACGGGCTGCGCCAGGCCCGCGCGCGGCTCGGACCGCCTGCGCGCGGTTTGGGAGCCTGTGCCAGGCCCGTGGGCGGCCCGTTCTTCGCTGCCCCTGTCCTCCCCGCTGTCCCCCGTGCTTCTGAAGGCGCCCCACCCCTCCTTCTGCCCGTTCTCCTGGATTAGGGTTTGGGGGTGGGGGGTATGGGGGTGCAGCTTCTGAGTGCCGTTCCCTGCTCCTCCTCCTCCTCCGTCTCCCTGTGCTGCAGCTGCCGCTGAGGGGGGGTGGACCTGTTGGAGCCGACGGAGTGGTACTAAGGGGGGGGTGAAAGGGGAGTGGAGCTAGCGGTGTAGCAGCGGGTGTGTGTTAGGGGGAGTGGGATAGTTTGGGGAGGTTGAAGGGGGTGGCCGCCGTCAAGCCAGCAGCTCCAGTCGCCCGTGAGACCGTTGCGCCAGTCGCCCGTGAGCCCGTTGCGCCAGTCGCCCGTGAGCCCGTTGCTCCAGTCGCCCGTGAGTCCGTTGCTCGTCTGCCGCTACTTTTAGCCGCGGAGCCAGTTACTCCAGTAGCCCGTGTGCCAGTTGCTCCAGTTGCCAGTGTGCCAGTTGCTCCAGTTGCCCGTGTGCCAGTTGCTCCAGTTGCGCCGTGTGCCAGCAGCTTCAGCTGCCGCCCACTACCTCCTCTCCTCTCATAGTCTCTTTCCTCCTCCTCACTTGCCCGTTGTGACTACCACTAGCTTTGCTCATAATTGTGAACTTTAAACTATTGCTTCTTGAACTTGTGCTCAGAATGTGTGGTGACATTGTGATCCACCCTGAGCTTGTACTGCTTTGTTTGCTCTGCTGATTACACCCCACTTTGGCTATGGGGGTGTGTCAGAATGTTATTCTCTAGCCTGTAGTGGGGTGCTCTGTAGCGAGTACAACCCATCTAGGGTTTGCTATATGTATCCTCATTGCTGCTAGTGAAAACCCTCTTCTTTTGCCTAAACTGTCTCTTGCCTAGCTAGGACTCTCCTAGCTATGGCTCCTAACACTACATACTATTTTGACATGTAGACGTCCGGAACGAGCATTTTTCTTCATCAAAAAGACGTCATTTGTGAGATCACGGACCTGCGATCATGCTGGAAAGTGCTCGAGAGTGAAGCGAGAACGATTGGTCACGGAGCTCCACGACGGAAAATTGCATGCTCCATGACCTGTATCTGTGCGGATGTTTTCACGTCTCGAGGCTACAAACGTCCGAAACGAGCGTTTTTCTTCATCGTAAAGACGTCATTTGTGAGCTCACGGACCTACAATTATGCTGGAAAGTGCTCGAGAGTGAAGCGAGAACGATTGGTCACGGAGCTCCACGACGGAAAATTGCCTGCTCCATGACCTGTACCGGTGCGGCTGTTTTCGCATCTCCAGGCTATAAATAAACGAAAATATCATTTTTTTTCATCTTAAAGACGTCATTTGTGAGTTCAGGGACCTGTGATTATGCTGGAAAGTGCCTGGGAGTGAAGCAAGAGCGATTGGTCAGGGATCTCCACGACGGAAAATTGCCTGCTCCATGACCTGTACCAGTGCGGCTGTTTTCGCGTCTCGGGGCTACAAACACCGGAAACGAGCGTTTTTCTTCAACGTGAAGACGTCATTCGTGAGTTCACGGGCCTATGATTATGTTCGAAAGTGCTCAGGAGTGAAGCGAGAACGATTGGTCACGGAGCTCCACGACGGAAAATTGCCTGCTCCGTGACCTGTATCGGTGTGGGCGTTTTCGCGTCTCGGGGCTACAAACGCCCGAAACGAGCGTTTTTCTTCAACGTGAAGACGTCATTCGTGTGTTCACGGACCTGCGATTATGCTAGAAAGTGCTCGGGAGTGAAGAGAGAACAATTGGTCACGGAGCTCCACGACGGAAAATTGCCTGCTCCATGACCTGTACCGGTGCGGCTGTTTTCGCGTCTCGGGGCTACAAACGCCCGAAACGAGCGTTTTTCTTCAGCGTGAAGACGTCATTTGTGAGTTCACGGACCAGCGATTATGCTGGAAAGTGCCTGGGAGTGAAGCGAGATCGATTGGTCATGGAGCTCCACGACGGAAAATTGCCTGCTCCATGACCTGTACCGGTGCGGCTGTTTTCGCGTCTCGGGGCTATAAACGCCTGAAAAGATCGTTTTTCAACGTGTAAAGATGTCATTTGTGAGTTTATGGACCTGCAATTATGCTAGAAAGTGCCTGGGAGTGAAGCAAGAATGACTGGTCAAGGATCGCCACGACGGAAAATTGCCTGCTCCATGACTTGTACTGGTCCGGCTGTTTTTGCGTCTCGGGGCTACAAATGTGAGTTCATATGAAACGAGCGTTTTTCTTCAACGTGAAGACGTCATATGTGAGTTCACGGACCTACAATTATGCTGAAAAGTGTCTGGGAACGAAGCGAGATCGATTGGTAATGAAGCGAGTTCGATTGGTCACGGAGCTCCATGACGGAAAATTGCCTGCTCCATGACCTGTACAGGTGCGGCTGTTTTCACGTCTCGGGGCTACAGACGCCCGAAACAAGCATTTTTCTTCAACACGAAAACATCATTTGTGAGTTTACGGACCTATGATTATGCTGGAAAGTTGCTGGGTGTGAAGCGAGAACAATTGGTCACGGAGCTCCACGACGGAAACTTGCCTACTCCATGACCCGTACGGGTGTGGCTGTTTTCACGTCTCGGGGCTACAAACATCCGAAACGAGCGTTTTTCTTCAACGTAAAGACGTCAGTTGTGAGTTCACAGACCTGCAATTTTGCTGGAAAGTTCCCGGAAGTGAAGCGAAAACGACTCGTCACGGAGCTCCACGACGAAAAATAGACGTCCAAAACGAGCATTTTTCTTCATCATGAAGATGTCATTTGTGAGTTCACGGACCTGCGATTATGCTGGAAAGTGCCCGGGAGTGAAGCGAGAATGATTGGTCATGGAGCTCCACGACGGAAAATTGCCTGCTCCATGACCTGTATCCGTGCGGCTGTTTTCGTGTCTCGGGGCTACAAACACCCGGAACGAGCGTTTTTCTTCAATATGAAGACATCATTTGTCAGCTCACGGACCTGCGATTATGCTGGAAAGTGCTCGGAAGTGAAGCGAGAACGATTGGTCACGGAGCTCCACGACGGAAAATTGCCTGCTCCATGACCTATATCTGTGCGGGTGTTTTCGCGTCTCGGGGCTACAAACGCCCGAAACGAGCATTTTTCTTCAACAGAAAGACGTCATTTGTGAGTTCACGGACCTGCGATTATGCTGGAAAGTTCTCGGGAGTGAAGCGAGAACGATTGGTCATGGAGCTCCACGACGGAAAATTGCCTGCTCCATGACCTGTATCGGTGCGGCTGTTTTCGCGTCTCGGGGCTACAATGCCCGAAACGAGTGATTTTCTCCAACGTGAAGACGTCATTTGTGAGTTCACGGACCTGCAATTATGCTGAAAAGTGCCTGGGAGTGAAGCGAGAACGATTGGTCACGGAGCTCCACGACGGAAAATTGCCTGCTCCATGACATGTACCGGTGCGGCTGTTTTCACGTCTCGGGGCTATAGACGCCCGAAAAAAGCATTTTTCTTCAACACGAAAACGTCATTTGTGAGTTCACGTACCTTCGATTATGCTGGAAAGTTCCTGGGAGTGAAGCGAGAACTGTTGGTCACGGAGCTCCAAGACGGAAACTTGCCTACTCCATGACCTGTACTGGTGCGGCTGTTTTCGCGTCTCGGGGCTACAAACGCCCGAAACGAGCGTTTTTCTTCAACGTGAAGATGTCATTCGTGTATTTATGGACCTGCGATTATGCTAGAAAATGCGTGGGAGTGAAGCGAGAACGATTGGTCACGGAGCTCCACGACGGAAAATTGCCTGCTCCATGACCTGTACCGGTGCGGCTGTTTTCGCGTCTCGGGGCTACAAACGCCTTAAACAAGCATTTTTCTTCAACGTAAAGACGTCATTTGTGAGTTCACGGACCTGCAATTATGCTGGAAAGTGCCCGGGAGTGAAGCGAGAACGATTGGTCACGGAGCTCCACGACGGAAAATTGTCTGCTCCATGACCTGTACCGGTGCGGCTGTTTTCGCGTCTCGGGGCTACAAACGCCTTAAACAAGCATTTTTCTTCAACGTGAAGACGTCATTTGTGAGTTCACGGACCTGCGATTATGCTGGAAATTTTCTGGGAGTGAAGCGAGAACGATTGGTCAAAGAGCTCTACGACGGAAAATTGTCTACTCCATGACCTGTACCGGTGCGGATGTTTTCGTGTTTCGGGTCTACAAGCGCCTGAAACGAGCGTTTTTCTTCAACGTGAAGACGTTATTCGTGAGTTCACGGACCTGGGTTTATGATGGGAAGTTCCTGGGAGTGAAGCGAGAACGATTGGTCACGTGGCTCCACGACGGAAACTTGCCTGCTCCATGACCTATATCGGTGTGAATGTTTTGGCGTCTCGGGGCTACAAACGCCCGAAACGAGCGTTTTTCTTCAACGTAAAGACGTCACTTCTGAGTTCACGGACCTGGGATTACGCTGGAAAGTGCCTGGGAGTAAAGCGAGAACGATTGGTCACGGAGCTCCACGACGGAAAATTGCCTGCTCCATGACCTGTATCGGTGCGGCTGTTTTCGCGTCTCGGGGCCACAAACGCCCGAAACGAGCGTTTTTCTTCAATGTGAAGACGTCATTTGTGAGTTCACGGACCTGCGATTATGCTGGAAAGTGCCCGGGAGTAAAGCGAGAACGATTGGTCACGGAGCTCCACGCCGAAAATTTGTCTGCTCTATGATCTGTTCCGGTGCGGCTTTTTTCGCGTCTCGATGCTACAAGCGCCCAAAACGGGCGTTTTTCTTCAACATAAAGACGTCATTTGTGAGATCACGGACCTGTTATTATGCTGTAAATTGCCCGGGAGTGATGCGACAACAATTGGTCATGGAGCTCCACGACGGAAAATTGCCTGCTCCATGACATGTACCGATGCGGCTGTTTTTCGCGTCTCGGGGCTAAAAACCCCCGAAACGAGCGTTTTTCTTCAACGTAAAGATGCCAGTTGTGAGATTACGGACCTGCGATTATGCTGAAAATCTCCTCGGAGTGAAGCGAGAACGATTGGTCACGAAGCTCTACAATGGAAAATTGTATCCTTCATGACCTTTACCGTAAGGCTGTTTTCGCGTCTCGGGGCTACAAACGCCCGAAACGAGCGTTTTTCTTCAATATGAAGACTTCATTTGCAAGTTCACGGACCTGGGTTTATGCTGGAAAGTGCCTGGGAGTGAAGCGAGAACGATTGGTCACGGAGCTCCACGACAGAAAATTGCCTGCTCCATGACCAGTTCGGTGCGGATGTTTTCGCGTCTTGGGGCAACAAACGTCCCAAACGTGCGTTATTATTCATCATGAAGACTTCATTTGTGAGTTCACGGACCTGGGAATACGCTTGAAAGTTCGTTGGAGTGAAGCAAAAACGATAGGTCACGGAGCTCCACGACGGAAAATTGTCTGCTTTATGACATGTACCGGTCGGCTGTTTTCGCGTCTCAGGGCTACAAACACCCAAAACGAGCATTTTTCTTCATTGTGAAGACGTCATTTGTAAGTTGACAGACCTGCGATTATGCTGGAAAGTGCCCGGGAGTGAAGAGAGATTAATTGGTCACGGAGCTCCACGACGGAAAATTGCCTGCTCCATGATCTGTATCGGTGCGACTGTTTTCGCGTCTCGGGGCTATAAGCGACCGCAACGAGCGTTTTTCTTCAACGTAAAAACGTCAGTTATGACTTCTCGGACCTGCGATTATGCTGGAAAGTGCCCGGGAGTGAAGCGAGAACGATTGGTCACGGAGCTCCACGACGGAAAATTGCCTACTCCATGACCTCAATCGCTGCGGCTGTTTTCGCGTCTCGGGGCACAAGCAAGCATTCTTCTTCATCGTAAAGACTTCATTTGTGAGATAACGGACCTGCAAATATGCTGGAAAGATTCCGAGAGTGAAGCGAGAACGATTGGTCACGGAGCTCCACGACGGAAAATTGCCTGCTCCATGACCAGTACCGGTGCGACTGTTTTCGCGTCTCGGGGCTACAAACGCCCGAAACGAGCGTTTTTCTTCAACGTAAAGACGTCAATTCTGAGTTCACGGACTTGAGATTATGCTGGAAAGTGCCTGAGAGTGAAGCGAGAACGATTGGTCACGGAGCTCCACGACGGAAAATTGCCTGCTCCATGACCTGTATCGGTGCGGCTGTTTTCGCGTCTCGGGGCCACAAACGCCCGAAACGAGCGTTTTTCTTCAACGTGAAGACGTCATTCGTGAGTTTACGGATCAGCAATTATGCTTAAAAGTGCTCAGGAGTGAAGCAACAACGATTGGTCATAAAGCTCAACGACGGAAAATTGCCTATTCCATGACCTGTATCAGTGCGGCTATTTTTGCGTCTCGGGGCTACAAACGCCCGAAACGAGCATTTTTCTTCATCGTGAAGACGTCATTTGTGAGATCAAGGACGTGCGATTATGCTGGAATGTTTCCGGGAGTGAAGCGAGAACGATTGGTCACGGAGCTCCACGACGGAAAATTGCCTGCTCCATGACCTGTACTGGTGTGGCTGTTTTCGCGTCTCGAGGCTACAAACGCCCGAAACAAGTATTTTTCTTCAATGTGAAGACGTCATTTGTGAGTTCACGGACCTGCGATTATGCTGGAAAGTGCCCGGGAGTGAAGCGAGAACGATTGGTCACGGAGCTCCACGACGGAAAATTGCCTACTCCATGACCTGTATCGGTGCGGCTGTTTTCGCGTCTCGGGGCTACAAACGCCACAAGCGAGCATTTTTCTTCATTGTAAACACGTTATTTGTGAGATAACGGACCTGAAAATATGCTGGAAAGATTCCGAGAGTGAAGCGAGAACGATTGGTCACGGAGCTCCACGACGGAAAATTGCCTGCTCCATGACCTGTACCGGTGCGGCTGTTTTCGCGTCTCGGGGCTACAAACGCCCGAAACGAGCGTTTTCCTTCAACGTGAAGACGTCATTTGTGAGTTTATGGACTTGGAAATATGCTGGAAAGTGCCTGGGAGTGAAGCGAGAACGATTGGTCACGGAGCTCCACGACGGAAAATTGCCTGCTCCATGACCTGTACCGGTACGGATGTTTTTGCGTCTCGGAGCTATAAATGCCTGAAACGAGCATTTTTCTTTATCGTGAAGACGTCATTTGTGAGTTCACGGACCTGCGATTATGCTGGAATGTTCCCGGGAGTGAAGTGAGAATGATTGGTCACGGAGCTCCACGACGGAAAATTGCCTGCTTCATGACCTGTACCGGCGCCGCTGTTTTCGCGTCTCGGGGCTACAAACGCCCGAAACGAGCATTATTCTTCAATGTGAAGATGTCAGTTGTGAGTTCACGGACCTGCGATTATGCTGGAAATTTTCTGGGAGTGAAGCGAGAACGATTGGTCACACATCTCTACGACGGAAAATTGTCTACTCCATGACATGTACCGGTGCGGCTGTTTTTGTGTCTCGGGGCTACAAACGCCTGAAACGAGCGTTTTTCTTCAACGTGAAGACGTTATTCGTCAGCTCACGGACCTTGGATTATGATGGAAAGTTCTTGGGAGTGAAGCGAGAACGATTGGTCACGGAGCTCCACGACGGAAAATTGCCTGCTCCATGACCTGTATCGGTGCGGCTGTTTTCGCGTCTCGGGGCTACAAACGCCTGAAACGAGCGTTTTTCTTCAACGTGAAGACGTCATTCGTGAGTTCACAGACCTGCAATTATGCTGGAAAGTGCCTGGGAGTGAAGCGAGAACGATTGGTCATGGAGCTCCACGACGGAAAATTGCCTATTCCATCACCTGTATCGGTGCGGCTGTTTTTGCGTCTCGGGGATACAAACGCCCGAAACAAGCATTTTACTTCATCGTGAAGATGTCATTTGTGAGATCAAGGACGTGCGATTATGCTGGAAAGTTTCCGGAAGTGAAGCGAGAACGATTGGTCACGGAGCTCCACGACGGAAAATTGCCGGCTCCATGACCTGTACCGGTGCGGCTGTTTTCGCGTCTCGGGGCTACAAACGCCCAAAACGAGCGTTTTTCTTCATCATAAAGACGTCATTTGTGAGATCACGGACCTGCGATTATGCTGTAAAGTGCCCGGGAGTGATGCGACAACGATTGATCATGGAGCTCCAGGACGGAAAATTGCCTGTTTTATGACCTGTATCGGTGCGGCTGTTTTCGCGTCTCGGGGCTACAAACGCCCGAAACGAGCATTTTTCTTCATCGTGAAGACGTCATTTGTGAAATAAAGGACGTGCAATTATGCTGGAAAGTTTCCGGGAGTGAAGCGAGAACGATTGGTCACGGAGCTCCACGACGGAAAATTGCCTGCTCCATGACCTGTATCGGCGCGGCTGTTTTCCCGTCTCGGGGCTACAAATGCCCGAAACGAGCGTTTATCTTCAACAAAAAGACGTCATTTGTGAGATCACGGACCTGCAATTATGCTGAAAAGATCCCGGGAGTGAAGCAAGAACGATTGGTCACGGAGCTCCACGACGGAAACTTGACTGCTCCATGACCTGTACCGGTGTGGCTGTTTTCGCGTCTCGAGGCTACAAACGCCCGAAACAAGTATTTTTCTTCAATGTGAAGACGTCATTTGTGAGTTCACGGACCTGCGATTATGCTGGAAAGTGCCCGGGAGTAAAGCGAGAACGATTGGTCATGGAGCTCCACGCCGAAAATTTGTCTGCACCATGATCTGTACCGGTGCAGCTGTTTTCGCGTCTCGAGGCTACAAGCACCAAAAACGAGCGTTTTTCTTCATCATAAAGACGTCATTTGTGAAATCACGGACCTGCGATTATGCTGTAAAGTGCCCGAGAGTGATGCAACAATGATTGGTCATGGAGCTCCACGACGGAAAATTGCCTGTTCCATGACCTATATCGGTGCGGCTGTTTTTGCGTCTAGGGGCTACAAACGCCCGAAACGAGCATTTTTCTTCATCGTGAAGACGTCATTTGTGAGATCAAGGACGTGCAATTATGCTGGAAAGTTTCCGGAAGTGAAGCGAGAACGATTGGTCACGGAGCTCTACGACGGAAAATTGCCTGCTCCATGACCTGTACCGGTGTGGCTGTTTTCGCGTCTCGAGGCTACAAACGCCCAAAATGAGCGTTTATCTTCAACAAAAAGACGTCATTTGTGAGATCCCGGGATTATGCTGAAAAGATCCCGGGAGTGAAACAAAAACGATTGGTCACGGAGCTCCACGACGGAAACTTGTCTGCTCCATGACATGTACCGAAGCGGCTGTTTTCGCGTCTCGGGGCTACAAACGCCCGAAACAATCGTTTTTCTTCAACGTGAAGACGTCATTTGTGAGTTTACGGACCTACAATTATGCTGGAAAGTGCCTGGGAGTGAAGCGAGAACGATTGGTCACGGAGCTCCATGATGGAAACTTGCCTGTTCCATGACCTGTACCGGTGCTGTTGTTTCATCAACGTAAAGACGTCATTTGTGAGTTCACGGACCTGCGATTATGCTGAAAAGTTTCTGGGAGTGAAGCGAGAACGATTGGTCACGGAGCTCCACGACGGAAAATTGCCTGCTCCATGACCTGTACCGGTGCGGCTGTTTTCGCGTCTCGGGGCTACAAACGCAAGAAACGAGCGTTTTTCTTCAACGTGAAGACGTCATTCGTGAGTTTACGGACCTGCGATTATGCTGGAAAGTGCCCGGGAGTGAAGCGAGAACAATTGGTCATGGAGCTCGACGACGGAAAATAGCTTGTTCCATGACCTGTATCGGTGCGGCTGTTTTCGCGTCTCGGGGCTACAAACGTCCGAAACGAGCATTTTTCTACATTCTGAAGACGTCATTTGTGATTCATGGACCTGCGATTATGCTGGAAAGTGCCCGGGAGTGAAGCAAGAACGATTGGTCACGGAGCTCCATGCTGAACGGAAAATTGCCTGCTCCATGATCTGTACCGTAGCGGCTGTTTTCGTGTCTCGAGGCTACCAGCGCCCAAACGAGTGCTTTTCTTCAACAAAAAGACGTCATTTGTGAGTTCACGGACCTGCGATTATGCTGGAAAGTGCCCGGGAGTGAAGCGAGAACGATTGGTCACGGAGCTGCACGACGGAAACTTGCCTACTCCATGACCTATACCGGTGCAGCTGTTTTCGTGTCTCGGGGCGACAAATGCCAGAAACGAGCGTTTTTCTTCAACGTGAAGACGTCATTCGTGAGTTCACGGACCTGCGATTATGCTGGAAAGTGCCCGGGAGTGAAGCGAGAACGATTGGTCACGGAGCTCCACGACGGAAAATTGCCTGCTCCATGACCTGTATCGGTGCGGCTGTTTTCGCGTCTCGGGGCTACAAACGCCCAAAACGATCGTTTTTCTTCAATTTGAAGGTGTCATTCGTGAGTTCACGGACCTGCGATTATGCTGGAAAGTGCCCGAGAGTGAAGCGAGAACGATTGGTGATGGAGCTCCATGATGGAAATTTGCCTGCTCCATGACATGTTCGGTGCGGATGTTTTTGCGTCTCGGGGCTACAAACGCCCGAAACGAGCGTTTTCTGTCAAAATAGGAGCTAGAATCATGAGCCATAGCTAGGTAAACCCTAGCTAGGCAAGAGAGAAACGAGCAAAGGAGGGCTTGCACTAGCAAGAATGGGGATACAAATAGCAAACCCTAGAAGGGTTGTACTCGCTATAGAGCACCCCACTACAGGCTAGAGCATAATATTCTGACACACCCCCATAGCCAAAGTGGGGTGTAATCAGCAGAGCAAGCAAAGCAGTACAAGCTCAGGGTGGATCACAATGTCACCACACATTCTGAGCACAAGTTCAAGAAGCAATAGTTTAAAGTTCACAATTATGAGCAAAGCTAGAGGCAGTCACAGAGGGCAAGTGAGGAGGAGGAGGGCTGGCGAGAGGAGAGAAGAGTGGAGGCGACGACTGAAGCTGCAGACACACGGGCAACAGACGGCTCTGGTGCAACTCTAGTGGCTACCGGGAGCAAGGGCCCCGGAATACAGGAGTAACAGGCTCTGCGTCTGATCAGCAGCGACAGGAGCAACGGACCCACGGGCGACAGGTGCAACCGGCTCTCTGAGCTACCGGTGGCTAACAGAACCCCGGAATACAGGCGCTGCGGACGACACGACGGCGGCCTCCGCTCAACCTCCCCCGACCGTCCCACACCCCTCTCACACACCCCCTGCTGAAACCCTAGCTCCACTCCCATGGCACCCCCCTTAAACCCTAAACCCTCGGCTCCCACACACCCACCCCCCTGAGCAGCAGCTGCAGCAGTGGGAGATGGAGGAGGAGGAGGAGCAGGGGACGGCTCACACTCACGGCACCCCCATACCCTCCACCCCCAAACCCTAACACAGGAACGCGGGCAGTAGCGGGAGGGGGGGGGGCGCCGGCAGAAGCTCGGGGGACGGACGAGGCGCGCGCACGGGCCTGCCGCAGGCCGGACGAGGCGCGCGCGGGCTGCCCGGGCCGCGCGCGGGCCTGGCGCAGCCCGTACGGGCCGCGCGCGGGCCTGGCGCAGGCCGTACGGGCCGCGCGCGGGCTGTACGGGCCGCGCGCGGGCCTGGCGCAGCCCGTACGGGCCGCGCGCGGGCCTGGCGCAGCCCGTACGGGCCGCGCGCGGGTCCCAGGGGCGCTTCGACGGGCGACGGGGGCGTTTCGACGGGCGACGGGGGGCGCTCCGACGGGCGACGGGGGCGCTTCGACGGGCGACGGGGGGGAGCGCTTCGACGGGCGACGGGGGGGACGCGCGACACACAGGAAGGCAGCGGAAGCAGGCGGGCCCACAGGCCAGGAGCGTAACCGCTCTGATAGCATGTCAAAATAGGAGCTAGAATCATGAGCCATAGCTAGGTAAACCCTAGCTAGGCAAGAGAGAAACGAGCAAAGGAGGGCTTGCACTAGCAAGAATGGGGATACAAATAGCAAACCCTAGAAGGGTTGTACTCGCTATAGAGCACCCCACTACAGGCTAGAGCATAATATTCTGACATTTTCCTTCAACGTGAAGACGTCATTCGTGAGTTCACGGACCTGAAATTATGGTAGAAAGTGCCCGAGACCGAAGCGAGAACAATTGGTCATGGAGCTCCGCGACGGAAAATTGCTTGCTCCTTGACCGGTTCGGTGCGGATCTTTTTGCGTCTGGGGGCTACAAACATCCGGAACGAGCGTTTTCTTCATCGTGAAGACGTCATTTGTGAGTTCACGGACCTGCGATTATGCTGGAAAATTCCTCGGAGTGAAGCGAGAACGATTGGTCATGGAGCTCCACGACAGAAAATTGCCTGCTCCATGACCTATACCGGTGTGGTTGTTTTCGCGTCTCGGAGCTACAAACGCCCGAAACAAGCGTTACTCTTCAACGTAAAGATGTCAATTGCAAGTTTACGGACCTGCGATTATGCTCGAAAGTACATGGGAGTGAAGCGAGAACGATTTGTCACTGAGCTCCACGACGGAAAATTGTCTGCTCCATGACCTGTATCGGTGCGGCTGTTTTCGCGTCTCGATGATACAAACGCCCGAAGCGAGCGTTTTTCTTCAACTTGAAAATGTCATTTGTAAGTTCACGGACCTACGATTATGCTGGAAAGTTCCTGGGAGTAAAGCGAGAACGATTGGTCACGGAGCTGCACGACGGAAACTTGCCTACTCCATGACCTATTCCGGTGCAGCTGTTTTCGCATCTCGGGGCTACAGATGCAAAAAACGAGCGTTTTTCTTCAACGTAAAGACGTCATTTGTGAGTTCACGGACCTGCAATTATGCTGGAAAGTGCCCGGGAGTGAAGCAAGAACGATTGGTCACGGAGCTCCACGACGGAAAATTGCCTGCTCCATGACCTGTATCGGTGCGGCTGTTTTCGCGTCTCGGGGCTACAAACGCCCGAAACGAGCGTTTTTCTTCAACGTGAAGACTTCATTCGTGAGTTCAGGGACCTGGAATTATGCTGGAAAGTGCCTGGGAGTGAAGCGAGAACGATTGGTCACGGAGCTCCACGACAGAAAATTGCCTGCTCCATGACCTGTACCGGTGCGGCTGTTTTCGCGTCTTGGAGCTACAAACGCCTAGATCAAGCATTTTTCTTCAATGTGAAGACGTCATTTGTGAGTTCACGGACTTGCAATAACTGTGAAAAGTGCCCGGGAGTGAAGCGAGAATGATTGGTCACGGAGCTAAACGACGGAATATTGCCTGCTCCATGATCTGTACCGGTGCGGCTGTTTTCGCGTCTCGGGGCTACAAGTGCCCAAAACGAGTGTTTTTCTTCAACTTAAAGACGTAATTTGTGAGATTACGGACCTGCCATTCTGCTGGAAATTTCCAGGGAGTGAAGCGAGAACGATTGGTCATGGAGCTCCACGACGGAAAATTGTCTGCTCCATGACCTGTACCGGTGCGGCTGTTTTCGCGTCTCGGGGCTACAAACGCTCGAAACGAGCCTTACTCTTCAACAAAAAGATGTCAATTGTGAATTCACGGACCTGCGATTATGCTCGAAAGTTCATGGGAGTGAAGCGAGAACGATTGGTTACGTAGCTCCCCGACGGAAAATTGTCTGCTCCATGACCTGTACCGGTGCGGCTGTTTTCGCCCGAAACGAGCGTTTTTCTTCAACGTAAAGACGTCATTTGTGAGTTCACGGACCTGCAATTATGCTGGAAAGTTCTTGGGAGTGAAGCGAGAACGATGGGTCATGGAGCTCCACGACGGAGACTTGCCTACTCCGTGACATGTACCGGTGCGGTTGTTTTCGCGTCTCGGGGCTACAAACGCCCGAAACGAGCGTTTTTCTTCAACGTAAAGACGTCATTTGTGAGTTCACAGACCTGAGATTATGCAAGAAAGTGCCCGGGAGTGAAGCGAGAACGATTGGTCACGGAGCTCCACGACGGAAAATTGCCTGCTCCATGACCTGTATCGGCGCGGCTGTTTTTATGTCTCGGGGCTACAAACGCCCGTAACGAGCGTTTTTCTTTAGCGTGAAGACGTCATTCGTGAGTTCACAGAACTCCAATTATGCTGGAAAGTGCCCGGGAGTGAAGCGAGAACGATTGGTCACGGAGCTCCACGACGGAAAATTGCTTGCTCCATGACCTGTATCGGTGTAGATATTTTCACGTCTCGGGGCTACAAACATCCAAAACGAGAGTTTTTCTTCATCGTAAAAACGTCATTTGTGAGTTCACGGACCTGCCATTATGATGGAAAGTGCCAGGGAGTGAAGCGAGAACGATTGGTCACGGAGCTCCACGATGGAAATTTGCTTTTTTTCCATGACCTGTACCGGTGCGGTTGTTTTCGCGTCTCGGGGCTATAAACGCCCAAGAAATCGTACTTCTTCAACGTAAAGACGTCATTTGTGAGTTCGCAACCCTGCGATTATGCTGGAACGTGCCTGGGAGTGAAGCAAGAACGACTGGTCACGGATCTCCACGACGGAAAATTGCCTGCTCCATGACCTGTACCGGTGCGGCTGTTTTCATGTCTCCGGGCTATAAACGCCCGAAACAAGGGTTTGTCTTAATCGTGAAGACGTCATTCGTGAGTTCACGGACCTGCAATTATGCTGGAAAGTGCCCGGGAGTGAAGCGAGAATGATTAGTCATTGAGCTTCGCGACGAAAAATTGACTGTTCCATGACCGTATCGGTGCGGATGTTTTTGTGTCTCGTAGCTACAAACGTCCGGAACGAGTGTTTTTCTTCAACGTGAAGACGTCATTCGTGAGTTTACGGACCTGCGATTATGCTGGAAAGTGCCTGGGAGTAAAGCAAGAACGACTGGTCACGGAGCTCCACAGCAGAAAATTGCCTGCTCCATGACATGTACTGGTGTGGCTGCTTTCGTGTCTTGGGGCTACAAACGCCCGGAAACAAGCATTTTTCTTCATCGTGAGGACGTCATTTGTGATTTCACGAACCAGCGATTATGCTGAAAAGTGTACGGGAGTGAAGCGAGAACGATTGGTCACGTAGCTCCACGACGAAAACTGGTCTGTTTCATGACCTGTACCGGTGCGGCTGTTTTCGCGTCTCGGGGATACAAACGCCCGAACGAGCAGTTTTCTTCAACTTGAAAATGTCATTTGTAAGTTCACGGACCTATAATTATGCTCGAAAGTTCCCGGGAGTGAAGCGAGAACGATTGGTCACGGAGCTCCACGACGCAAACTTGCCTACTCATTGACCTGTACCGGTGCGGCTGTTTTCGCGTCTCGGGGCTACAAACGCCCGAAACGAGCGTTTTTCTTCAGCATAAAGACGTCATTTATGAGTTCACGGATTTGCGATTATACTGGAAAGTTTCTAGAAGTGAAGTGAGAACGATTGTTCAAGGAGCTCCATGACGGAAACTTGCCTACTCCATGACCTGTACCGGTGCGGTTGTTTTCGCGTCTCGGGGCTACAAACGCCCGAAACGAGCGTTTTTCTTCAACGTGAAGACGTCATTCGTGAGTTTACAGACCTGCGATTATGCTGGAAAGAGCTCGAGAGTGAAGCAAGAACGATTGGTCACGGAGCTCCACGACGGAAAATTGCCTGCTCCATGACCTGTACCGGTGCGGTTGTTTTCGCGTCTCGGGGCTACAAACGCCCAAAACGAGCGTTTTTCTTCAACGTGAAGACGTCATTCGTGAGTTTACAGACCTGCGATTATGCTGGAAAGTGCCCGGGAGTGAAGCAAGAACGATTGGTCACGGAGCTCCACGACGGAAAATTGCCTGCTCCATGACCTGTATCGGTGCGGCTGTTTTCGCGTCTCGGGGCTACAAACGCCCGAAACGAGCGTTTTTCTTCAATGTAAAGACGTCATTTGTGAGTTCACGGACCTGCAATTATGCTGGAATGTGCCCAGGAGTGAAGCGAGAACGATTGGTCACGGAGCTCCACGACGGAAAATTACCTGCTCCATGACCTGTTCGGTGCGGATGTTTTTGCGTCTCCGGGCTACAAACGTCCGAGACGAGCGTTTTTCTTCATCGTGAAGGCATTATTTGTGAATTCACGAACCTGCGATTATGCTGGAAAGTGCCTGAGAGTGAAGCGTGTCAACGGGAGTAGTGTTTGGCCCCGTCCTCGCTTGGGCGGAGCAGACCGCGGGAGGCCGCGCGGGGCCGCGGGAGACCGTGGGGCCGCGGGAGGCCGCGGGAGGCCGCGGGAGACTGCGGGGCCATGGGAGGCCGCGGGAGACCGCGGGGTTGCGGGAGGCCGCGGGAGACCGCGGGGCCGCGGGAGGCCGCGGGAGGCCGCGGGAGGCCGTGGGAGACTGCGGGGCTGCAGAAGACCGCAGGGCCGCGGGAGGCCGCGGAGGTCGCGGGAGACGGTGGGGCCGCGGGAGGCCGCGGGAGACCGCGGGGATGCGGGAGGCCGCGGGAGGCCGCGGGAGACCGCGGGGCCACGGGAGGCCGCGGGAGACCGCAGGGCCGCGGGAGGCCGCGGGAGGCCGCGGGAGACTGCGGGGCCACGGGAGGCCGCGTGAGGCCGCGGGAGGCCGCGGGAGACTGCGGGGCCGCGGGAGGCCGCGAGAGGCCGCGGGAGGCTGCGGGGCCGTGGGAGGCTGTGGGGCGACCACGGGACCGCGGGGGCCGCGGGAGGCCGCGGGAGACAACCGCGGGACCACGGGACCGTGGGGATCGCGGTGGCCGCGGGTGGACGACTGGGGGCCGCGGGGGCCGCGGGATACCCGGTCGACCAGGATACCCGGGCGACGTGTGCGAAGGTCGCCGGGGGTGGTTTCTGCGAGGACGACCTCGGGGGTGGTATCCCGAGGTCGACGTGGCTGGTGGGCGCCGTCACAGGTGGAGTGTCTGCGATGGGCGTGTGACGGGGAGTTGGGCGCCAACCAGCTGCACGCACCTGCGAAGCTGGTGCACCGTTGTCAGGCGGGTGCAACGCTGTGCAGCCGACTTGCTGCAGCGTTGGCACACCGCGGACTTGCAACGTTGGCAAGCCGCGACTCTGCTCTGCTGGAGCGCGGTCGACCAAGTTGTGCTGGCACGCGGTCGACCGTGCTGCACTGGCAGTCAACCAGCAGCCTTGCAAGGTCTTATGTAGTCTGTGTTGCCAATGTTGATGCAATCATTCTGAACTTTTGTTGTCATGTTTTCCTAGTGAAACTCTTGCCAATTTTCCCCGTGAACTAGCAAGCAGTGTGAGCACTTGGAAACGACTAAGGAACGAACGAACGCTACGATCACTCTTGCCCCGTGCCTAGCCCGTAGTCTAGCTCCCGTTGCACTAGTAATGTCCGCATGGTGCGGTGAGCGTGGACGACACCGCGAAGATACCTTCGGTTTAGCTGACTTTTCACTCACCTAGCTAGTTCGTAGACCGGCGGCTGTGCTGTATGCCATGGTGGACCCCGTAGTTGCGGCGGGCGCCGTGGACGCCCTGGAGGCACGGCTGGAGGACGCGAGGAGACGTCATGCGGCGAACGACTATGGAACTCTCCCGCTGGCGGTCGTCGAGGCTGGCATCCGCGCCGTGTTGGTGACGGAGCACCCTTCCCGACCGGCGTCTCCTCGAGCGGTGAACAACGCGGGTGGCGTCGACGCGTGCGTCAACGCGGGTGGTGGCCAAGCCGGCAGCAGCGCGGGAGGCACGTCGAGGCAGCGAGGTGTGATTCACGCCGATGAAGTCGGTGGCGTTCAGGCGCGAGGGATGCAGTCATCCGCGGCTGCAGAGGCCTCGCAGGGCTACGTCGGAGGCAGACGAAGTGAATTGGCGCCGATGTCGGCGACGCACGTGACCGCGGGAGGAATTGCGCCGAGCTACGGCTACTTCAAGTTTACGCCAGACAGGATCTCGGTCACCCCTCTGCTGGTCGGTCGTCCCGACATCCTCAAATGAAAAGAAGCCATCGAGCCCCAACTGGAGATGGCCGGGCTGATGGGCTTCGCGCGGGACCGTGGCGACGCCGGAGGAGCACTACCCCGACCTGCGAGCGGAATTTTGCGCCGTGCAGTTGCTGACATTTTACGGTCATCTCGCGGTGCTACTCGACGGGCGTACAGATCGCCCTGAAGTCGTGCAGGGAGTACCTCGACGCTGGCCACCGGGCGTGGCATTTCATCGAGTCGACTTACTAAGTTACCGGCGACTTTTTCATCGCCCAGCTTGAGGGGCAGCTGACGCACCTGCGTATGGGCGACCAGGAGACCGCGACCGACTACTGCAACCGAGCTCGGCGAATTCTCGCCACCATACGGATGGCTGGCGCGGAGTACTCAACGGCGTCGTACGTCACACACGTCATGCAGGGACTCCCGAGCAGCTACAACCTGCTGAAGCGGCTGTCAATGGCGCCAAGCACGCGGGCGACGCTCAACGAGGACACATTGACCTCGTACATCCTGCAAGACGAGGCGATGCAGGAGGCTGAGCGGTCCAAGGAGCTCCTCGCCCAGGTGAACTATGTCGCCCCGTCGAATCAAGGTGGTCGACCGGGACAGCGCGGGCAGTCTGGTGGCAGTGAACGCGGTGGCGGGAAGCCGTCGAAGGACGCTGACAAGAAGAATTCGGCTAAGGACAGCGGTCGTGGAGGAGGAGGTCGACGTCGGGAATGCCCCGACCGTAGTGACTCGGAGGATGACGACGCCAAGGGAGGCCGCGGAAGGTCTGGCAGCCTTCGTCCCCGTCGAGGAGGAAACAAGCCGCGCAAGGAGAAGCAGTCGACCAAGTCGACCTCGGCGAAGGACGCCGACTCCTCTGCTGGCGGCAAGGGGCGAGACGACAAGGAGGCGTCGTGCTTCAGTTCACGGACCTACAATTATGCTGGAAAGTTTCGGGGAGTGAAGCGAGAACGATTGGTCACGGAGCTCCACGACGGAAACTTGCCTGCTCCATGACCTGAACCGGTGCGGCTGTTTTCTCGTCTCGGGCCTACAAACGCCCGAAACAAGCGTTTTTCTTCGTGAGTTGACGGACCTTCCATTATTGTGAGTTGTCCGGGAGTGAAGCGAGAATGATTGGTCACGGAGCTCCACGAAGGAAACTTGCCTGCTCCATTACCTGTATTGGCGCGGCTGTTTTTTGCGTCTCGGGGCTACAAACGCCTGAAACGAGCGTTTTTCTTCAACGTAAAGACGTCATTTGTGAGTTCACGGACCTGCGATTATGCTGGAAAGTGCCCGGGAGTGAAGCGAGAACGATTGGTCACGGAGCTCCACGACGGAAAATTGCCTGCTCCATGACCTGTACTGTACGGCTGTTTTCGCGACTTCGGGCATTATATGCACGAAAAGATCGTTTTTCTTCATCGAGGCGACGTCATTTGTGAGTTCACGGACCTGCGATTATGCTGGAAAGTGCCCGGGAGTGAAGCGAGAACGATAAGTCACGGAGCTCCACGACGGAAAATTGCCTGCTCCATGACCTGTATCGGTGCGGCTGTTTTCGCGTCTCGGGGCTACAAACGCCTGAAACGAGCGTTTTTCTTCAACGTGAAGACGTCATTCGTGAGTTCACGGACCTGCAATTATGCTGGAAAGTGTTTGGGACTGAAGCAAGAACGATTGGTTACGGAGCTCCACGACGGAATCTTGCCTGCTCCATGACCTGTATCGGTGCGGCTGTTTTCGCGTCTCCGGGCTATAAACATCGGAAACGAGCATATTTATTCATTGTGAAGACGTCACTTGTGAGTTCACGCATGTGCAATTATGCTGGAAAGTGCCCGGGAGTGAAGCGAGAACGATTGGTCACGGAGCTCCACGACGGAAAATTGCCTGCTCCATGACCTGTACCGGTGCGGCTGTTTTCGCGTCTCGGGGCTACAAACGCCCGAAACGAGCGTTTTTCTTCAACATGAAGACGTCATTCGTGAGTTCACAGACATGCGATTATGCTGGAAAGTGCCTGGGAGTGAAGCGAGAACGATTGGTCACGGAGTTCCACGACGGAAAATTGCCAACTCTATGTCCTGTATCGGTGCGGCTGTTTTCGCGTCTCGGGGCTACAAACGCCCGAAACGAGCATTTTTCTTCAACGTGAAGACGTCATTCGTGAGTTCACGGACCTGCGATTATGCTAGAAAGTGCCTGGGAGTGAAGCGAGAACGATTGGTCACGGAGCTCCACGACGGAAAATTGCCTGCTCCTTCACCTGTATCGGTGCGGCTGTTTTTCCGTCTTGGGGCTACAAACGCACAAAACGAGCGTTTTGCTTCCACGCGAAGACGTCATTCGTGAGTTCACGGACCTGCGATTATGCTGGAAAGTGCCCGGGAGTGAAGCGAGAACGATTGGTCACGGAGCTCCACGACGGAAAATTGCCTGCTCCATGACCTGTATCGGTGCGGCTGTTTTCGCGTCTCGGGGCTACAAACGCCTGAAACGAGCATTTTTCTTCAACGTGAAAACGTCATCTGTGAGTTCACGGACCTTCAATTATGCTGGAAAGTTCTTGGGAGTGAAGTGAGAACAATTGGTCACGGAGCTCCACGACCGGAACTTGCCTACTCCATGACCTGTACCGGTGCGGTTGTTTTCGCGTCTCGGGGCTACAAATGCCCGAAACGAGTGAGGTTTTTTCTTCAATGTAAAGACGTCATTTGTGAGTTCACGGACCTGCGATTATGCTGGAAAGTGCCTGGGAGTGAAGCGAGAACGATTGGTCACGGAGCTCCACAACGGAAAATTGCCTGCTCCATGACCTGTACCGGTGCGGCTGTTTTCGCGTCTCGGGGCTACAAACGCCCGAAACGAGCATTTTTCTTCAACGTGAAGACGTCATTCGTAATTTCACGGACCTGCAATGATAATGGAAAGTGCCCAGGAGTGAAGCGAGAACGATTGGTAGCGAAGCTCCACGACGGAAAATTGTCTGCTCCATCACATGTATCGGTGTGGCTGTTTTCGCGTTTCGAACGCCCGAAACGAGCATTTTTCTTCAACGTGAAAACGTCATCAGTGAGTTCAAGGACCTTCAATTATGCTGGAAAGTTCTTGGGAGTGAAGCGAGAACAATTGGTCACGGAGCTCCACGACCGGAACTTGCGTACTCCATGACCTGTACCGGTGCGGCTGTTTTCGCGTCTCGGGGCTACAAACGCCTGAAACGAGCGTTTTTCTTCAACGTGAACACGCCATTTATGAGTTCACGAACCTGCAATTATGCTGGAAAGTTCCTGGGAGTGAAGCGAGAACGATTGGTCACGGAGCTCCACGACGGAAAATTGCCTACTCCATGACCTGTACCGGTGCGGTTGTTTTCGCGTCTCGGGGCTACAAAGGCCTGAAACGAGCGTTTTCTTCAACGTGAACACGCCATTTGTGAGTGCATGGACCTGCAATTGTGCTAGAAAGTTCATGGGAGTGAAGCGAGAACGATTGGTCATGGAGCTCCACGACGGAAACTTTGCCTACTCCATGATCTGTACCGGTGCGGCTGTTTTCGCGTCTCGGGGCTACAAACGCCCGAAACCAGCATTTTTCTGCAACGTAAAGACGTCATTCGTGAGTTCACGGACCTGCGATTATGCTGGAAAGTGCCCGAGAGTGAAGCGAGAATGATTGGTCACGGAGCTCCACGACGGAAAATTGTCTGCTCCATGACCTGTATCGGCACGGCTGTTTTCGCGTCTCGGGGCTACAAACGCCTGAAACGAGCGTTTTTCTTCAACGTGAAGACGTCATTCGTGAGTTCACGGACCTGCAATTATGCTGGAAAGTGCCCGGTAATGAAGCGAGAACAATTGGTCACGGAGCTCCACGACAGAAAATTGCCTGCTCCATGACCTGAATCGGCGCGACTGTTTTCGCGTCTCGGGGCTACAAACGCCCGAAACGAGCGTTTTTCTTCAACGTGAAGATGTCATTTGTGAGTTTCTGGAGCTGCAATTATGCTGGAAAGTTCCCAGGAGTGAAGCGAGAACGATTGGTCAGGGACCTCCACGACGGAAAATTGTCTGCTCCATGACCTGTATCGGCGCTGTTGTTTTCGCGTCTCGGGGCTACAAACGCCCGAAACGAGCCTCTTTCTTCAATGTGAAGACGTCATTCGTGAGTTCACGGACCTGCGATTATGCTGGAAAGTGCCCGGGAGTGAAGCGAGAACGATTGGTCACGGAGCTCCACGACGGAAAATTGCCTGCTCCATGACATGTACCAGTGCGACTGTTTTCGCGTCTCGGGGCTATAAACGCGTGAAAGGAGCATTTTTCTTCAATGTGAAAACGTCATCTATGAGTTTATGAACCTACAATTATGCTGGAAAGTTCTTGAGAGTGAAGCGAGAACAATTGGTCACGGAGCTCTACGACCGAAACTTGCCTAGGCTCCATGACCTGTACCGGTGCGGCTGTTTTCGCGTCTCGGGGCTACAAACGCCCGAATTGAGTATTTTTCTTCATCGTGAGGATGTCATTTGTGAGTTCACGGACCTGTAATTATGCTGGAAAGTGCCCGGGGGTGAAGCGAAAACGATTGGTCGCCGAGCTCCACGACGGAAAATTGCCTGCTCCATGACCTGTATCGGCACGACTGTTTTCGCGTCTCGGGGCTACAAACGCCTGAAACGAGCGTTTTCCTTCCATGTGAACATGCCATTTGTGAGTTTACGGACCTGCGATTATGCTGGAAAGTTCATGGGAGTGAAGCGAGGACAATTGGTCACGGAGCTCCACGACGGAAACTTTGCCTACTAATTTTCTTCATGAACTAGCAAGCAGTGTGAGCACTTGGAAACGACTAAGGAACGAACGAACGCTACGATCACTCTTGCCCCGTGCCTAGCCCGTAGTCTAGCTCCCGTTGCACTAGTTATCTCCGCATGGTGCGGTGAGCGTGGACGACACCGCGAAGATACCTTCGGTTTAGCTGACTTTTCACTCACCTAGCTAGTTCGTAGACCGGCGGCTGTGCTGTATGCCATGGTGGACCCCGTAGTTGCGGCGGGCGCCGTGGACGCCCTGGAGGCACGGCTGGAGGACGCGAGGAGACGTCATGCAGCGAACGACTATGGAACTCTCCCGCTGATGGTCGTCGAGGCTGGCATCCGCGCCGTGTTGGTGACGGAGCACCCTTCCCGACCGGCGTCTCCTCGAGCGGTGAACAACGCAGGTGGCGTCGACGCGGGCGTCAACGCGGGTGGTGGCCAAGTCGGTAGCAGCGCGGGAGGCACGTCGAGGCAGCGAGGTGTGATTCACGCTGATGAAGTCAGTGGCGTTCACGCGCGAGGGATGCAGTCATCCGCGGCTGCAGAGGCCTCGCAGGGCTACGTCGGAGGCAGACGAAGTGAATTGGCGCCGATGTCGGCGACGCACGTGACCGCGGGAGGAATTGCGCCGAGCTACGGCTACTTCAAGTTTACGCCGGACAGGATCTCGGTCACCCCTCTGCTGGTCGGTCGTCCCGACATCCTCACGTGGAAGGAAGCCATCGAGCCCCAACTGGAGATGGCCGGGCTGATGGGCTTCGCGCGGGACCGTGGCGACGCCGGAGGAGCACTACCCCGACCTGCGAGCGGAACTTTGCGCCGTGCAGTTGCTGACATTTTACGGTCATCTCGCGGTGCTGCTCGCCGGGCGTACAGATCGCCCTGAAGTCGTGCAGGGAGTACCTCGACGCTGGCCACCGGGCGTGGCATTTCATCGAGTCGACTTACCAAGTCACCGACGACTTGTTCATCGCCCAGCTTGAGGGGCAGCTGACGCACCTGCGTATGGGCGACCAGGAGACCGCGACCGACTACTGCAACCGAGCTCGGCGAATTCTCGCCACCATACGGATGGCTGGCGCGGAGTACTCAACGGCGTCGTACGTCACACACGTCATGCAGGGACTCCCGAGCAGCTACAACCTGCTGAAGCGGCTGTCAATGGCGCCGAGCACGCGGGCGACGCTCAACGAGGACACATTGACCTCGTACATCCTGCAAGACGAGGCGATGCAGGAGGCTGAGCGGTCCCAGGAGCTCCTCGCCCAGGTGAACTATGTCGCCCCGTCGAATCAAGGTGGTCGACCGGGACAGCGCGGGCAGTCTGGTGGCAGTGAACGCGGTGGCGGGAAGCCGTCGAAGGACGCTGACAAGAAGAATTCGGCTAAGGACAGCGGTCGTGGAGGAGGAGGTCGACGTCGGGAATGCCCCGACCGTAGTGACTCGGAGGATGACGACGCCAAGGGAGGCCGCGGAAGGTCTGGCAGCCTTCGTCCCCGTCGAGGAGGAAACAAGCCGCGCAAGGAGAAGCAGTCGACCAAGTCGACCTCGGCGAAGGACGTCGACTCCTCTGCTGGCGACAAAGGGCGAGACGACAAGGAGGCGTCGTGCTCGCTGGTCGGCGTCGTGGAGCCGACCGTCTCGCTGGCGCCGGAGGCTGGCGAGGACTTCCAGGCGGTGGCGGCAGCTGTGCAGGCGAACCCGTTGGTGGTCCTGCTCGACAGCGGCTGCTCGCACCACCTGATGGGGACGAAGGATGCCTTCGTCGACTTGGGGCCGAGCGGCGACGTGAAGCACGTGCGTGGCTTCAATGGGGCGCTGCAGGACGTTCGTGGCCGTGGCACGGTTGCTCTGCAAGGGGAGGCCGGGAAGCGGGTGCTCATCCCCGACGTGCTGTA